TTTTCTTCTTTTTTTGATTATCGTGAAATTTTAAAGTTACGTTTTTATTTGGCTTGAAGCGCTGCAAAACGCTGCGATAAAAAGTTTTGCTTTTAGCTACCAAAACTTGGTAGATTCTTGCCCCCGCTTCCGTTAAAGTAACCTCCCCTCCCCCCAAGACATTAAGTTACGCAGCTGAGATTTTCAGTTTCTGCGCTGCGCTGCAAGCCAGGCTTGTCTCGGATCAACTACCGAGTCATCTATTAGGGAATCATCAACCATGCAAGTGGATGTAAAAAAGCTTTGTTTTTACTGTAAGGAACCTGGTCATGTGATAGCAGATTGCGGAAAGAGAGCCAAGAAGGAACTTCGTGAAAAAGAGAAGGATGACACAAAATCCACCCACAAACTCAATGTAGCTTCTGTTGAATTCAGTGAACTTGATATAGGTTTTACAGGTTGATCAGGCATTGGGGGGTATTTTTTTTTCTGTTGTAGCTTTTGTATATTTACCTCTGCCTAAATTTTTGTCCAATTTTTTGTGTCTAGTATGTATCAGAGAATTGTTGAGGGGGGGGGGTGTTACGGGTGACGGTTTCAAGGGTCTCAGTTGCTGTGTTTCAGCCTCAGCGTGGCGGTTATCCTCACCAATCCCATGCCTTTCTTTCCATATAAATTGTACTTAGTTTCTATGTTTTGTCCACTTTTGTTAGTTAGTTAGAAATAAAACCTTTTCCGTTCCAACAGTGATACCTTGGATATACAGTCATGGCTACATGTAGGGCTGCGACCTGGACCCGACCCTGACCGGCCTACTCTGCCTGAGGGTACTCAGGAAGCACACAGTCCGCGCCCTGGTTCACTTAAACCTAACATGATGAGAGTGACAAACGCCCCGCGGGCGCCCCGGGCCACCCGCCTGGCCCGGGCAGCCGACCCTTACAAGGCCATTTTTCTCACAGTTGTCTCAATCACAGTAGATTCTTGATCAACAAACTTCAAAGTCACACCCTTGACCCTGTCATATCTTTATCAATAATCCTGATTCCTATCATCATATACAGTATATGTCAACCTTGTCCTCTGTTGCTAGAATCCCCGTCACCAGATCTGCTTCATCTTTACATCACTCTATAATGTCTTCCAGTATAGCTCCCTCGGATTCAATCTCCAAAGTAGCCTCCAATACTACAACCACTGTACGCTCATCTTGGGTGTGGCAATACTTCGTCACCGAAGAGGAGGACGGCGTTCTCAAGAATGTGTGCCGAGCTCATCAAGGGTTTATCAACACCAACACCCATGCCAACAACGCCAACGCACCCACTGTGATATGCAACAAAGAAAGCACTTGCTATCAACAAGAACGGCAGTACAAAATTGATGATCCAACATCTTGATCGTGAACATCATATTGAACCACCTGTTCAAACTAATCAACCCACCATTGCTGCCTTCTATATCGACGGGGAGCCAATCCAAGTAAGAGTTTTTATCCTTTTTTTCATACTTTCTTTGTTTTGATCTTTTTTTTTCACTGACCCTTATATATCAACCGTTTTGTCTTTATTTTTATTTTACTGTCATCATCTAGGTCCGACCTCTCAACAGAGCTAACCTCAAGGAGGCTCTGATCCGTTTGGTTGTCAATTGAGAGGTCCCTGTGTCCTTTGTCAACGGTAGGGAGTTCCGCAAGATCATCAACATGATCAACCCCGCAGCTTTTGCATTACTCTCTAAACGGACTGCCATTTCAGATGGAATTCTGGCCACCTTCCGAGCCAAACAATCAGGCATCATCAACCTTCTCTCTTCCGTCAAGCATGTCAGTAGCACATGTGATGGTTGGACTTCTCCAACCAACATCGCAATGCTCGGTGTGACCGCGCACTGGATTTCTGATGACTTCAAGCTCCGCGGGATCACTCTTGCTTTGAAGCCAATCAAGGGACCTCACACCGGTTCCAACTTGGCTTCTCTCCTCAAACAAATCCTGGACTCTTTCAACCTCTCCAAGCGCTTGTATTGTATCACTGCCAACAACACATCCAACAACACCACCATGGGCCAAGCTCTCCCGACCACGATTCCCCATTTTGACGCTTCTCAAAGTATTCATGGATGTATTGCCCATGTCATCAACCTTGTGGCTAAGGCTGGACTTGCTGTTTTTGATCGAAAAGACCAATCTCAACCGCTCAATGCACTCGATCCTGCCATACCTCAACAACCATCATCAGTTCCCTTGTTTATTGAACCTACCTCCACTGCCGAGACCGGAAGCATACTTACTCAAATCCGTGGCTTTCACAAGCAAGTCAAGCATAGTAGCCAGCTCAAGACCTCCCTCGACAACGCAATTGCAAGCTGCGCTGTGTTAGTCCAGAAAGTAGGTTTGATTCATGAAATTTTGACTCAATGGTCATCAACCCACGCTTCACTTGCCCAATTCATTCACCTTTGAGTTGTCTTAGAGTATCAATTCAACTGTAACCCTGCACTTGAGGCTTTCAAACTCAATCACGATGAGTGGGCTTTGGTTGAAAACTTAGTGCAGTTTCTTGCTCCTCTCGCTGCCATGACCAAACAGATGGAAGGCCATTTGTATCCCACTTTCTCTCTTGTTATGCCAGACTACCAGTGGCTTGTGGAACAACTTGAAGCTGTAAGTATTTTCTTTTTTGTTTACATCTTTTTTTCTCAATTTCATCTTTTTCATTTCATTTATATGGAGAGTTACTGATTCAAGTATTTGTTTGTTTTTAGGCCTGGGTTGATTCAAAATGCCAGGAACTCAAAGCTGCAATCATGCCAATGGTCAAGAAGATCATTCAATATCAAGAGGCTGCCCAGAAGAAGGCAGCCTACATATGTTCTGCAGTCCTCGATCCCCGTCTTAAACTTACCGCCGTCAAAGCTCAGACTATGGAATCACTCGGTTGGGGACAAGAAGATCTGATTCAATACTTTACTGATCACGCCGCCAGATTCAGACCAGCTCCTGACCCCAACATTGAGATTGTCGAAAATGAAGAAACCATCGACCTCGATTGACCACAACATTTTATCAAACGTCGCAGAACCATCCCGATTGAGCACAAGATCAATGAGTACCTCACTGCACCCCAAGAGGACGAGACTTGTGAACCACTCGTTTTCTGGCGAACTCACAAACGTCACTGGCCCAACCTTGCTCGGATGGCAAAGGCGATGCTTGCTGTACCTGCCACAAGTGCTCCCTCGGAAAGTTCCTTTTCTAATGCATTGAGAGTTACACCGCGAATATAATGTATTTTTCCGAGGTGAAAAATGATTACATTTATTTCACAAAATGATTAAAAATGCATTAATTCTGCATTAATTCTGCATTTTTCTGCATTAATTCTGCATTATTAATCATTTTGTGCATTAATTTCAATCACTTTTCACCTTGGAAAAATACATTATTTTTGCAGTGTTATGAGCAATCATTGAGCCTCTTTCACTCCTACCAATCTCGAGGCTCAAGTCTGCCTCAAGAGCTGGAATAAAGTCTTATTATAGTTTTAGCTAATTAAGTATAATCGACAAAGTGGTTGTTTATTTTCTTTTTCAAAATCAAATAGGTTCTTGATTAAATACATGAGAATTTTAAGTAGAGGCAGAGTTTCTTGTTATCTAAGTAGGCGCTCAATCTTGTCCAATGTCTTCTCTTGTTATCGAGTTTGTCTCATAGCGCTCAGTATGCTATCAAAGTTGTTTTCTCTTGTTTTCTAAGGATAAGTCCTCATACACATGATTTTGAAATACCAGTCCCAAAAGTTATCCCCTGCTAAGTTTTTATTGCCCCTACCAGTGAGCCTCGATTGATTTTCAACTTTTACGTGAGCCTTGATTGAGTTTTAAGTCAGCCTAGATCAAGTATCTATTGCCCCTACATGTGAGCCTAGACAAACTTTGTCTTGCCCCTAGATGTGAGCCCATTTTGTGCCATTCTGGCCACTAGATGTGAGCCCATATTGAGTCATTCTTGCCCCTAGATGTGAGCCTAGAGCCGCCTGGCCCCGTGCCCGGGCGTTCAGGCCGTGCCCTGGTCAGCCCTGCACGTTTTTCAATGGCCCTTGGGTCTACCAAGGCCGGATCTGGCCACCAAGGCCGGCCACGAACTTGCAGGGCCGGGCCACAGCCCTAGCTACATCAGATGACCTCAGCTTATGTATTCAAGGGATCCTTTCAAGAAAAAAGATATCATCATCTGGTGAAATTTTCAGATCCTGAAACAGTTCCAACATTTTTTTCATACCAACATCCAAAAGGTTTCAGAATAATTACTAAACATACTTCAAGCTGAAATTTCTGTTCTACCAAAAAGATAATAACCCTTACACTACAAAACAAACTGATTTTCGCCGGGGAATTTTGATTTCAAAACAGGGGAAAATCACGTGACACATGTACAGGCTGTACAACACAGATTGAGCAGCTTGATCAGCTGTACAGCTCTGTACACCCTATATCTGTACATCCCTCCTTTGAGCCAGCCACAACATCAGCGCCTGTAGTCCGACAACCCAAGACAGATTCTGTACGTCCGTCGTTCAAAAAACCACCCCAGTGTGACGTCTGTACACCGCCCAAAAACGGTGAGGGCATTGCTGGACATTCCATTGATCCAAAACGGCCGCTGCTGAAACGTGTAGAGACGGCCACCCCTCATTGTCTTACACCCCTTTCGATTTGCCGACGAACCCTTCACCTTTTGGCTTCCAAAGGACTCTTCCTTCCAGGCTGGACACACCTGCAACCATCAGCTGATATCGCCAGGTTTGGATGAAGATCCAACAATTTAGCATTTCTTTGATTCAAATCCACCACCCCGCTCATCTGCTGTAACACATACCAACAGCAATCTTGTATACGCAATCATCAATTCCTCAATCAAGCAAAAGGGCCCGTCTTGATGCGTTGGTAAGCTAGCCAATCATTGTTGCACCACTCTCGCAGCCCTGGTCAGTCTGAAATAATATGATCAATGCTGACTCATGCTTCATTCCTTTCGACAGACCCTTACAGAACTACTGGGACATTGCCGCACTGCTGTCACTCGAAATGTGTCAGAAAAGTTTATCAACGGAATATTAGATTACGTGAGTGCAGCACAAGACTTGGACACACATCTTATGCAACAATGGTATGAAGTCACTCAGAAGGCTTTGGACGAACCCAAAAATGAAGTCAGTTTGGAACGTGTTGTGACCTTTCACCATGATTCGGACTTGTAGGTTATCACCAAATTGCATGCTGCAATTGACGGGCCAATTGCTTCATCGAGCGCTGAGAGTTCACAGCAGCGCAACGATTCAATTGAATCTGATAATCCAATTGGTAAACACACTTTTGCTGGAAGTCCTAGCGATTGAAATTCAAATGTACACAGATCGTAAAGAAAGCAAAAAACTTCGAGTAAGGCTCTACTTTTGAATGTGAAGTTGTAAATAGCTTCTGATGAATGCGTTTCTTTTGCATCAGAAAATATACAATCAAACTTTGAACGTTAAATCTACTATTCATTATCCTACGATTATGGGGATCATTCAAGAATGTGGTGGAAAAATGTGTATGTCAGAAAGTCAGTCCAATCTCTAAGCTTCATTGTGCTAGTTTGCTGGTTTTTCCTGCTTTACTCAATTGAATTTTGGCTTTTTCAGAGGAATGGGCAAAGGCGCAGATCAACTTTTTTGAAGCATTGAAGAATTATGACGAAGCAGGATTGCCACAATGGATATCATCGTTAAAATACTTGGTGCTAGCTCATATGTTGATGGATAGCAAGATTAATCTGTTTGACTCACAAGGTACCAAACCGTTAGTTAACACAAATCAATTCTTGGCTCATCAATTTGAGTCGATGTTCATGTGTGGTTGTTTATATACACCGAATGCTTCAATAGTTACAAGCAAGATCCCCAAATTGTAGCGATGACCGATTTAGTGTCTGCCTACCAAGCCAGAGATGTTCATGAAGCTGAAAAGATACTTAAAAGTGAGTTATCTCCTCTCACATTACCACCATTGTCTGACAAACGCACGTGTTACTCATGTTGAACGGATAGTGACATTTTAACAGCTAACAAGGCTACAATTATGGATGACCCATTCATTGCCAGGTATACCCAAGATGTTCTCGTCTCACTGAGAACTCAGTGGATTTTGACCATGTTGAAGTCCTACACTCGAATTGAGGTATCATACTTGGCCAAAGTATGTCAGCAGGTTTATGACTATTAGTGACTATCACTACAAGAAAGATAATATTTTCTGGGCAGAAAATTAAATTATTGATACACAAAAATATTGAGAGGCCAGGACGAGAGCAAAAAATGAATAAAAATATGCATCTTGTTCCCTGCGTTGAGAACTTCACTCTGCATATTTTTCCGTATTTTTACAGTCCATATTGATAAGTGTACTAACAATAAACCTTCACAATCATCCAATTACAACCTGTAACAAGCACTGAAATTTGGCTCATTAGTGTTTGAAGAAACTTTTGATTTCTGAAAATACTCATAACTTTTTCAATTCCGGTCCAAAACACTTGATCTTGGGTGCATTGGTAAGCTGGAATTGTCCTCCAAATGGCTCATAATAGGACCACACAGCATGCTGGTCTGCTAAAAAAGATATCATCTTTTTTATACATTTGTACATACAGATCCATAGAATGATTGTCATACTAGCTACATAGTTCTTGATCCTATGAAAGTTCGAGAGGAAGAGTCCAGCTTTCTAATGCACTTAAAATCGAGTGTTTTGAGGCAGATTTGACAAAGTTATAGGTGTTTTCAGAAATCAAAAGTTTCTCTAAACACTAATGAGCCAAATTTCAGTGCTTGTTACTGGTTGTAATTGGATGATTATGAAGGTTTATTGTTAGTACACTTATCAATACGGACTGTAAAAATATGGAAAAATATGGAGAGTGAAGCTCTCACCGCAGGGAACAAGATGCATATTTTTATTTATTTTTTGCCCTTCTCCTGGCCTCTCAATATTTTTGTGTATCAATAATTTAATTTTCTGCCCAGAAAATATTATATTTCTTGTAGTGTATGCTGACCAATATTTTGCAATATTTTTTAATGTTACTGCTAGCAATTGAGGATCACCAACTCCGAGGTTGAAGATATGCTTGTACTTTTGATCTTGGATAATAAAATCAAAGGTAAACATGATCAACCACGTGGTATAATGACTTTACATTCAAAGTAAGCCTAACCCGCTCATATGAAAGGTGTAAAGTCGCACACTGATATCTTTTCACACTTTTGCAGACCTGCACCAGATCAAAAACGGTATGCAGCTCTCGAGAAATGGAATACGGATCTTGATTGATTGCATTCTAACTTGATGCAGAAGACAAGTATGGCAGGTTACAATGATATGGGGATTGTAGGACCTGGATTACCAGACTTTATGTGATCCAAAACACACCTGGATTAGTAAAATTCTCTTGCAGCCAAGTTGTACCACCAATATGATGGTTATCTATCTCAAAGCTGTTAACATTGCTGAAAATTGAATAAATTTCAAACCTAATCTTGAATGTCATTAGTACTCTTTGGAGTAAAGATTTTGACCAAATATTGCGTTCTTATATTCAACACAAGATTAAGTGATACAATGGAGGCTCTTGGTCAGACAAGTAGTGAAGAAGCCTGAGATATATTTGATAAATCTCCTATATACATATCCAATCTCCCTCATGGCTATATATCACATACTACGGCATTGATGTATACGTTGTGTGTGATGTATAACTTATAATTCCAAATCCCTCTATTTCCAATCCCAATCTCAGAAGCAGTAGACAAATTCCTTCGATGTAACACATCCTTAAGTTTACTTTTAAAAGGCAGATGAGTCAAAATAACCTCTTGTTGACTGAAAAGCAACCTAGAGTTAATGCTCACGCGGTTTGTGTTCAAATGACTCAAAGCCAACTGTGATTCGTTCATCGAAGCCCTTTTCATCAACCTTTGTTGTTTCTGTTTCTGAGGGTTTTTGTGAAGTGTAGGACTAAGATTTGAAAGTTTGGCAGCGAGGGTGGCTTCTCAGATGCCTTGTTGTTGGTCTAGTTCTTTGAGGTTTGGGGTGCGGCTGATGGATGACAAGGAATGGTGTTTGGCTGAGGAATCGAATTGGGTGAGGATAAGTGAGGAACCTGTGGGTTTGTAGATCGAGGTTGGGAATAGTTTAGGTCGGAATGATGAATTGAGTAATGGCATTTGATGGGTATAACTGATGTCTGTTTCAAAAAGGAATAGGTTAGTGATCATACCTAAATGATTAGCACTGGAAGTTCAAGACATTTACTTACTATTCTTCCACCACATTTGTCCAAAAACGTTGGGCTTCATCCAGATCAGAATGTGATGGTTTAGCTACAGAAAGATCAGAACTCTTGAAAAGGTTTGTAAGTTCTGAAGATCCAAACTCCGATAAAAGTTGCCACATTGCTAATCAATCAATAAGACCTTTGAGTAATTGTTCTAGATCAAATACTGCTTTGATTTGATCAATTGGTTTAGCTGACTCCTGTGGATGAGGTTTTTGTGGTGATGAAAGTAATTTCGTGTGGTGCGTTAGGATCTGTGAAAATTGGTCGGATGATTGTGATAATTTGACCTGGTAGAAATCATCAAACGTTGTTTAATCAGTGGGCGGCAGCCCAGAACACAATAAGTGAAATGTCAGAGCAAACTTCACAAGACTGACACATGAAACATCCGTCCTTCCTTTCCTGGCCTGGCAATGCCAGGTGATGGTGTTCCAGCCTGAGATTTAGGGTATACAAAGTTTGTTCTGGAAATTTCCAGACATCTTTTTCCAGAACACCAGAAGTCTCCTGCTCTTCTGGAAAACATGCAGTGTTGGTTATTCTAAGGTTCAGAATACCATAAGTTCAGAACACACCCCAAAAAAAAACTTCTGGTGTTCTGGGGAAACACTTCTGGAAATTTCCAGAACCATATTTGTATACCCTAATTGAATCGAAGGGTCCATCAAGACGAAGATTGATGAGACATATTGTGGTCTCAGTTCGACTGAGAATGGTGCCAGTGGTGAGGATGTGAGCTGTGGACTTACCAGCACACCTATCCGGACCTTTGGAGCTGGTGTGATGATTGAGAATGGGTGAAGACGATGTGTGAAACGGCCGTTTGCAACGATTTCAGCCAAAAACATTGTTTCGAGGTTTTGGGAACGGCTGAGTCGCTGACGGCTCAGCCCGTTTTGATGGGTGTACAGACAATAAAGTCGTGGCACACGCCACACACGTCTGGGAGAAGGTGTACACGGGATGGGGTGTACTACAGCGCTGTACAGTCGATTGAGCTGCGCAATCCATGTACACGGTGTACAGTGATCATGTGATTTTCCGTGAATCTGAAACCAAAATTCCTCGCGGAAAATCAATTTATTCTTGTAGTGTTATCTCTCCTTTGGACCAATCAGTCATATTACCAACACAAAGAGTAAAGATTACCATATTTTTCATTTCACCTTCTTACACTCTCTAGATATGCCAAGGAATTTATGGCTATTCAGATACTTTCTGGTAACCTCACTGAAGCCTTCAATTTATCAACCATGTTCAGGCCTACAATTGACATCCGAGATACCACAGCATTGGGTGGTTGTGTGTTGCAATGAGCGCAATGGGGGGTTGCTGAGCAACACAACAGTTAAGATTTGGCCCCATAGGCCACAACACAATGGGCAACTTGGCTACCATTTGCATTGTGTTGCTGACAGCGGCTGTTGTGTGCATTGCAACAGGTGGCAATGGGCAAGATTATCAGCAGGTGGGATCAAGTTTGTATTTCAAGGTTGTAAATAGATCAAGTTTAAAACACATTCATTCAATTATTTATATCTTTGTGCCTACCCCCAAATGAATCAATCACCTCATTTACCTCCTTGTATTTGTAACCTAGGCATACCCCTTGACATGCCCAAAGACAAGAACCCACATTTTGCTCAATGGTACGAGGGACCAAACAAACTCAATTGGACAAACAAATGTCTGCTGTGGCAGAGAATGTCCGCTCAAATATGGAAGAACTGGCAGAGAGGCTTAGTTTTGCCAGAGATGCCAGCACTGAAAAAACAACAGAATTGACCTACAAAGATTGTCACAAAAGATCAATGATGAAAATGTAAAAGGGATTAATGAGTCAAGTAAGAAACCAATACATACACTCCACCATGGTATTATGGCCTTGCATTCCCTAGTATCATCCTTAGCCAACATTGGATGTGTTCCCTGCAGGTAATCAGCCATTTCATCTACCTGTGCCTGGGGCTCTTGAGCTTTGAATAGCTGAAAGATGTTGACGTCTGAGCTCGCCTTTGCTGAGGTAGTTGAATTTGAGTCAGAGGTTGCTGCTGGTATTTCAGTTGCCTGAGGCGAGCCAATCTCTTTCTGACGCTTTGTGAATTTCTCTTGCAAGAGCATACCAGCGCGGATTGTGTGGAAGTGATGAGGCCCAAAGGCTTGCTCATAGAACTGAAGTCAAAAGGATGGGTTTAAAAGACTTGCCGTGTCAGTTGTGTTGCAAGCCAAAGCCTCTTGAGGATATTGTTCCACACGGTCTTGCATCAACACAATCATGGGTAGAAGTGCATTTCCAACTTGAAGGTCTTTTACCCAATTGGCAAGATGCAGCTTGAGTGCATAGAATTCTGGAATCACCATCAAGCCTGTAGGTCCATTTCCTTCCATTCTTTTAGTAAGAAGTAGGAAAGGCTATTCATAAATAATATGGCAAAAGACTCCAGGGTGAGCATGAAACACATGATGGACTTACAGACAGCTTGTTTGTCAATTCCTCAAGTGAATTCCAGTTGTCCAGAGTGAAGAATACCTTGTGGAAGTATCCACACGACTTTTGAGACAACCTGTTACAACATTTCTTTGCTCTCACACTGTGAGGGTTGGGTGCTCAGAAGAGTACTCAAGGCTCACTATATTGGGCTAATAGGGTTTTTATGGTCACACTTGATTAGATTATATTTCAAATATAATGTAATTACAACTAGAAATATAGGAAGAGAGAAGGAAAGAGAAAAGGGACTGCTCTGTTTGGATAAATCCAGACAGACTACAGTTAAGTGACTCCTGAAAAGGAGGTTTATAGTTTATAATATATAGTTGTTATAATAAATGAAGGATGGATCCCACAGTCCTTCCTTTAATCTTTTAAGTAACAGATTAAAGAGTGAGATAAAGGTCACTACACTGGTTGTTCTTAAAGTCATCAACTTATGGTTGTTCTTAAGGTCACCAGCCTGAAAGTACTTATATGTAGGTCACTAGCCTTGGGTTGTTGGAAGGTCACCAACCTAGAAGAGTTCCTACTTGGGGGAAGTAGAGGATCCAGAAGGGGTGAAGGTATTACTTACTTTTAATCAAGGAACAGATTAAAGTAATGAAAATATCACTAGTCTTATATTTATAAGACTTTTGATGTTACTTCAGTAGAACTTTAATGGTTCTTAAAAGTGGTGTGTAAAAATGCTTGGGGAGGAAATCTCTGAAGGCTGAGAGAGAAGAGGTTTATATACTCTTCTCTCCAAACCTAACTGTGGTGATATTTGCTTATATCACTACTGTGGTTTAGGGTTCAATTAGTACTATTAGTTATGGTTATCATTAATGCTACATAATTACATATACCTGTTATGTATATTATGTAGTATAAACATTTTAACTCTTGACACTGAGTTATGAGGTGTAAATAATGTTTTATTACATATTACATATGATTTTACATGTACTTGTATATGTAATTGATGTTTATATGTATTTTATTACATGTTACATGTGTTTTATAAGCTGTATGTACATGTAATTAGTTGTCTAAAGGTGGTTATCTATGTTACAAGTTAGTCTTTGGGTACATACATATGTACCCAGGGCTGACACACATGCTCAAGGTTGTTGCCAAGCAACTTGCTAACATCCTAATGTTACATTACAAAATGGTCAATTTAGATGTGTAAGTCAAGAGAAAGTTGAGCTACCCACCTTACGTGCCTGTACCAATGCCATTCTGTTCAGAGAATCAAATTTGGTGTTCCAACAAGTAGCATTGTGGCCAGGAGTCAAGGGTAAAAGTTTGAGATTCATACTTTTTGCAACTTGTGTAATATGTCTGCACCAAGGAGCCAATCAAGCAACCTGGCACGAGATGAAGTTATCCTGATGAACAGAAGAAAAATGTGGTTAGATTCCATTGATCATCTGGATGTGAGACAGTGGTTATTACCTGGGCCATTAACACATTGAGACGGAGAACATGTTTCCTTGATGTGTTTTCTTGAATTCATTTGGGGTCAAACCTTCAGGTGTGATGTCATTGTCATCTTCCTGGTTGCACTTTCTCCTGTTTGGCTTTGTCATAGTCCGGAGGAGAACAGGCACTTTCCTCAGATTCTGAGTTGTTATCAGTTTCTTCTTCCTCAGGTAAAGTCATTTCTTCAGCTAAAGATTGATTGTTGTTGTCTTCAATAACAATTGCAATCAGTTTCATCTTTGTCTTCCTCGGCAATAACAGGCCGTCATTCATCAATGGGGAAGACTCCTAAGATCAATTTGCACTGTTGATTTCAAGATGGTAGAGTTTGTCCAAGGTCCACCAAGCCACCCTTGACTGTTGATGAGAGCTTGTGAAGGAGACATTGAACATGTGCAGTTGTTGTGTTCCACATGTAAGAGGTCATAATTGAGCCAGCCTTGGTATTTTCCACTTGCGTTCTCCTTTGTCTTACTGAGATCTCTCCACATTCTTCTAAAGCTTGAACTTGTATAGACCGATACTGGAATTTGAAAAGATCCAGACAATCAAAAAAATTGAATAAAAAACATGATAAAGAAGTCACAGGGCTTGATGTGGAAAGAGGGTGCCTTGAAAATATTGGTTAATAGAAAGGGGTTGGGGTTGTCCAACCCCTTGCTGTTGAATAAATAAGGCTGTTGGTTCAATTTGGGGTTGGCTGATGAAGGTTGAAAGATCCTGGCTCACAAAGCTGAATTAACCCTCTTCTTATTCCATTTGAATACAGCAAGGTCCTCCTTGGACACAGTGAACTCAACGCCTGAATCCTGATTTCCTTCCCCAGTCCCTTTTTGGAGTTTATCAGCATTGTGGAGCCACCGTGCAAGGGTTCCAATCTACATATCAAAATGAAAAGTTAAGACAAATCATAACCAAGTTACAAGAAAGCAGCACTTACTTTCTTTTTGCACTTTTGACCTCCTCTGTCTGCATGTCCATTTGAAATAAGGAAAGCAGCAACTTGTTCACATAAAACACTCTTCTGTTGTGTTTGCCACACATTGTAGTTCTCAAAAGTTCTGCACCATTCAGCAATGAGATCTAAGTTGCATTTGCCATCACTATCAGGGGTGAGCCAGCATTTTCTATGCTTGGTGATCTCTGTGTCTTCATCATGATCAATTTGAGTATCACCTTGAGATTCCTGTGTAGTTTCATTTTGAGCACCAGAATTTGGTGGAGACGCTTGTTTGGCTTTGGATTTTTGGGGAGGCTTTTGAGAAGCTGGTGCTGGTGTCTTTTGAGGTTGTCTTTGTTGCTTCTTAGGTGGTTTGGGAGTTGCCATGGTAGAATGAAGGCTGTAGACTAGTTGACTTATGGATTGGAGGAGGTGACAAGTTGTTGAATCCGTGCCCAATCCGCTCTGGAAAGGTTTGGAATTGGAAATGGATTTGAAGTTAGACCTTGCTGTATTCAAATGGAATAAGAAGAGGGTTAATCCAGCTTTGTGAGCCAGGATCTTTCAACCTTCATCAGCCAACCCCAAATTGAACCAACAGCCTTATTTATTCAACAGCAAGGGGTTGGACAACCCCAACCCCTTTCTATTAACCAATATTTTCAAGGCACCCTCTTTCCACATCAAGCCCTGTGACTTCTTTATCATGTTTTTTATTCAATTTTTTTGATTGTCTGGATCTTTTCAAATTCCAGTATTGGTCTATACAAGTTCAAGCTTTAGAAGAATGTGGAGAGATCTCAGTAAGACAAAGGAGAACGCAAGTGGAAAATACCAAGGCTGGCTCAATTATGACCTCTTACATGTGGAACACAACAACTGCACATGTTCAATGTCTCCTTCACAAGCTCTCATCAACAGTCAAGGGTGGCTTGGTGGACCTTGGACAAACTCTACCATCTTGAAATCAACAGTGCAAATTGATCTTAGGAGTCTTCCCCATTGATGAATGACGGCCTGTTATTGCCGAGGAAGACAACACTGTAAACATCATTCAACTTCCCCAATTTGGCAGAGGAAAATGATTAATAGTACAGTTTTTCATAAAAGAATCTAATACTGCACACCTGGGCCATTTCACCCACACTACATATGTGCAGCAAGCTAAGTCAATAGTTGTCTATCATGTACATACAGGTCTGCTCAGTTTTTTGCCCATCAGAATAAATAAATCACATGTTATACCACATGTAACTTTTTCGACTTTGAAATTTTTTTCCCAAAAATTCACTACATATAATTCTGTAGCTGCTCAGGCAATATTGTTGAAGCTATGTCTTAGTAACAGAAAGTGTGTTACATGCAGTTGAGTTGATGAGATCACACCAAAACATTGAGTCAGTGTATGTAGTCAATCTTTTGGAAGCTTTTTTCAATCTGAAAGAAGTTACAGCATGTATTACATATGAATAACTTGTCCTGATGAGCAGATAACTGAGCAGAACTGTATGTACATGATAACCACATATTCACTGAGCCTGCTACACATATGTAGTGTGGGTGTTATGGCTCAGGTGTGGAGTGATAGACCATTTTATGACAAATCATACTCCCAATCATTTTTCCCTGCCCACTTGGGGAACCCGAATAATGTCTGCAGTGCAAAGATGAAACTGACTGCAATTGTTATTGAAGACAACAACAATCAATCTTTAGCTGAAGAAATGACTTTACCTGAGGAAGAAGAAACTGATAACAACTCAGAATCTGAGGAAAGTGCCTGTGCTCCTCCGGACTATGACAAAGCCAAACAGGAGAAAGTGCAACCAGGAAGATGACAATGACATCACACCTGAAGGTTTGACCCCAAATGAATTCAAGAAAACACATCAAGGAAACATGTTCTCCGTCTCAATGTGTTAATGGCCCAGGTAATAACCACTGTCTCACATCCAGATGATCAATGGAATCTAACCACATTTTTCTTCTGTTCATCAGGATAACTTCATCTCGTGCCAGGTTGCTTGATTGGCTCCTTGGTGCAGACATATTACACAAGTTGCAAAAAGTATGAATCTCAAACTGTTACCCTTGACTCCTGGCCACAATGCTACTTGTTGGAACACCAAATTCGATTCTCTGAACAGAATGGCATTTTACTCCTTTTCATTCAGAAAAATTACCATAAAATTTGAAAAGCAGAGGATTTTTCAATTAAAATTTGAAGAGCATGTTTTGTGACAACTCAGAACTTGGATTCTGTCCAGGTCACACATTGATTATCTTTTAGTTTTTTGATGTATTTGTTACACATGACTTCATGAGCTTCCCTTCCATGATCTTAGGCTACTTTGAATGGGCTTGTTGATGGTTTTCATATCTTTTGCTCAGGATGGTAGTTCTGAGCTGAAAGGTTCATACATATGGACACAGGCCTTTACTGAATCGATCAGTGTGGTGCCCACCACCCTATTGGCTATTCAAATCTAAATATATGTTGAATACCAATCAAATATGCTCTAACTTATCTCGGTGAAATCATACGACTCGTGCACAACACAAAATCACATGATCAACACTTATCTAGAATGAGGGGAAGTTTGAAATGAGAACAAAACTTTACGGATGAACAAAAGCCTTATTAATATTCTTTTAAAGATTTTTTCTGGACAGTTGAACATTGATCTTGTTTATTAATCACATGTAATTATTCTAGACTGATGTTCAACACTGGTTTCTGAGGCTTGGTTTTGAAAGTAGTAAAGATTTGGATTTTGCCATAGTTGTGATGAAGGATCAAGAGTTACTATATTGGTGTCTCTGCCACCAGATGAGAGGGAAGAATCAATTTTCAGATAAGAAATTGAGCCAGCTGTTAAAGTGATGAGGTTTAATTTTATTTGTACTGATAATAAGATGGGGAATAATAGTGGTACACAAACATGAAAACCCAACCTAAAAACCCATGGACAAAACCCATGACAACCTGATTGTTTTTTGGGTTTTGTCCAACGTGGAAGCAGAAAACCAATGGACAAAACCCCAAAAACAATTGGGTTGTCATGGGTTTTGTCCATGGGCTTTCAGGTTGGGTGTTTAAGTTTGTGTACCGTCAAAATATATACAAGGTATTGACTACGGCCTTATTTATAGGCAAACATATTTGTGAGTATGACCATGATTCCTCCTCTCATAGAAGTTCATGACTATTCCTCCATTAGTCTTACTGTGAACTTTCCTCCATTGACTAATACCCTAAGTCCCTTCTATCTTTCTCTTAGTATCCATTCTCAGCTTTCTACCTGATGTTTCAGGTAAAGTTCCTTACAAGGTAATTTACTTACCGTCTTTGTTTGGTGCGGCCAACCAAGGCACGACTTGGCAGCGAGTTCCATGGCTGGGGTGCACGTTGAAACGGCTACAAGCATATGCCAATAGCGCGACAAACGTGGCGTGCGAGGAAAGCTTTTCCTCTCCAAGCTTTTGAGAGAGAAAACTTTCATCTCTCCCACGCCCTCACCATACAGCAACAGAACTCAGCACATCCTTTGGAGATCCGCAATTTCAGTTCTCAAATTATATGTGTGACATTAACAAATTGATTATCCAACGAATTGCCGAATCTCAATTCATGTTTTCAGGAAAATGGTAACTTTTATAGAGGAACTAGCGGAATCGAGAAGGAGAGTTGTGGTGGCAGTCCGTAACGGGAAGTCAGGACCCAGGCTTAGAAGCAGGTCTAGGAACCGTAACAAGGCGAACAATCAGGCTCAAGAAGGATCGCAAGCTGAAGGTGAAGATGCAGAACCTACGGCACCAGAGGAGGAAGAAGACATCGAATTCGTAAATAACCACGAACAAACGTCAGGTCAAACGGACAACGCACCGACAAATACGGAAAGAGCGACAGGGACAAGCGTAGCCGGGCTGATATGTCCTTTCGGCCCTGTGAGAATGGAAAAGGAATCAACAGAAGCCAGTAGCGATTTGAGCGAGGAAGAGACAAGAGGAGTTGAGACAAACATAAGTGGTAAGTTTCAGTATACACCGATCAATTCTATCACCACAACCCCCAAAGACTCCACCGTCCGCGTTGTCCATCACCCACATCCCTGTCCAACATCCACGTCCAGTTCCACCCTTCAAAAATCTACGTTCCAGTTTTTTCACGTCTGGTACGTGCAGGCTTAAAAGTGCCTCCCGGCGTAGCCGAGGCTAACCGGAGCTATATCCGTGGTCCGAAATACTACACGTCTCTGCCACTAGCTGGATCCACAGAGCGGGAAATTCCCCAGGCTTTTACGTGTCTGGAGAAGTACACGCCGGCGTTAGCCGAGGCGACTGGAGCTATATCCAGGTGTCCCTTTTTTAGAAGGCGATGTGAAGACGACTTTACACATAAAACACATTCCCGAAGACCCCTATAAATAAGTCGTAGTACAGACACTGGGTAGAGATAGTCGTAGTGAATAACGGACATACAAAAAGAATCAGAATTTGGTCTGACCTTTACCCTACGGAAAATTTTTAGATGCACAACTGGAAAGCAGAAACCAGTGGTGGCTCACCATAGTGGACACGTTCAATCAAGACGAAGTCATGTTAGGCAGAACGATGCTCGGAGCCTACGAAGCTATGTACGGTGACATCCCGTTCGATCCGGAGGCGGAGACGAGAAGAGGCAGGCGAAGCAACCGCGAACCAGTCCAGACCGGAAAGCGGAGGCCAAGGACTGAATCCTTAATCGCCGACGAGGATCCAAACCACGCACGAGCACCAGCACGGGTGTCTACGAAGAAAACTCGTAAACTGGAGCCCGAGCCAGAAGCAACAAGCACAGTTACGAGAGCGGTACCAAATCCTGTACAAGCCACGTCAACAATCCCCTCTACGTCATCCTCCAACAACCTCACGTCCTACGCTACCCCCAAAGCAAAAGGCAAAGGGGCAGAAAAAGAAGAAGAGGATAGTACGAACCCGGAGGAAGACATCACCTTTGTAGACGATCAGCAGCTCTCCAATAACAGCCTTTTAAAACTGTCGCACTGTTTCCATCAAAGAATGACCAAGCTGAAGAGTTACGTGCCATTAACGGTATTCAACATGGATTGGATTGACCGAGATTCAGAGAAGGCAAGTCAAAAGAAATTAAAAACGGTAAAAGAGCTGCAGGAAGGTGACGACACTATGACGTACTCGGGTTTACAACCAAAAGACGAGTTACTCCTCTCATACGGCGAGTGGATAGATCATATGGATTTGTTCATCCGGTATGTAGAAGAATACTACCACATGCCAAAATGCGCCGAAAATTTCAGGCAGCACAAGACGAACGTAATCGACATCAGAAGATCGACTTCCTGCTGGATGGTAGCCCTACGGTACTGCATCAAAGTCAGAAAATTAGTGATGCAACACAGAATGGTAGAGGGAAAGTGTGTAATGAGTAATGCGGGAGTACTCCACGAAGACATACTCAGAGCAGCCAAAGACAAGGCAGAGTCTTTAGGCGAGCGAAGCCACGCCGAGAATCCCTACATAGCGACGGTAGAGACTCCTGATCTCTCGGTGGCGAAGGAGCGTAGCTTGATCAAGAGGGAATTCGCCGCCGCCAATCAAAACAACTCACACGGTAGCTGGAGAAACGGTAACCGAGAGGACCAAAACGGTGGGAGAAGAGGAAAGAGTAGGTATCAGAAAAACAAGAACCGAAATGATAGACGAAATGAAAATGACCAAGGGAGAGCTCACGAAAGCGGCCAGCACTATAACAAAGGGCATACCACCTTCCCTTTCAATTCTTTCGGCGGCCATTACCAACACCAATCCCATCTTCCGTATCAACCCTACGTCCCGTACCAATCGTACTCATACGCGAGCGGGAGCAACCAAGGTTTCAACCAAGGCGGCACCACCGCGGGTCCCAGCGAACCGAGCAACCAACTGGCCATTGTGCCAAAGCCGGGAACGAGCGGGGGCGGAAACCAAAACGGCGCTTTAGCAATCGTGCATCGTAACAACACAAACAAATGGTAAGTCAATTTACGATAGGTCTTCCTTTCAATTCCTTTCTTTCTTCAAACACTTCATATCCCCCTTTTTTGTGCAAAACCCTCACCGTGTTTTTCCTGTCCTGTCCATGTCCTAAATCTGAAACCAGAAGCTTGTATGGTTTCGCGCCACCGAAGCTCAGCCGCCAAAAGAGGCCATAATTTGGCTAGGGACAAAGAACAGCAAAAAGAGAAGGGGAAGATGAGACAACAACCATCACAGCCCCCAACTACTGGTCACTGGCAGGCCAGTACATCCGATGTCTCCAAAATGTTTTCAACAAAACTTCAATTGGTTTTCAGCATAACATCCATCTGCTATCAAGATGTTTTGGGTCAGTTACCAGCAAAATATGTCATACCACCAAAATTGAGATGATGTCATACAGCATCATAAACCTGTACAAACCTGCTCCTGTATTTCCCCACCAAGAATATATAGTTTATTAACCTTTGTGACATAAATTGACTGAGTTATTGAGGTTTGAAAAAAAAATCACGGACAAAAAATACTATTTTTGTACTATACCTAAGAATTGATTCTGGAATATCTTCCAGCTTCATCAATATACATACACAAAAAAATTGATATTCCTTTTGAAAACATGTTTCTCCACATTTTTGTCCCCTAGAACCTTCCTGTATGGGCAGTATTTCTATATGTAATTGTGGTGTGTACATGAGCAGTCAACAATTTGATTGATTCTTTGTTTCTAGGCAGAATATGGCAAAGTTTATGGCAGAAATTTTTGTCAAATACCATCTACATGTACATCAATCAAATTCAGAATGATTTTGGCAATATGTCCCTCAAATTTTTCTTGGGGCAAAGAACTTCAGAAAATCACACTTGCAGACACATTCAGGAATTACATGTAGAAATACTGCCCATACAGGAAGGCTTTAGGGGACAAAAATGTGGAGAAACATGTTTTGAAAAGGAATATCAATTTTTTTGTGTATGTATATTGATGAAGCTGGAAGATATTCCAGAAGCAATTCTTAGGTATAGTACAAAAATAGTATTTTTTGTCCGTGATTTTTTTTTCAAACCTCAATAACTCAGTCAATTTATGTCACAAAGGTTAATAAACTATATATTCTTGGTGGGGAAATACAGGAGCAGGTTTGTACAGGTTTATGATGCTGTATGACATCATCTCAATTTTGGTGGTCTCCCAACCACTTCTCAACAAATTCTCAATCGATGGATGTTATCCATTTGATATCCATTTCATAACTTTCTCATAACTTGCTCATAACTTGCTAGGGTCGGTGGGAGGCACTGGCCTGCCAGTGACTTGTGATTGGGGGCTGTGCATCTTCGTAGAAAGAATAGGAAGGGGTGCTCAACGTATTGCGTGTTGTGTGCTCGAAGAATCTTTATCATTTTTATCCTACGAAAATTATGACGTTGTTTACATCTCCATCCGTTTTTCTTTTTGTTTCCAAACCTTTTTCTCCTTTACGTCACGGGGTCGTGTCCCAACGGAAATCAGTTGTTCAAAGAAGGACACATATGTCAGAGAACGCCCCTCCCCGTACTTCCTTTTTATCCTTGGTTTGAGTCATGAAATGAGCAAGCTGCACATAATGCAAAGTATCATCAGAATTACCTTCCGAGAAAACAGAGAGTGAGAGAGAAGCAAACCTAAGAGGAGATGGCTCACGCTTGTTGACCCTATTCCCACAGTGACGTCGCGCTAAACGAGAACGCAGGCGACGAATCGCGGCATACCTGCGGTGAAGTAGAACAGAGCAGCAGTGGAACATCCAGAAGAAAAGAGACGGGTCAGGAAAAAGGTCCGAAAAGACCGGATACCCACACCAAAAAAGTGGACTCCGGACCAACCCTACCGACTCTGAGACCAAATAGGGAATGGCCAACCGAAATTACTTGCGAAATGGACCTCGTGGAGTGGGAGAAAATGCTGCGGAAACACAATATCCTAGAAAAGCACCAGAAGATACTCATTGGTTTCAAAGAAGGTTTTGACCAGGGTATACCAGATCACAAAATAGAAGGCCTAGCCCATTACTCACCTCCAAATCACGAACGGTCGGTAGGCGGAAGTGGTGTGATGGTAGAGAAACTGCAAAAGGAGTTAGATTCAGGAAGGATGAGGGGTCCTTTCACAGTAGAAGAAGCGCAACATTACCTTGGATTCTTTAGGACCAGCCCGATGGGGGTGGTAACCAACGGCGATGGGACAAAGAGGGTCATAAACGACCTATTGTACCCAAAATACGACGACAATACTCCATCCGTAAACTCTTTCGTGGACAAAATGAAATTCAAAACCACTTGGGATGATTTTGCGAGGGTAGCGACATTTTTCGTAGAAACAGAAGGTGAACTGGAGTTAGGAATCTTCGACTGGGAAAAGGCATATCGCCAGATCCCGACTCACCCAAACCAGTGGAGATTCCTCGCGATACGACCAAATGACGGATACATTATACTCGACACAAGGGTGTTGTTTGGAGGTGTCGCGGGGTGCGGCAGTTTTGGAGGACCTGCTGACGCCTGGAAAGAACTGATGAAAGCGGAATTCAGATTCGCCGAAGTGTTTCGTTGGGTTGACGACAACCTTTTCATCAAAGTTAAAGGAAGCGGAAACAATACCTCCATGATAGACGTAGTGAACGCCAGCGCACGGCTAGGGGTGAAAACCAATGACGGAAAGTACTCCGAGTTCGCGACAGAGCAAAGGTATATAGGCTTCATATGGAATGGTAAAGACAAGTCAGTACGTCTACCAGAAGAGAAGCTGAGGGAAAGAAAGACTCAAGTAGACGAAGCTTTGAGTCAAGGAGGACCTTTTTCTTACCAGGAAGTGGAAAAGCTATCTGGACGGCTCCATCACCTAACGTATATGTTGCCACAGATGAAATGTTTCACACCGAACATACACCATTGGATGGCCACCTGGGTGAACAAGAAAGTGTTGAGAGCAATGCCGAACAACGTCAAGGAGGACCTTTGGGATTGGAAACGTACCTTAAAATCTTTCACCAACCACAAATTGCTACCAAAGAAAAGCCTGCTAGATCTAGGATGGGTCGGCGACGCGGCGATAACACACGGAATAGGCGTCATTGTGGGCAGCAAGTGGGCACAGTGGAGACTAAAGGACGGCTGGAACCTCACCGACGAACTAGGGATCAAGCGTGACATAGCTTGGGCCGAGACCATTGCAGTCCGATTAGGCCTGGAGATGGCGGCAAAGTTGTGCGAGGTGAAAGGCCGGAGACTAGTGTTTTTGACAGACAACACAACCACGGAGGGATTAGTGCGAAACTTGAAGTCAAAACACGTCTTGGTGAACAAGGAGTGGCGGAAAATTCAACGGAGATTAGTAGAGCTTGACTGTGATCTCGAAGAAGTAAGAGTCGACTCACTAAACAACGACGCTGACAACTTATCCAGAGGCATCCGAATCGGAAGAAAAGACTCAGATCGATTACAATTAGAGATACCTGCAGACCTAATCAGCTTCATCGAAGAATCCAAGATACCATTATGCCAAGATCCAACAGAAATAGCGACAGACCTAATTTCAAAGAAGCCGTAGAGCGAATCGAAGACGCGGAAACTAGGCAGATCGCAAGTCACATGGTAGGCGGAGCATGGGCCGAGACAACACTGCAAGGCTATAGCAGCGCAGTGGCGAAATTCAAAGAATATATCGAGGACCAGAACAAGGACTGGACGAAAGCCATACCAGTGAAAGCGATCGATATCTACGGCTTCATAGTATGGGCCGGCGAGTCAGGTGCAGAAAGAGAGTCAACAGAAAAACGACTCATCAAATCCAGTACCATAATCAAATACCTGGCTGGTCTTCGAGCTTGGCAACTGGCAACCAAACTCACCCCCCCTCTCCTAGACCAGGCAGTCGTCGATTCCCTAATACGTGCAACCGAGAGAGCCGAGGAACAGTCATCACTAGAAGCGAACAAAGAAGAAGAAAATGACGTCGTAAATAGAGAAAAAACCCCAATCATGTTACGGGAGTTGACAGGACTAGTATGTGATTATGCAGGCAGGTCAGACGTGCAAGAGGCGATCGCATCCGCGGCGTTGGTAGCTTTCTGGGGCATGATGCGCCTAGGTGAAATCACGAGGCAGTCCAGGAGTGAAGGGATGTTAACTTTCGGAGATCTAAATTTTGAAGGCTCAAGTACTAAGAAGATCGCGATACTCACCCTGTGGAGAGCCAAGACGGCAAAACCGGGTGACGTCCAGATCATTCGCATAGCATCACAACCATCCGTGCTAGACCCTGTAGCAGCCCTAGAAAGGCTAATAGAACGAAACCCATCCTACAAGCCGGACGAACCCCTTTTCGGTTTTGGAATAGGCAAGGCACGGGTTCCTCTCTCGAGACGACTTTTCGTGAGCAATTTGGAATCGCGTTGGGGAGAGGGAGGTGTAAAAGTGGGAGGGTGGTCAGGGCACTCGTTCCGGGTAGGTGGTGCGTCGCTACGCTGGAACCTAGGATGGAAGAAAGAAAGAATCATGGAACAAGGCAGGTGGAAATCGAAGGCAGTTGACGCTTACCTAAAAGACTACTCCCCGGCTGAACTGAAAGAAGCAAAGGACATCCTCTGGGCGATAGACAGAAGGAACGTTGAGAAGCAGGAAATGGAACCCAAGCCGTGACGAATAGTAAGTGTCTCAGCGAAAGTCAAGCAAAAAGAGTTAGACAAAGAACTCACATTATAACGTGGAATGCAGAAAAAGCCAAATGCGGATGAATGAACGACGAAAGTTTAAAGCCACTTGAACCTTGTAGTTGTTTCGATACATACCGTAGATCCCACCTGTACGAACGCCACAGTTAAGGGACCACAGAACACATGATGTTGAACCCCGTTCAAACTCCCGAGAGACACTCGACACCAGCCTTCCCAAGCTTTCGACCAACCTCCTCAATTTTTAGACAATATGACCGATAGTAGTTGAAGTACCATTTGTAAATAGGAAGAGTAGTCCGTTTAAGAGTCAAATAGTAAACAGTACAAAATGGAAATAGAGAGGATAAACAGATGAGACAAGAGTCGTAGCTCCCTACGAGTTTGGGACAACTCACCATGCCGAGTCTCGTCGAGAACCACGACAGATGGGAGGTGGCGAGCAACCATCCAGACCCGTAGATCGCTACACTTCCCGCAGCAAACAGTCTTGGCCTTTGCGTGAGCAAGAAAGTTTTCCAGCCCACGCAAAGCCAGGCCGGCCTGCGGCCCGCCATCCCGTTCCGCTCTACCAATATGTAAAACATAAGAAGTAGAGCTCGGGTGGTATGTGTGAATGATACACATATAACTAAGAACAAATGTGCTGATCAGTAGAGCAAAATTGCCCACTCGAAATGGATTGGTGCGGCCAACCAAGGCACGACTTGGCAGCGAGTTCCATGGCTGGGGTGCACGTTGAAACGGCTACAAGCATATGCCAATAGCGCGACAAACGTGGCGTGCGAGGAAAGCTTTTCCTCTCCAAGATTTCGAGAGAGAAAACTTTCATCTCTCCCACGCCCTCACCATACAGCAACAGAACTCAGCACATCCTTTCGAGATCCGCAATTTCAGTTCTCAAATTATATCTGTTACATTAACAAATACCACCCACCCACCCAGCGAGGTCAACAGACAGTCTTGGCCTTTGCGTGAGCAAGAAAGTTTTCCAGCCCACGCAAAGCCAGGCCGGCCTGCGGCCCGCCATCCCGTTCCGCTCTACCAATATGTAAAACATAAGAAGTAGAGCTCGGGTGGTATGTGTGAATGATACACATATAACTAAGAACAAATGTGCTGATCAGTAGAGCAAACTTGCCCACTCGAAATGGAGTGAATCCCAAATCATCTATTTGAGAGCTTGTGAGGTAATTACGTCCTCCCATTAATGCATGATCCTTACAAACTTCAAGATCTTGCGGGTTGGGGGTAGTGGGGGCCCCTCCCGGGCTTTTTGGTTTTCCTGAACCAAGAAGCCCCGCGGTTTTGATTTTCAGGAACCAAAACAGCTTGCTGGGGTCCACCATTGGGTCAGAGGGTGGGACGTATCTATTTTGCTGGGTGGGTGGGATGGTCAACGGAAATTAGCACCTCAGATACTTGCTGAGAGTATCTTGAGTCCTGAGAGAGATGGGCTTGCGTCTATTGTCCTAGTCAAGTTTGGCTAGGAGACGTGAAGTGGTAGAGCGTGAGAGAAAAACTTTTCTCAGGCGCACGGCTCATTTTACTGCCAACTGAGGTTGGTACCGAGTGCCGTGCATGCCTCTCTTGGTTCTACCTTTCACGGAATCCGCAAGCCGTCATGGACCTACAAACCACCTGTGTTATGGTGGTTCTGGCAAGGAACTGTTTCCAAGTGGGCCTTTTTGTGTGATTTTGCATTAGCACATCTTCATTCTTTAAATCATTACATGTGCTTTCTCAAATTGTTTCTCCAACATCAGCTTCAATTGCATTACAAAGAATATCCAATTTGTTGGGAGTAAGGATACTTTTTTGATGTGAAAGACCATCAGCAGTTGAATTGAATCCTGCCAAAAACTGAATAACCTTAACATTGACTTTTGCCCTTACAATTTGTTCAAAACAGTGTTAAAATAGTGGTTGTACAATTTGATTAGGTGCATTGAGGAGTAAGGGACAATCTGAGAATATAGTGGTTGAACATGAGACAGGGATTTATTGTTGGGGCCACCCTCTGATTCATGATTGGCAGATAGGGTGGCCAACTTCCTGGTGAATAATGCAGCAGAATCAAAATCAAAACTGTCATGATCAATCATACAGCTTTGAGGAAGTTTTGATAAAGAGATGAAGCACTACTTTACTATTGATTTATGATTGGTGGTTACTTGCTAAAAATGATAAAGAGCAAAGATAATGATAAATAAGACAATAATGACCGCAATGGGAAAGGATTTGATACAGTTGGGAAGGTGGTAAACAGCCTATGACATCATAACTGTAGCAGAAGTCCAACCCGTTAGCAAGATTTACATGTATTAGAGCACCTCTACCGTTGGCATGCAAAAATGTTGTCTGTAAAATGACTGCTTGACAGGTCTCAGCCTGTATCACAGATTTGCACAGAGGTCCACAAAATTGTGACTGTGTAGATACTGAAGAGGAAAAGCAATAAATCCCCAATGGTGGTGATTGGAAACTGGAATGTGATCAAGTCATGAGTTTGTGTTGGTGACTGGAAGCCAAAGGTTTGACAGTCATTTCATTTTTGGTGATATTTGGGTATTTGCGCGCCGTCCAAATTTGCACTCTCCCAGTCAAGATTTGGATGGTGTCTAACCCATACAGGCTGTTTACACAGTCTGGTGGCTTAGTTTTTTTCCCACACAACATGAATACAACCTGCATTTGCCAATTTACACGACCTGGTGGTGATGCTCTTATTACAGTCCCAACTTGAATCCACATTCCCATCAGTTGATATTCCATTATCAACTACTATTGAATCTGTTCCAAACACAACACATCAAAACTTACCAATTTTTCTCACAACAGCTGTATGTGGAGAAGCTAAAGAAGCTTTCTGCAACAATGTCAAAATTTTAGAGTCAAAAAAACAAAAAGAACAAAAAGACCAAGAAACCAGAAATCAGGCAGCATAAACCTTCTGTCATGACTTCCGTATATGGAGCTGCAATGCATATTACAAGAGTAGAGTGACACTGAAAGGAGTGTTTCAAAAACAGGGGACATTGAAATTAGAGGACAGAAAAATAAGTGGATTCAGTACAATAAGAGCAAGGTCAGATTGCTAAGTAGAGGCTGTGGATATGGGTATTATGCTGAAGTAATTTTGTCAGATTTATCAGTGTGTGTGAATTTTATGAGCTCCAGGTTTGCAATTTCAGTGACAGAATGAAATGCATTCATCCTTCGTAGACTTTCTAAGATCAAGAACAGGGTGCTTTGAAAGGTGATCACATTAGTTCTGTGACGTCTGAACATATGAATACTCTGCTTACATGTTTCCCAGGTTTGCAATTGTACTGTTCAGACCCTGTAGAATTGTAAAAAGTATGAAAGAAAGAAAAAAAGGTGTATGAAGCTTGGATATGCAAACACGACTTACAATACGAAGTATGAGCCAAAAGCTTGGATTGAAAATGAATCGACCGTTTTGAACTAAACACGCCTTGAGGTAAATGTAAAACATAAAATGAATTCATGAAATCAAATATGTACATTTGGATTTGACAAGAAAATCTAGACTGAAAGTTGACACATACTGCGGAAATTACTAAAAGGAGATTTAAGAATATGATTGTAAATTCTATCATGGTGTTTATAAAGACTCCTTCCAGTTGTCGTTGGACTGAAACATCCAAACCTTTGCGAGTCTTGAAGCTTTGGAATAATAAATATACAAATGGAATATAGAGCTGACAGAAATTGAAGCATGCGTTTTTAGATCAGATCTCTTGCACATCATGAAAGAAGGACTTACCAAAAATGTTAATACATCAAAGAATATGTAAAAATCCAAACCCGCCGCGGTGTAATGCACCAAAAGATCCTAATTGAAGGAATGAAGTTATATCTTCAGCTGAACTCATACCACTCCATTTTCAAAAGAAAACCAACAATATGGGGTTTTGCTGGTGTGATTGCAAGGACTTGAGATAGCAGACGAGTCACGCTGCAAGTGGCTGGTGAACAGGCGGGGGCTGACTCCCGTAGACGTTGAATAACGGGAATCACTAGGTCTTTGGCGCGGTGATACTCCAGGGTAACTTGGAAGAAGGAGGTGACAATCGCGGCTGAGATTTGAAGAGAGTCTTAGAGAGTTTTATGTACCGTTGCATTGAAAGCATAAGCTGACCAGTAGGGGAAAATACAATTGCCATGAATGATATATTCAATGCCCATGTCGCTGTGGTTGAGAGAAATTTTCCATTTGGATTCGTGCTTTGTGAAACAGCCCTCTGTTTGACCAAAGCAAAATGGCAGACGCACAGCCAAAGGATGACTGAATGGCCGTTGGTTGATCGTCGGAAAACAATTTTTCAACGTGATCAAGGATTGTCATCAAGTCAAATCACTTACTGCTACAGAGGCTCTGATCATGTTAGTCGTCCGGAATAAGATGGCGTAATAAGTCATAAAGGCTCACCCAGCGCATGCAACCGTGACGATAAACTTAACGCCCAGTATGAATTTTGGCCATCTCTGGTCTAATTGACCGGATCGTTCAAACTCTTCGCAGATAATTTCGATCACCGCGACTTGAATGTTTGAAGAGGATATGTCAGATCGATGTCTTAAATTTGGCTGATGTTAGACAAGACAAGCTTACTGATACTATATAGAAAGTAACACAATGCACAGTGGTTTGCACGATCAAGCTGTATCAGTCCCACTGAAGAAGCAGATAAGCTTCTATGCAAAATCAATCGGAGTAGAATGACTCGGAATCCACGTACTAGAATTCAAGCCAATGTGATAAATTTTCTTTGTCTTGGAGCGCGTATAAAGAATGTAAGTTGATTGAAGAAACATTCTGAACAGCCAGTTGAGCCAGTGTCGAATCAATCGTCAACAAAAGTTTGAACTTTTATGTTGTTATATGCATCAGGAGCAAGATGTTCTCACATTAAAAACTCTACTGCAATAACGTATTGAACATATCGCGACCACGATGGCTGTGGACATGGCTGCGGGAGTAGACAGAGAGAAGTCGGATCAGACAGCTGTTTAACAAAGAATGAGTTTGGGAGATCAAGACGCACTAGAAGAAAAGTTGCGATATAATCAGCTGTCGCCTGGTATGGATTGATTTCTGCAGGTAAGTGAAGAACAAAGTTAAGGATTCGATCTTGGATAACTTGAGACATGGCAAGGCAAATATTGGGGAAGTTGAACAAGATGTAAGCAGATATGTAGCTCAACTTGAGAAATTTTATTAGGGCAGCTCAAGTTCGACTTTTTTGTCCAAGGGCAGCGCGGAATCGCGGAGGGCGTGGTCGGATCCGCGGAAATTTGGGGACGTTTCCAAAAGAAGCTTCCGGACAAGCTCTAGGAAAGTTTACATTTCATATAGGCGTCATGTGATATATCACTTTGCCGCATTATACAGATTGGAACGTGATTGGACAGCTATTCCACTCGCGGGGGTCTTTTGCCCTTTGTCAATGTACTTGATTGTTAATTTTTGTCAACTTTGGCCTCTGAGTTCCATGTACATCTCAGTACAATGAAGCCCATATGTTGACCTTGGATGTGACTTTGAGATTAGTGAGCTATGATACTAATGCTGATACAAACCATGGTCACTTCGCATCTTCAAAGGCTATGGTATGGAGCTGCAATGCAGATTACAAAAGTTGCGTAAAAGGAACATTTCAAAAAGGAGATATCAAAATTAGAGGACAGAAGAATGAATGGATTCAGTACAATAAGACCGAGTTTAGGCTGCTCAGTCAAGGCTATAGATATCGATATTATGCTGCAGTAGTTTCGTCAGATTTACGAGTGTGTGTGACTTTCATGAGCTCGGGGGTTGCGAGTTCAATGATGGAATGAGTTACATTCGCCCTCCGTAGACCGTCTAAGATCAAGAACAAGGTACTTTGGAAGGTGATCACATCAGTCCTGTGACATCTGAACGTATGATGACCACTCCGCTTACATGTTTCCCAAGGTTGCAATGGTATTGTTCATGCCCTGTAGAATTGTAAAAAGTATGAGAAAAAGGAAAGAAGGCGTGTAGATCTTGAATATACATAATGCAACTTACAATACGAAGTATAAGCCAAAAGCTAGGATTGAAAATGAATTGACCTTTCTGAACTAAACACGCCTTGAGGGAAATGTAAAACATAAGATAAATTCAAGCAATCAAATATGTACATTTGGATTTGACAAGAAAATGTAGGCTGAAGTTTAACACATACTGCGGAAATTACTAGAAGGAGATTTAAGAATATGATGGCAAATTCTATCACGGTATTTGCAAAGACTCCTTCCAGTTGTCGTTTCACTGAAACATCCAACCCTCTTCGATTCTTGAAACTTTGGAATACCGAATATACAAATGGAATATAGAGCTGATAAAGATTGAAGCATGCGTTTTTAGATTGAGATATCTTGCCCATGAATGAAGGACTTACCAAAAATGTTAATGCATTGAAGAAGATATAAGAATCTAAACCCGCCACGGTGAAACGCACCAAAAGATCCTGATTGAAGGAATGAACTTACATCTTCAGCTGTACTCATACCACTACATTTCAAAAAAGAACTGACGATATGGGGAAATGCCCGTTCGAGTTTAACGACTAGAGGTAGCACGCGAGCCGCGCTGCAAGTGGATGGTGTACAGGCAGGGGCCGACTCCCGTAGATATTGAACAACGGGCATCGCCAGCTCTCTGACGCGGTGATACTCCAGGGTGAGTTGGAAGAAGTAGGTGACAATCGCCGCTGAGATTTGAGGAGAGTTTTAGAGAGTTTCATGTACCGTTGCATTGAAAGAATACGTAAGCTTACCAGTAGGTGCAAATACAATTGCCATCAACGATATATTCAATGCCCATGTTGCTGTGGTTGAGAGCAATCTTCCCGTGGGATTCATGCTTTGTGAAACGGCCCTCTGTTTGACCAAAGCAAAATGGCAGACGCACAGCCAAAGGATGACTGAGTGGCCGTTGGTTGATGGTCGGAAAACAATTTTTCAACGTAATCAAGGATTGTCATCAAGTCAAATCACTTACTGCTACAGAGGCTCTGAGCATGTTAGTCGTGAAGAATAAGATGGCGTAATAAGTCATAAAGGCTCACCCAGCGCATGCAACCGTGACGATAAATTTAATGCCCAGTATGAAATTTGGCCATCCCTGGTCTAATCGACCGGACCGCACAAACTCTGCACAGATAATTTCGATCGCCGCAACTTGAATTTGTTAAGAGGATATGTCAGATCGATGTCTTAAATTTGGCTGATGTTAGACAAGACAAGCTTACTGATACTATATAGAAAGTAACACAATGCACAGTGGTTTGCACGATCAAGCTGTATCAGTCCCACTGAAGAAGCAGATAAGCTTCTATGCAAAATTGATCGGAGTGAAATGACTCAAAATCCACTTACTAGAATTCAAGCCAATGTGATAAATTTTCTTTGTCTTGGAGCGCGTATAAAGAATGTAAGTTGATTGAAGAAACATTCTGAACAGCCAGTTGAGCCAGTGTCGAATCAATCGTCAACAAAAGTTTGAACTTTTATGTTGTTATATGCATCAGGAGCAAGATGTTCTCACATCAAAAACTCTACTGCAATAACGTATTGCACATAACGCGACCACGAGGGCAGAGGGCATGGCTGCGGAAGTAGACAGAGAGAAGTCAGATCAGATAACCGTTCAATGAAGGATGAGTTTGGGAGATCCAGACGTACTAGAAGGAAGGTTGCGACATAATCAGCTGTCGCCTGATATGGGTTGATGTCTGCAGGTAAGTGAAGAACAAAGTTCAAGACATCACGGTTGATAATTTGAGACATGGCAAGGCGAAGCTTAATGGACTTTAACGAAAAAATGTAAGCAGATGGCTCAACTTGAGAGCCTTTATTAGGGCAATTCAAGTCCGACTTTTTGCGCAAAGCCAGCGTGGAATCGAGCAGCTATCTGACCGAGCGCCAAGATATCGATTCATTTTGTCGTTGATGTACTTACATAGACGACTTGAGTCGACCGCCGTGGACTCGGCTTCACGCCCACTTGAGAAAGGAAATAATTTCCCATAATCAAGCTTAACGATCAGGGCATATCAAGTCGAGATTTATCCAGAACGGAGCCTCGCCTGGCCTCGCCTGCTCTTCGTTGCTTCCACGTCTCGACCATCTATTTATACGTGAAATTAGCACTAGTTTTGGGCCAAATTTCATTTCTATGATGTCACTGCCGCAATCAACATGTGTTACAAACTCAACTTAAAGCAAGTCATCAAAACCGCGGGCGTCCCTTGGACCCGACGGAGGACACCGCGCCTGTTGGCTTGTGTTAAGCCAAGCTTCAAACAGAGTTGCAAGCAATTCGTATCTGGCATCTGCGTCTGCGGGTCCGCAATTGATACTCGGAGATCAACAATACACGGTGATTGAAGTGGGCGAGATTAGTGAGGCACTTACGGCTAGGGTGTATCATACTATCTCTCACTGCTACTGCATGGACTCTGGGACAAGTCGGATGAGGTGTAGGGCTTAACATCACTGGCGCTTGAGATCAAAAATCTCGATGATTGAGGACTCGATGAGGATGGAAATTGGGGAAATGCGAATTGATAGATGTACATATCTTGAGTCACTCCAAGGTTCTCGGCGAATAGTATGTAGTTGGAGACACGCCGTGGAGTCGACACCAAAAGGTCTTCCAGCTTAAATCCCTTATATTCTCCTGATTGCTCGGTCTTGCTTGATATGTATCTATCTATCTATACAGACTGTTTCACAAGTTACTGATAATAATATTCTTGGAACTATGAATTACTTCTTCAGATCAAGTGGGAAAAGTCAGAGAATCTGAAAACAAATCTTATTGACTATGTAGGTGACATCGACCGTATCAGGGCCTCCCCTGTGCTATGTTTGAGAGCTTGCGGTCAATTCCACCCAGCTCTTGAATTTGGCTATCGTGAATCAAAACCATGCGATCGCAAGATACGTTAAACTTACAAACCTTCATTACACACGCGCTCGTGAGGGGCTTAGTTCAGCTTATATACATGGCCTTTCAAACACCAAACGATATTTTCTGTTACATTTCTTCAGCAATGATCATCCAATAGAATATATCCTTCGAGTCACGAAAACAGGGAGAAAAATTCACCAGCAAGGAATCACAAAGTCAAGAACGGCCGGTGGTTTGTCCTTCTCGTACAGAGTGCCACATCTAACCTCATTTTGAAACTACCCCTATTGCCCCCCTTGAGATCCTGATGGCTCCGATGAAGATGATCTCCAAAATACATTGCGATCACTCGCTTCTACTCCGTATCCGATAATCGTCGCAGCCTCAAAATGAAATGCGAGCTCCACTCAGTAAGCAAACCAGATCGGGCATCTTACACATTTAGTCACCTCGAGGGTTGAGCCACCACGAGGAAGTGACTCCATAAAGGTCTGTTTTACAGCGTCTATACAACCCACACAACTTGTGCTGTAGAAAGGAGTGTTTTTTCATCAGATTTATAAATATTTCTTAAGAATCCAGGCCGAAGTGACTTCAAAGAAGTAGCGGGCCGTCCTCTACCTTCAATGCTTCATCAAAGGGTTTCCAGCTTCTATGAAGCCTTATTCTTTCTGTCATATGTCATTTTTCCATTCACTGTTGTCCTTTTAAATTCTCAAGCTCGATGCTCCTCATCCCTGAACAAACGTACAATACGATTTCCATACGGTGCAGAAGACCTTGTAAGATACGGAATCATAAACACACCAGACCAGTGGACGAACAGTCGTCTCTATCCGACTGCCACGCAACCAAGTAAGTCCTATCAACCCGTCAGAACGACTCAAGACAAATCCCACTATCTCACTATTCTCTCTCTCTGATGATTAACTCTCTAGTCATCCCGACAGAAGATGTCCGGGCCGAAGCTCCTGGTACTAAGCGAAGGAAATTGGACACGTCAGTGGTTAGTAATCCTAAGTAATCAACAACCAGAATTCAAAATTTGTCTGCCTTGTCTGATTCCTTAGAGACGTTGCCTTAGAACAAGGTTAACCCAAGAAGAACGCATCGTTGACTGTTTGCTTCTCTTACTATGTATGTGTCTCTTTAGCAGGAAAATTCAAAGTCCAGGAAACCTCCTAGGGACCGAAGACCTAATCATGATTCGAAGAAATTCAAAGAGATGAGACTAAGAGCTGTAATAAACCTTTCCTCTTTATACGCAATTTAACCAGCCGAAACGACTGTTGATCCTAACAATCATCGACCTACTTCCAGCTGTCCGAGTGGGATTTTGGTAAAGAAGAATTCGAAGTAGAAAGACACCCCAGCAAACTAACCAGATCACGAACATTCCCACCACGCCGATCGCCTAACTATGAAGAACCATCTCACCAGATCCTCTCGAGTGAAATGGACCGAGGCATGGTGGTGAGTGATATGATAACAATGATTTCCTACTTCCAAAGCTTCTTTATTCTTCAAACACGCTGACAGTGGGAATACTTGGTATTAGTTCAAGGCATACCCGAAATTTCGCTCACTCGACCCTCAGCATCTGAAAGAAATCACCACAGAAAGGGGGCCGATGAAAGCGTTGGAAGTCGAGGATCTACCTATTGAAGCGTTGTGTGAGTAAACCAATGCAGCCATTCAAACCTGCCACTTTCTAGAAAGCATCTCAACCAAACCTCCTCTATCTTGAAACTGATACTCTTATACTTTCTCCCATTCAAAAAATACAAAAAGCAATCACTTCTGAGAAAGAAGACTTGAGAAAATCTATACAAACAGCTCTTGACAAGTTAACATATAATTTACCCAGTCTCGAATTCATTAAGCTAGACTCCCCGCAATTAAAACATCTGGAAATATATGAATTACAAGAATTAGAATCTATTTTGAAAGGACTTCAAGCTCAGCTAGAATTAGGGCAAAGTCAACAATTACAGATTCAAAAGAGATTAGATGATTTATCTAGAAAACTTCAAACCTCCTCTCAATCTTCTCAACTTCCACACAATGCGGATACCATCAACAACAGTCCTATGGATCATCACACTGCTGCCTCTCAATCTACTGAACCGCATTCAAGAATGGAAATCATCATGTTAAAACTTAATCAGTTTGTCCGTCACTTTGATGCCAACTTCGAAGCAGATCCAAGTTTGATTAACGTTGATCAACATCAATACTCAATAACATTGATCGAGATTTTTGAAATCATTCAAAGAAATAAAATCAGTTCAACCGAATTGAACAAGAATATTAAGTCTACTAGTATTTCAGAAAAAGAATTAGAATTAAAAAATTCTTTACAAATCAATCAAGATGAATGGAAATCGATTCAAGATACTACATTTTGGATTAGATCTTTGATTCCTACTTATAAAAATGCTCAGAATGCATTAAGAAGTAAATTATCTCATCTTGATTCTTGGTATGAAACCATACAAAAGAAATTCTAAATCAAATCTTTATGAAGGTATCAATTTTGATTTGTCTGAAATGATGATCACTCATTTGAATATTATTTCCTTGATTCTCGCGTTTGAAGTCTTAAAAAATCGTTTTACTCATGCATCAGGTTGTCCTCTCAGCACTCATTCTGATTCACTCGTTCGATTTCATCTACACTGTGACTTTGATAACACATCCGACTGTTAGAATATCTACACTGAAGCCTATTAGATTGGCCCTTTCAAGGTTGTATTTTCTGGTTCATTCCAGGTCAGTTATTTTGTGTTCAATGTGTTTTGTCAGCATTGTGGATCTCAAAATTTGTTTAGGCTTGTGATCACTTACAGCACCCACACTGGTGTGGTTGGGTTTCTCTAGCAATCTTTACAGTAGCTACCTCTATATTTAAATTTGATCCATAATTCTCTTGCAATGCTACATCGGGATTACGTGCTCTGTGCCTTTGAACATCTCGTGGATGATGCGCAAGACCCACGGTATTAGTATATTCATGAGTTCAAGGATGGGATTGGTGGGGGTGGGATCCACCATCGCTCGGTGCTCAGTGCTCAGAGGCTAGAGAGATCATCAAAACAAAGACGGTTTCAATTGAAAAGGATTCTGAGTAGTGAAGATGAAGGCTGTTTAAGAATAGACAATGTATAAGGAAAAACACGCACATGCAAGATGCATAGACTGGCATCTTGAACCGCGTTATTTCATCCATCAGATTTATGTATATAGCACAACTTCAGATTCCTTTCATCTGTACTACTACCATTCAACAACTAATAATAATCGTCATATTGAAAAAAGTCTCAAAACTTTCTCATGAGATTATAAACAAATATTGCAGATTTCGTTAAAGAACTTTAAGCAATCAAGTCTTACAATAATCGTTATTTTGAACTTCAATTTCAACTTAATCCAAGTCCATATGAATCAACCTTCCTCATGTACTCTTTATTGAAGCTCTGAAAAAAACTTTTCCTTTTCATTCATCTCTAACCTGAATATAACTCAAGACATGATCAAAATATAATCATCATTTATATATACGTCACATCATCAATTTCATAACAAATACAAACTCAATCACAATCCTCTCTCTAACCAATCACCTAAAGCAAAGAAAACCAAACCTCATTCTGAAATTTCTTTTCGATTCATCATACCCAGTTCATCTCATCAATTGTCACCTTTTTAATCCTTTTCAAGACCTCACAAATGTCCTTCCACTAAACAAATGTAAACCAAAAACTCCAGTCAGTAAACATTACAAACAATTTTTTTCCTCAAAAAATATGTCCGAAATCTCCCCAAAAAAACAATACGAACCTAGCTGTCTTTCTTTCTTTATCAATCATTTCTGGTTTAGCTCTATTTAAAACTTTTAAGAATTCGTTTGTTCTAGCTCTCATTCTAGAATGAATATAAGCCTTTGAAGCTTTAATATGATAATGTAAATAATCTCGAAATAATTGAATTCTTGAAATAGTTGAAAAGGCAATTTCAGGGGTCGAAAAATGACGTGGAAATAAGACTAAAGAAATAAACAAAAACAAAAAAGGAAATCAGGAACGATCTGAAGTGAGTTGATCAAAAATAAATCATTGAAAATCGCATGAAATTTTAAACCGAAATCCCTTTTGGAAACTTACCAAATGTGACATATCCCATATTCTCAGAAGCTGCAAGTCCTGGTATATGACTAATCTCTCGGGGTGGTTCTCTATTAGAATACAAAATTTGAGGTGCCATCTGTATAGCAGGTCTTCTTCTAGCATCGACAAATTCCTACGAAGAAAAAAAAGCACACACACCCAATCAAAATTTACTTAAGCAAGAATTCTGAACAAGAATTCAAACTCAATGATCCAAGATCAAAAAAAGCAAAACACCAACCTGCAAGAACACTTTTCCATAAACCATATCAGTATCTTCTCTAAAAACCGTACTAAACACCACTGTGACTCTATCTATATTAGGTATCACATAAATAGCTTCTTCTGGTCTATAATTAATTGGCATTAAATCTTGATTTGGATCACGTGGTGGTCCATCTGGATTAGGCGGATTAGCTTCTAAACTTTTTTGAATTGCGAAAGCTCTTTCGAATGGAGCTGCTAATGCATTTCTTTTCAAGAGTGATATTGATTTAATAAGTGATGATCGTTCTTCTACAAACAAAACGTCAACTCATCATTCTCATTAGATTTTCGTTTCGCTTTTGGTTTCTTTTAAAGTTCGAAAGTTAAAGCCTACCAGGATCAGTTGGGAGTTGATCAATTTCAAAAATTAAACTTATATCATAATCCGATTCAGTTTCATTTGATATCCATTGAGAATATTCACGTTTCATGATATCTAAAACTCCATAATCGACTAATTGGTTCCAACATCTTACACCCATCGAAAGTAAAATGATCGTCTTCTTATTCGGGGTAGAAAGATGATAACGAACTCCATCACTATTTAATACAAAAACAAAAAAAGGGAAATCAGTGATTCGAATTGGAGGTATGAATGATTTATGTAAATACGATTAGATCTTACAAATCTACAAAAGCTTGGTCTAATGAACCAGGTCTTTTTTGTATAAAACCATCATAATTCAATTTTCAATGATGAACTAGTTTCTCATCAAGTGATATCCACTCACTTTGTAAACTTTTCAGTTAAAACATCTGAAAATACACGTTCAATCTAATTAGTTCTTCATAATGAATCAATTGAGAACTTTAGTAACTTACCATGAATGATTATATTTTGATCTTCAAGTAGGATCATGTTAATGTCGATTTCGATGACTTTGATATTCCGTACTGGTGTTGGTGGTGGTGATGGTGGTTGTTTGTTGTTGTCGGTGTTGTGAAGTCTAACTTCAAAAGAAAGTGACGTAAATGCTTTCGATCGATCGAAACCTCTAAACATAAGTCAAAACTCAACCTTAACACTTAAAAATTGAACACATCATTCCTAAATTTCATCCAATTCCCAGCGGGGCTTGCGGGGTTTTTCTGTGGCTCTTGCCCAGATCCACCTGTTTGCAAATCTCCAAGTGAAGTTGCAGGAGGCGGCAATAGATTTGGAGCTTTATGGGTTTGACAGGATCCGCTTGTCCATTTTTGTGTTGTGTTCTTGAATTGTGTGTTTGAGTTCATTTCAATGTCCTTTGTGTGTCTGGCAAATAAAAAGAAAATGATCTACAGTCTCAAGGCCCTCCCCTCTTGGCACTTGCAGACTGGGTCAATAGGTTACTTAAACCAATTGAGGTAAACATTGAGTGGTACATGTCCTGACTGTAACTGCGTGATTGTGGCTACCTTGTGTTTGAGGAGCTTGGTGAGGTGTCTTTTGGGTTTTGATTTATGACCCAGTTGTTTGATCTCGGTGTCCGTAAAAGACTCTTCTTGTTCCGTGTGCCACTCCTTTATTGCTGAAAGGAATCCTGCTGTGTTAGCTGTGTTAGTCAAGGTGCTGGGCAAAGATCTCTTTGCCAACCAGTTAGCTAATTTATCTGCTTCCTTGTTTCCTGGAACGCCTTTATGGCCAGGGCACCACCATATAGTAACTTGTAGGTTTGGGAAAGCTTTATGTAGGCATTGAAGGATTTTGAAGCTTGCTTGTTGATTATCTAGGGATGAGACAGAGGATGAGTTAGATGTTGAATCTTTCACTACTCCCTGGTTGTCTAGTACTATGGTGACACGATTGGTTGCCTGGGTTGCCTTTTCTAGGGCAATTTTGAGTCCCAATTGGACCCCTCTATACTCCGCTTGACAGATGCTGTGTGAGCAGGCTGGGCCGATATGCTTGAATTTTGTGTACTTGGTGTTGGCACACCACACAGCGGTCACAGTTGTTTTGGTTACCGTTGGGATCCGTGATCCATTGGAAAAGATCAACAAGTACAAGGTGAGGGTTTGAGACGGAGTGTGTTAGCTTTGGCTATGGCTTTGTTTTCTTGAAGGACTGTGGAGTAGTTTATTGGTTTGATGAGGGTTGACGCTGGATCAACAGGGAGCTGAACCACAAATTCCTTGAATTTTTTGTGGAGTTTGTTCTGGAAGAAGAGGTGGAATGGGTTTTTCTGGCTCCTTGGGATCAAGAGTTGTGCCTGTTAGATCAACTGAAAGAAAGGATGTGATTTTGTTTTTGCTAAAGAACGTGCCATGAAGCTCAGAGCTTTGCTCTTCAGGTGTGCCTTTGGAGGGAGCATGTTGAGGTTGGGTTGTGGAAATGCTGTTGGGGTGGTGCTGAGGGCTCCTAGCACAGCTCCAGAGCAAACATTGTCAATAAAAAATACAGCGGGAGCCACACCATGGCTCTGTAGTTAGTGGCGGCATGGATTGTTGTCGTGATTAGGATTTTGAGTAGTTTGGGTGGTATGCCCCACCCTGAGTTAGACAGCCCAGCTAGAAAACCCACTTGCTGTCAGCCTTTGGCTATGATGTTGAGCTGTTTTTGTTTGAAACTTAATTTGTAGTCAATGGTGACACCTAACCATTTAGCCTAGGGTGACAGTTTGATGTGTTTTCAGTCTGCAAAGTCAATAGTTGTACTTATTTTGTGGTTGTGGAGGCTGAAAAGAATCCAGAAGGTATTTTTGGTGTCAAAAATGTCTCCGTGGTCTTTAGCCCACTGTTGTTGACAGTACAACAGGGTTTGCATTTGAGATTTCAGCTGATGAGGATTTCTGGCTGAGGCAACACCAGAACCGCTGCAAAACGCTACACATTCTGAGTCCCTTGGGCAGCAATGCGCATGCTCCAAAATGAACCGATGTGCGCTCAAATTGCTATTTTTGAGAAAAAAAATCTCTGCCGATATTGTAGTGCAGTGAGCGCTACAATATTGCTATATTTTGCGCTATTTTCTCCAGATAAGACAGTACGCAAGATAAAGGAGAAAAGAAACAAAATAAGTTGATTGCACTTTCATTCTCGAGAGTATGGCGTGATTGTAAAATTAAGTAGAAAACAAATAGAAACAAAAACATTTTTTTGATATGTATCATTGAGTAGAAAACAAATAGAAATCATTTTTTTTGATTTGTATCAACGGATTTTTCAAGTATGAAGAAATAGAAAACTGAGAGAGTATTTTAAGTTGAATCAAAATTGTCTTGAATTGCATAAAGACTTTGAAATATGGAATTGATCTTATGGTAGTGCGGTGTGCAGAGGAGCTAGCATTTGCTTGAGGCCTGTTGGCTTGCTCAGTTGCATCAATCCATAGGGAGTACACATCAATTGGTTTGGTGAGATCCAAAAGAAAAGGATTGTCCAAGACAAGGACAGCAGTTGTGAAGCATGATGTTGTTGAGGAACAAGACCAACAATCAATCTTTGTCTTGAACCATTGAACGCACTGTGAGCACTTGATATGTGAAACCATCTCTTGTCAATCTCTGAGACATTCAAAACAGATCAAGGAAGGAGATCAGTAAAAGGAGATTCAGACCGTTGCCTGATGAAGTCAAGTAGGAGTCGAGATTGCCAAACTAACAGTTTGCAATGTACAGTGCCAGCTTGTTGACAGAACAAGCATTGGAAGATCTTATCAAGAGGTTGACACTTGGCTTTCTTTCCAGGCTTTATAACAAACTAGAACGTAGGCGGGCTGGCACACCTTTAATTTCATAAGGTCTTATGATCAAATACCTAAATTTTCAAAGCATGCTTGAGCTATCAGATGTATGAATGACAGGGAATTACACTTCATTTTTAGATTGCAAATCTCTATTTAGTTGAAGGTTCTTAGACTATCCAAACTCTGGATCTTAGAAAGTAGATAAGGAGATATAATATATATCTCACTCAGAAATGCACTTTGTAGCTCCAAGACTCATCAATGCATTATTCCTGCTCCCAAATTTTAAATCTGAATTGTCAAGATGAATCCACCCATAATCCCTCATTCACATCAAACAGCATAGTAAAGTAAAACAAAAAACTCACAAATTCTGATGGCTCTGTTTTGTAGAAACTCAGAAATGTTTTTTTCTTCATCAATGTGAAAATTTCACACTTATGGAATTACAAAAAAGTTCTAAGTTAATGACAGTTTTTCAAAAAAAGATGAGGTCATCCTCAGGCTCAGCATTGACAAGTAGAGCAAAATCATAAGAAAATAACACCAGCCATATCCCAAAAAGATATAGAGTGGCAGGAATGGCATACATGCCTATTGACGAATGTATGAGGCAGTATCTACGTTGAAATGACTGAGAACAAAAAAATAAGCTGCAAAGTATGTAAATGATGAAATTACCTTTGTGTAGCGCAAATCCATTGCAAACTGGAGTGAAAGTCTTTAGCTCCTTCCCATTATTTACTCCAAGAGCTGAACCTTTCCCAGCAGTGAATATGGGAAGATAAATTCAATGTTTCACATGGAGTACTGTAGGATGTGGTGTATCATAAGTTGTTGAAGGTTTAGTTGAACACAGGACCAATCAATCAATGGAGTAATATGCTGGGGTGTTGAATTCTTCAAATGCTAATTCAATCATATGTTCTCTCTTTCTCAAGTTCCATGATGCCTCTGTAACCGATTAAGGGATGATCAGTTCAAATTGTGCGCCTCTCATCCTGTTCTAACTCAGCAACTTTTTGATTGCATCCCCAAAATGAACATGAGTGTGATAGATATGAGAGTTTTGAATTCCCATTAAGACTGCTTACCTAACAGTGATACTTGCATCTTGCAATCAAGGACCTGTAGAAGATTGTTGGCTACATCCCAATTCCATACAATTGAAAATTCAATTGGTTTGAGGACTTCCATTCCAACTCTCAAACTCCAGACTGTAGGACCAAAGTCCCCCAAAAAGTATTTGGGATCTTGCTGAGCTGGTTTGCCCTCAGCAGATCCTAGTCAAAAGTCATAAGAATTGGATGTCACAACCTTGGGTGTCTAAGATCATGGCCAGTACTTTGGGTGGTCCATCCACCCTCCAATTGAAGTTGAATTCAAGGTATGTCCAGAATCAGATTCAATCAAGCTTTAGAAAATGATAAGAAGCTGAGCTCAACCATAGGTGGTATCTCAACCGGTCAATTGTCATTTGATATGATGGCTCCGGTTGGATGTGGTAAAAATTGTGGTACAGTCTACGTTTTAGCAAACCCTTGAGTGTTAAACTTTGAGTGTCTTGCATACAAACCGGCTGGGAATTGTGCCTGTACAACACATCACCAATCTTTGATCCCGACGAGTGCTATTGCCTGATTATTGCTTGAACCCGCAAAAGGAATGAATCTTATTCAAAAATGGAATTAACTTTAGTACAAGTCTTTGACAATGAAGAAAAGGACTTTATAGTGGTTTTACAGATGCTCTTAGAACCACTGGCATGAAAATCATTATTTACACTGTTCATGAATTGTTGTTGACGTGGTCAAAAAGCTTTTAATTGCAATTTGACAAGTATGCTTTTCAAAAGTTATTCCGATTGCTTTGAATATTGAATTTTGATTGAAAGTGAATGAATATGCTTTTGAAGATTTATTTTGATTGTTTTGTAAATGGAAAAAAGGATCTTATGGTCCTAAACAATCGGCATAAGATGCTCATGAAATTGTTGATCAGCGTCAAAAGCTTTGCATTAAGGAAAGATGATTTCAATTGCTTTGAAGATCAAGACTTGATCAAAAGTCATATGCTTTTAAAACATTATTTTGATTGCTTTAAAGATTGTGAAAAGGAATTGAAAAGCTTGTTGCAGATGCTTTTAAACAATCATCATCAGAAACGTTATTTGTTCATGCAATTGCTTATTAGTTGGTTGAAAAGCTTATGATTAAAATAAAATATTCAATTTCTTTGCAGATCAAGATGGTTTAAACATAGGCCCCTTTGATTCAAGTGAACCATGTTGAAAATCATCAAATTGATACATCAGAAGGCGCTTTTTGACTGATGAAAAGTCCAGCGGTGTCAGGAGTGATAGAAATACCTCTCTTTTTGCAAGGAAGTCTTTCTTGCTGTTTGATCTCATGAGTACGCCTGTGGTCAGTGACTGCAGGTGACTTGAATTGAGGGTTAAGCGTAGTTGTTGGTGTACTTCCGAGTGTTGCTCTGGTCAGTGACTGCGGAGAACTTGAATTGAGGTGCACCAGCAGTGGAACTATTCATTTCAGGTGGAGGCATGCACTTCAGTTCATCTGATGTGCACATCCTCAGTTTGAAAGGGGTGGTTCCACATTTTAATTTATTAAATACATAGTATCAGCACCTTGAAATTGTAGTAAGAAGCCAAGGAGAGCCACAACTGGACTCTGATTCCCTTGTTCTGGCCTATTGTTTGTAGATAAAAAAAATCCTTGGCAATTTGACTTCAAGGCTCAAATGGGCCCCAGACCACAAACCATGATGAACCAAGTGGTCAATATAAGTTCTGGAACACTCTTGTCTAGTATGGCCCGTGCATAGCTTATCAGAACCATTTCTACCAAACAAATGATTCAGGGGACACCAACTTGGAAACCTGGGTCTTGTTTCCCAGATTCCCAATTTCTCATCTACAGCCAAACAAAATTGGGATACTCAGAATTCAAACTGCAGCCAAAAAGTCCAACTTGGGCATCTGGGAATCTGATAAAACAAACTTTAGTTCTCTACTTTGTATCCTACAATACCAGGATCAAAACTCTCAAAAATTTATTGAAGTTCCAAAATCCTCCTGTGCAGGAAATTACCTGTATACAGTCCATTCTTGGTGCAAGCAACCTCACTGTATGCATGATGTTGCTATCCACATAGGCTTCTGTGAGCTTAGTTTTGAAAAATATGTGTAAGCCTCTGCAAAAACCCCTTTCCTGATTATTCATCACAGAATATATGGATGCAAATTGTATTCATTATTAGAGCTGACTGTAGTTTCTTGACCACATAGATGAGTTTGAGTATTTTTGAATAATCACTTTAAATTGTCATACACCTGACTTGTAATCAGATGCAGTTTGTCTGTGTTATGCTGAGTAGGAGCACAATTTGTAGACCAAGAACTAGTGGAGGGGGGCCAATAAATTGAGGCTGAGCTGGACTTGCACTCTGATCAAAGGGATATAGAATTTGATCTGGTGGGGCCAAATGTGCAGTTTAATGAGTATTTGCTTGATTTCAAATCGGCAAGGACTTGCCTCCATGCACTATGAAACATTTGCCCTTTGTCATCATGAACTAGACAATACACCACTTGGCTGGCTACAAATCTTTTGTTGGTGTGAACCAGGCTGAAGGTCTCAACTAAAATTTATTTCTACCAGCCCCACACCAAAAGGCCATGACTGATCCAGAGTTTGAGTTCACTTACACTTTTTTTTTCTCAAACCCAAACCGAGACACAAAACGCCAGGATACTACAGTTCGCTTTCGATTGAATCGAAGTATTACTCCGCAATTCAATACCCCACACTCAACTCAACAAACTCAAACCTTATCTGATCCGATTCAATCGATACAGTGTAATCAATTACACTCGACTCCGTCTCTCTGCTACGGGAGAGACATCGGCGATCTTGCCAAAATCTTCACATCCTTGCATGAATACTAGACGAACGAATAACCAGCCAGGTCAAACGGGACCTTTGCCAGACCCAGAAGCGATTATCAGAGCGGCCAACAAAGCCAAACGACTTGCTAGACCAGGAAACGACAGCCAGACTCAGCCAGACCCGCAAGGCCCGGCGATACCTTTCGCAGTAGGATCACCGCCAGAACAACAGCCGGACCCACCTAGTACACCAACTAGACTCCGTACCGATACCCTTCTACCGTTTAAGACCCCCCTTCCGTGTTTACCAGCCTTCAGACGCAAAGAGATACCCAACGAGATGAGCAGCCAAGGAACTTCAGCGGCAGACGAGAAGCCTATGACGGACCTGGTACGATTGGTTTTGGAGTCTCAGCTGTCGAGCAACAGACGAATCGAGAAGTTGGAAGACATTGTTTTGAAGCTAGCAGAGAATCACACGACTACCTCGGCAGACGCGGCGACCACGGTGTCGAGGGATGAAGGCAGCATTGACCTCACCAAATTTCGCACATCCGACGGTCCAACCTTCAAAGGACCTTATCATGACGTAGAGGCGTTCCTTACTTGGTTCTCTTCCCTCAAGACTTTCTATAGGACGAAAGGAGTTATACTAGATGAGGACCGTATCATTCTAACCGGCAGTTACCTAGTTGAACCGAACGCTCACGCCTTTTATGAAGGAGGATTTAACAGTTTCATCAAAGGTTCATGGCACGCTTTTGTCAAATCACTCTTTGCGTCGTGTTTACCCAATGATTGGATGGACAAATTATATGAGAAAGCTCAACATTTGCGCATGTCGCCTTATGAAGACTTCAAGACTTATAGCACAAGAGCACGTACGATCCAAAATCTGATTAATTTCGATGAGGTCAAACTGGACGATTACCAGCTGGCAAAATTCGTCGAGTTCGGCATGCTGGAAGAGCTAAAGGCAGCAGTGAAACTGTGGGGTTATACGAAAGCCAATAAAGACTTCACTTATCATGTATTCGAGAATCAAGTTGAGACCTTGTATGATTCACTTACAGCCTCTCGAATCATCAGTAAGAAGACCAGAACCGCGACACACTCGAACTCGTTCGCTTCGGCTCGATCGACCACACCTAGCACGTCCTTTAGCGCTTCGACTCCTAGACTATCGGACGAGGAGTTCCAATGGAAAATTCATTCATATCTTGATCTACTCGGCAAGTGCCATTTTTGTAAAGGATACTGTGGAAGTGAGTATCGGGCTTGTAAAGGACCGTACGTTAGACAAAAGGTCAATTTCCCGCCAGGCTACGTCGCACCACCACGACCAGCAAACTACATACCCCCGAAGGCTCGATCTTCGCCGCCATCAACATCCCAGCAGGCCGGGCGAGCTACCCAGCCTCCAGCGGGACGATCGACGTCGTACGCCAAAGCGGCAGCAGCCAACGAGTTCCCTGAATTGGATCAGGCATCGATCGCTGCACTCCAAGCCCTGGACGAGGAGCTGGGCCAGGACGAGACTGAAGGGTGCGTCGCCCCTACCAAGACTCCCCGAGTTATCATCGAACTCGTATGCAACGGCGAGAAGATTCGGGCGCTTGCTGATCCTGGGGCTGAACTGAACCTTCTAACAGATCAAGCAGCTGAACGTCTTCGTCTCACAAGACGAAAATTGGTACGACCGACACACCTTAGCCTAGCTGTCGTGACAGACGACCCTCCGCCTATGCTCACGCATTTCACCACAGCCGATCTATCAGATGGAATAAGCGGAAGGAAGTTTGACAGGACATATTTCAAGATAGGAGATGTAGGAGGAGAATTTGATATGATATTGGGGACACCTTTCTTTAAACTTTTTCAATTCTCAGTGTCTATTACTCAGCGTGCTATCATTTGTGAACGTAGTGGAATGAAAATATTGGATTTTCGAATTTTGGATGAGCTTAGGGCAAGAGAGGAACTTTTGAGTGTGCCACGCATTATTGAGCCGAGAGTTTTGAAGAAAGAACAGTGGGAAAGAGAAGTGAGCAGACCTGAAGCAGTGGGATCATTAGTTGGGGTCACGCTGGGAGTAGAGAGAGAGGGTCGTGAGGAGGAGTTGGAGAGCCTGATGTTTGAAGAATTCCGGGACCTCTTTCCTGTCGATATACCAGCAGTGTCGGAGGAGGCTGAAGAAGAAGGTCTCTTTGTGGACGGCTCTTTCCCAGAGAAGATGCAGAATGCTAGTTCAAAAGTACGCCATAAGATTGTTCTCAAAGACCCGGATGCGGTAGTCAACGAGAAGCAATACAACTACCCACCAAAACATCAGAATGCGTGGCGCAGGCTAATCAACCAACATCTTGCAGCTGGAGGGATCAGGCGGTCGACTAGTCAGTACGCGTCCCCTAGTTTGATTATCCCCAAGAAGGACCCTTCCGAACTTCCGAGATGGGTATGCGATTACCGAGTCTTGAACAGTCTGACCGTGAGGGACCGTGCATCATTACCCAATGTGGACAGGTTGGTCAGACTGGTAGCTACTGGAAAAAATTTTTCTATCATCGATTTAACGAACGCGTTTTTTCAAACCCGGATGAGGGAGGCCGACATCCCGTTGACGGCGGTGCACACTCCATGGGGTTTGTACGAATGGTGCGTTATGCCAATGGGATAGGAGCACCGAAGAAACGGGGGAACGTTTCTGGGAATTTGGGAATTGGTAATTTTCTGGGATTCTGGTAATACAGGCGCATACAGCCCCCCGGTAGCAGCATCGGGTAAGCATATTACATGCACAATGACCTAAACCACTTAACCAAGTCCAAAACCATATACTTTATTTTAGTGGTTTACCCTCCGGGCCTTTCACAGGCTCAGCATACTTCCACTCAGCTTCCCAATCGGGAAGCAACCCCCGTGTTTCATATATTTTCTTCATTGAATCCATCAATCTCACCTCTCCACCATGGAATACGACATGCCGCAAATGACCTCTGGACCAAACTACCTGCAATCACCCAGCACATCATCATGGTCGTCGCCACGCTCATCAAAGCTGAATATCGTTTGGCCAACCCGGAATCACCGCTCCCTCTTCCCAAACGCCGTGGTCTCGTTGGCATCCATTGCCCGGTCTGCTCGACCCCTATGAAGTACCTGAAGTCCAACGAGGATTCCTGGCTAATCGGCGTGAGTCCAAGCGGTTTCCGAGAGTCCCTTCATCCCACCGACAACGCTGACCCACACATCTTGACTTCGCAAGTGCCCCACCCCCAATAACTCGCACAACTGGAAATGGTGGCGCTGTGACCAACTCAACCACGAGCTAGCTCTCCTCAACTTAGGCGCACCAAGGCCCATAATCTCATCTGAGTCAGACTGGGGTCCTCGTGTGTCACCTACTGGTCAAATCCTCGAACCAAAGCCACATCCCAATCAAAGGGACGGTTCCAATCATCGTCACCACCCCTACTTGCAACCGCCCCTCGAAAACACAACAACTCATCATACGTCAGCACGCGCTCCGCGCTCGACACCGGTGGTGAAATGTCAACGCTCAGTAGAGGGGCCTACTGCTCAAAGCCATAAAAGTGCCGCTAACAAAGCATGTTTATCTCAGTACTGCCGTGGCGTGAGTTTTCCTCACTTGTTTGTTTCTCCTCAAATCATCTTTCTCTGTCTGACCATTTTCATTTGATTTGAAGTGCTGCCTGGCGTTCGGCTCACCTCTTTGTCGCCAACACCCTTGCGTTTTGCCAAGTGCAGCACCTCTGGACATTGACATGCCCATCAACCCCACGAGTTCGACCCACCTGACTCCACACCTTGCGGCAAGCACCTTCACTGGCTCAAATGGAGGCCGCTCTTCGAGAGCACCAGCATCCCAAGCCCAACCACATCAGTGGGCCCAAGCATCCAACACCCTGGGCCGCCGGATCGACGTACAATCGGTGGCATTAATTCAACAACTACGGGCTCAAAGAGACCAAGCTGCACAGTTGAAGGCAAATAGCCTCATCGAAGAGAAGCACATGGCCACCATTCATCTATGGGTTAAGGTGTGTCCACTATCATCCGGTGCTTGAGAACCAACCACGTTCTCTTCCCTTCTGTTACTTGTACTTACAGGCTGACGAAAAGCAGGCCATCACGGCCAAGTTTCCTCAATGGCCCCTCGTCCGCCTGGACCAAAGTCCGCTACTGATACAGGCGGTCATCAAGGTACTTGGCTCGCAATGGAACCAAGCGCTCAGCTTTTGGGACGAGGAAATATACGCCTGGGTGAGTCTTTTGAATAGAAAATCTCTGATTTTAGTGAGGTGGAGGTGTGTCTGACGTTGCTGCAATAGCACGACACCCTAGTCAGTTATCCCCACCGCTACGCCTCTCGCACGATAGTTGTGCGCCTCCCCAACGTCACTTTACCCGTCTCTGTCATTCCGGTCACCATGTGAGGGCCTCTTACGGTGCCAAAGCAGCTGTGTGCTGAAGAGTTTCGATCCTCTTCCGACCTGCCACCTATAATGGACCTGCCATCACCTCCCCCATCGCAGGCATCACTAAGTCGTGCCCTGGATCTGGTGCACCCTGCAGGGACCTCGTCATCTACCATGCACGAGGTTATAGAAGACAATTGAAGCCAAGCTGGTGCAGACCTTGACTCTGCACCAGGATCACAGCTTCCTCAAACCGCCCCGAGCACACCAAGTCTGACACAGTCTGGGCAAAACGCTGTGAATCCCAGCGAGGCAGAGCAAACCAACATAGATGAGTGAGTGATCAGGGTTCTGACTTTGCAACGTTCATCCTGATCTTTTTTTTTCTTTTTCAGGCCCTCCGCATCGGTAACCCTTAAAAAGCACTGGCCCTCTCCAAAACTCCTCATCGCCAACCTCCTTCAATGGTATCAGGAGACAGTCGATGGTAACATCAAGGAGAAGTGGATGGACCAATATGGTGGTGAATGGCAGTTAAAGACCGCCACAATGTATCGATACCGCTCCTGGATCAACGAAGTCACCTACCCAAGATTTCACGCCAAGTATGGCTCTCAACCACGAGCCGCCGTTGGCGAGGCTCGCATATTCTACAAGGCAGAGTTTAACAGAGTCGCATATGTCAAAGCCAAAGAGGAGAACGAGCCAGCGGAAATTGGTCAGTACTGACCCGCTTGTGTTTTTCGATGACCAGTTCAGACTTCCGTTGGCTAACTATTATTGCTTATTGCATTCTCATTCAAACTCATGATGTATACCCAGAGTGACCCGTATATATATAGTCTAATTAGATGAATAGTTCTTTGTTTGTTCTTAGTTTTCGTGCATAATTTCGTGTCTTGTTTGTGAATATGAATTGAGCAAACAATCAGAGTCATGCAGTGAGAGACAGGAATCTTCCAACAGACACAGACACAGGAAACATTTGTTTCAAACAAGTTAACCTTTTTTAGGAATGTGACCTGGGAAATGTCAAACATGAATTTGGTATCTCTTTCTATTTCATTACTTCTCTTTTTTTTCATATCTCTGATCTAACAACTGTAAACGGGTGCAAAGATCACTCAACCCATACGACATTTCCTATCACATTTGCTTTGACCTCGGCATGATGCATCACCTTGAACAAACATAAACACCATACACCATCGATTTGAGATTTGAGTTAGTTATTGATTTGATCACGACAAGATGATGCATGTGTGAGGTGTGAAGCAAATCTTACTTGTGCAATGAACCGTTTAGAGATTGGATCTTGAGAAACAAGAGTCCCTTGCAAAAAAATCGACGCGCCTTTCTTGATGTACTCCGCCTCTTCCACTCTAGGAGTAAAATATCCAAAGCAGTATATTATCTCGAACTTAATTAATTGTTTTTGCTGAGTATCCAGGCATGAGTGACTCAGTAAAAGAAAAAGAACATCACGATTTAAAGTTCACAAGATTCCCAGTGCTTACTTTCGGGTCAAAGAGGTCATGTTCTGCTTCGACGGTAAGATGCCACTCTTCATCCTCATTGAAATTGTCAAAGGAAACGTTGACAACCTTTCCAGTTCCACAGATTGTGGCTTTCCCCGCGATGGCCTGATGGGCGGGAGCCGAAGCGCATATTTCACTTTGAGTCATCTCGCTGTGTTTAATGAACGCTTCGCGAGTAATAGGATTCTGCCCAAAATCTCCGGACACATGATAAGTCCAATCTCGGCGCAGTATGCTTGATTGCAAGCTCAACCCAAGGGCTTTGAGGCCTTCGGTAAAAGTCCGCCCTTCATCATTTGTCAGCACGAGTTCGGTGGGAGTCCCGTACCATGCCATTCCGCCCTCGCCGGGGTCGATACGTACTGGCTGCAAAAGGACAAGAAGAAACAAGTAAGTGGTCAGTGAGGTAGTCACACAAGCAAATCATCGATGGTTGGTGAAGGCATCACTTACCTCGGCAATGGTACGTAGGATTGCACTAAGGACCACAGTGTAGGAAACAGGCATGCTGATTGGTTCGATGGATAAGATCAGAAAGTGTGAAGGCTGCTGCTGGACAAGGAGTGAGTGAGGAGCGAGTGAATATTTTATGGCGGTGATAGAATAAATAGAGGAAAAAAAATTTCATCACGACTCCATCCAAAAAAAAACCTGAAACACGGGGGTAGGATCCCAATTGGGAATGTGAATCCCATTTTGGTTTGGCACAGGGTCTTTTTGTTCACAACTATGTGTTGGGTTCCTTGGGGACCGATGACATTTCATGTTTATTGCATGACATGACAAAGTTAAGAGGAGAAACGATTCCAACCAATTACAAATTTAATTTTTACTCAGTCTTTAGTTTGAATCATCTTAGCACCCCCTCGCCAAGGAATTCCATTCCTTTTCTTTTGTCCAACTTATTCGTCAACCACATGTTCCTCAGGTATATCATTTCTTCCAAAAAGAGGTTGTAATGCAACGGGTGCATATTCCGGCACATTGACGCATACCCACCAAACCAAATATTCGTTAATTCTGCTGCAGAAGCATTGAAAATCCATCGGCCCCCCTCTTGAATATCCGGGAAGAGATGAGGGTCGGTGAAGAGTTTGCAGAACTCATCGGATTCTGCGTGCAAGCGGTGGTGGAAGGGGTCGACCGGGATTACAGTTCCAAGAAACCGGCTTCGGTCATTATTCCCAGTGTATATGTGTTCCGTCAACCTGCACGCGTTGTTGTAAAACACAACCTCAGGCATTCCTTGAGGGAACGTCTCTTCAAGGAAGTCCTATTTTGTAACCGGAACAAACACAAGCAACCATTGAATTAATAAATGTTCATGTCAAAATCATGAGGTTGCAGCTCACCTTCACAGCACTTACTGACTCCGCGTTGTAGAATGTTTTCCTCGCCAAAATGATCCCACATGGCCCAACGATCAGTTGTTCGTTGTGAGTGCGAGATCTGGATAACACGTATTTGCCGGCTGATTGTGATTCTCCACCGTCGCGTGCGGATTCGTGGGCCCTTTGTGATTCATCTGCTTGCCTCAAACTGTCCAGGTCTTGAAATTCCGTGGTTTCAGGGTCCAAATGAACGGTGGGGTCGGTCGGTAGATTTGTTCCAGGGCGAGTCAGGATAGAAGTGAGGGAGAAATTACCGGTGACCCTTTGATTGAAAGCAGCCCAAGCTGCTTGGTGGTCCTCATTATCGCAAGTTTCGCGACCAGATGCGCAGACCTTTTGGCATGGCTGTGCCCGGCAGCGATTCCCAAGCAGCTTGAAATGCAGTGGGCAGTAACGATGGTTGATATTATCCAACGAGCGCGTACAAGGCCCTTCTGGCATTGGCTGACCTGAACTCTGAGTGAGTTCTCGCAATTGGTCCGTAGCCGCGCTACACCGCCAGTGTCCCAACGTCACTCCGTCGGTGACAACGGCACGAATGGCTGGGTGCGGCAACCATGTCAGTCTATACCATATAACTCAAGCAGAGTCAAGGAAATCAAGTTAGTAATGACTTACTTTTCCAATGCTCTTCGCCGGTGACAGGGTCAGCGCTGTCTGGTAAAACACAGACACAACTGGAACAAAAGTGATCGCGGTATTTGCTGCCTTCGATCAGCAATTGATCCAGGTGGCTTTCGATGGCGGCCTCGAATCGTAGGTTGTCGGTGCCGCTGGAACTGACCACTAGTTGGTTGCCTCTACGGTCGGCGTGCTTGATTAACGAGTGCAGGACCAGGCCATGTCGGCACTCTTCCTCTGACATAGAAGGAGTGAACAACTGGTTAGGTGTAAAGGTAGGCGGTGGCGAGTCATCTACAAATATCATATTGAACCAATTCACAAGGTTGAAATGGCTGACACTACATACATATAAATAAAGACATTTAGTAACTTACTCGTTCAAGAGAGCTTTGAGAAAGAGAAACTAACTTACTGGCCTAACATCTGTAATACTCGGAACATATAGGCTAGACGGGTGGTCATGTAATAATGACAATGAACATGGACGTAATCTTTGTTGCGTCCCATGGCCTCCGTGTAATAGTATCGTTCGCCTTCTCGCGTGTAGAAGCTCGGCCGGTACATAGTTTCACAATTCGGATCTGGAACCAGGAGAGACGTGCATCAGGCGTTGGAAAGGTGAAGCAGACCAAATGAGGAAATTACTACTTACTGGAGCAATTCAGTATGACTGTCTGTACCGCGTGCACACCATCCGTGTCGTGGAGGTACCCGTCGATGCGTGAATGCACATGTAATGGGTAAGAATGGTCCGGAGTGCATAAGATACACTTTGAAAGAGGCGATCACATGAAGGTTTCTGGCATTTGAGGCGTTAGATGCTGTTGTAGGCCAAAATCGCGGATTAATGTCTTGGGGTCGATTCTGCATGAGCGCAGAAAAGGGTAACATAGACGCCAAAGCGCGGAAAGATGTTTGCTGGGCGATTGATACGAAAGGGCTGATTCCAGAAAAGGTAGAACAGGGTTGCTCTTCGGTGACAGACGTAGACGTAAGGAATCGGCGGCTACATGTTCGACCTCAGCCGCGAGGGAGACAAAGCGTACGAAGTCACCTACAGTGAGGGTCGCGGCGAGGTGAGGGGACTGGGTAATGAGTTGAAGGGCGAATTCTCGTAAGAGCATGTTGGTTTGGTGTGGTGAGCTATTCGGTCATGCGGTGGTGAGTGTGATGGAGGTAAGGGTTTACCCTAACACCGCCAACACCCTTCACCCATGTCACCGGCTGGACATCCACAGGCGATCACTTAACGTACGCCAGATTTAACTGGCTTTAATCGGAAAACAACTCAACGTGGCCTAACATTAAGGCAGAGGTGGGGCTTGGTTTACATACACAGCTAACCCATAATGTATGGGTCATTGCAGGGGAGGGAACCCATAAGGTATGGGTGATGGCGGGTTTCCCAGGGTTCCCAGAGTCCCAGACGAGTACCAGCCCCCCCCCGCTTCTTCGGTCTACCAAATGGGATTGACAAACGCGCCAAGCACTCATCAAGGACGGCTCGAGGAGGCTCTTGGGGACTTGCTTAACTCAATCTGTGTGGTGTATTTGGATGATATTGTAGTTTTCTCGAATTCAGAAGAAGAACACATTGAAAACACACGCTGCATCCTTCAGAGACTTCGAGAAGCTAATCTGTATTGCAGCCGTAAGAAAACAAAATTATTCAGAAGAGAAATCAAGTTCCTCGATCATTGGATCTCGGCAGACGGCATTCGCATGGATGATGAGAAGGTTGCGCAAGTAGTTAATTGGAAGACTCCAAAAACCTCAAAAGGTGTCAAGAAGTTCTTGGGAACGGTCCAATGGATGAAGAAGTTTATATGGGGGCTTCAGAAGTATGTCAACAAACTAACGCCTCTGACTAGCAGCAAGCTCGAGAAGTCACAATTCAATTGGTCCAAGGCAGAGGACGACGCATTCAATAACATCAAGAAACTTATGACGTCATTACCAAACCTCAAGACAATTGATTTCGAATCTGACGATCCCTTGTGGCTATTCACGGACGCGAGCGGATCAGGCCTAGGAGCGGCACTTTTTCAAGGCAAGGAGTGGAAAATCGCATCACCTATAGCTTATGAATCACGTCAGATGACCCCGGCAGAACGCAATTACCCGGTTCACGAGCAGGAGCTCCTAGCAGTTGTACATGCTTTAAACAAGTGGCGCATGTTGTTACTGGGGATGAAGTTGAATGTCATGAGTGACCACCACTCATTGACTTATCTTTTGAAGCAACGAACCTTGAGTCGACTTCAAGCGAGGTGGATTGAACTCTTAGCCGATTATGATGTTGATTTCAAGTATATTAAAGGAGAAGAAAACTCAGTTGCCGATGCACTCTCGAGGAAAGAAGTAGAAGAGGAGGAGGTCTCAACAGAAGGCATCGACTGCGTAGCAGCTCTCGTCGAAGCAGGTCCAACGCTAGCACCGAGTGTAAAACGCCAAATTCAAGCCGGTTACGTCGAGGACTCCTTTCACAAAGCCTTGACGTCAGTCTTCCCGCTTAGAGACGAGTGTGAGGTTGTAGACGACCTACTGTACATTGAAGGAAGGCTGTACATACCACCAACGGGAGGGTTAAGGCAAGATCTCATCGATGAAACACACAACCGACTAGGCCACTTGGGTTATTTGAAGACAATCGTTGATCTCAGACGTGATTTCTTTTGGCCACGGATGGCGAAGGAGGTGGAACAATTCACACGATCTTGTGACACGTGCCAGAGGATCAAGAGTGCTACGAAAGCGCCGGCGGGTAAAATGCTGACTCCAACCATACCTCACACACCACTGGAGTGTTTGGCAATTGACTTTGTAGGACCTCTTCCAAAGATCAACACTTATGACATGATCCTGACGGTTACATGCAGATTATCTGGGTTCACTAAACTCATTGCTTGCTCTCAGAATGACACGGCAGAAAGGACAGCCACTCGTCTTTTTGCTGGTTGGATAGGTTCCTTTGGAGCGCCGGTCTCCATCATTAGCGATCGTGATAAGACCTGGACGTCAGCCTTCTGGAAGACTCTGATGAAACGGTTAGGTACAAACTTCCATATGTCTACTGCATTTCATCCACAGGCAGACGGTCGCAGTGAACGAACCAACCGCACGGTTGGCCAGATTCTGCGGACTTTCACTTCGAAAAGACAAAGCAAATGGTTCGAGTCGCTACCGGCAGTGGAGTATGCCATCAACGGAGCCATCAATGTGTCGACAGGGAAATATCCTTTTGAACTGGTACTTGGACGACCTCAAAGGCCATTATCATCAACAAAGCCCGATGAAGCTGATCCCCCGGCTGTGAATAAGTGGTTCAATTTTCGAGAAGACGCTTGGGCCAACGCCAAGGACACCTTGTGGACTAGCCGAGTACAGCAGGCGCTACAACACAACAAGAAAGTCCGGTCGACAGAACCTCTGCCAGTGGATTCGTGGGCCTTGCTCGATTCAGGTGATTGGAGTGGGAGGCACGTTGGAGGCGCCAGTAAGCTGCGGGAGAAGTTTGAAGGACCTTACCGGGTGATCAAGACCTTCAACCACGGACAGGACGTAGAACTCGAGCTTACGACGGGCGATAAACGACATAATGTTTTCCATATCTCCAAAGTCAAGCCTTACGTCGAGCGAGGAAGTGGTGGAGGTGCTTCGCGTGGGGATGGTGACCAAAAGTAAGTTCCTCCCAAAGTATGCACCACCAGGGCTTCTACTCTTTAAATCCGTGTCAAGAAAACATACCTCAGCCACTCTGTGAGCACAAAGATTTCGCCCTCTTTCTTTAGGCTCTGGGGATCACGACGGCTGTGGTCAAACATCAAGACACTCAGGATTTCAAGACTCAAGATTCACATCAATTCAAGTTTTATATTTAATTTACTGTCATTCAATCTCATTCAGTTTCTTTCTTTTCTTTCTCTTTCTCTGTTTTTTTTTCTTTCTTTTTTCTTTCTTTCTTTCTTTTCTCTTTTTCTCTGTTTCTCTTGTTTCTCAAAATTATAATCAACTGGGGTGATAAATTCTTTTAGAAAATTTTTTTGGGCAGGTCAGTGGGGGGTGTGTCAAACCTTTTATAGGAGGGGAGACTGTAAGACCTATGGTCATTACATATACTTAACTCAACAACATCTAATTATTAACACTTAGACTTAAAAGTACTCTTTATATATATCTTTTGTTTTCAAACTCTATGCTTGGTTCCTTAGCGATTTGGGACTGACTTCCATACCCTTATCCTTTGGAACCAGGTAAGCATATATTCATTTCATTTCTATTCATTTCTTATTCTATGGCTTGTATATTGTTAGAGCGATTTGGGACTGACTTCCATACCCTTATCCTTTGGAACCAGGTAAGCGTATATTCATTTCATTTCTATTCATTTCTTATTCTATGGCTTGTATATTGTTAGAGCGATTTGGGACTGACTTCCATACCCTTATCCTTTGGAACCAGTCTTTGTACTGAGTTTTGATAGATTTGTAATTAAAAGTCTCACAGGTTCTAGAAACCTGTCCCGCTGTGTGTTCCACAGCGTCCTCCTTGTGTGAATCTAGTGAAGGGTTAACAACCCTTACAGAAATCTACTCAATTCTGCTGTGTAATTTTTCTCAACCTTTGGGGTTTTGCAAACCAAGCGGGTTAATTTAATGTGGTGCTGTAAAATTCATTCTGCTCTTGCAAAACACAATTTCTCCTGGTGTTGACTCTCTTTAAGTGAAAAGCTTTTTGGGACCCTCAAGGAAGTTGACCAGAAATGAAAATCTAAAATGCAATGGGTGGTACAAGCCACAAAAGAAAGGAATCACCCAATTGATCTCAATTCTACATCAATCAATCAATTCTGCACAAGCTCTCAATTCTTGACATTCTTGTCAAATTGAACTACATCTGCAATTGTGAGGCTCTTACAGATCTGCAAGTAAAAATACCACATGGGCCTTGGATTGTTGATGTCAGCTAAGGCTTGGCATATAATTCCACAGCTAAGTCACAATTGTAGCAGACTTTCAAAAGTGTACATACCAGGATCTCACAGGGCAAATAATCTGCCTTTTGCTGCCCAAATCTGTCACACCAGTTTACTTGTGACAAAATAACTATCAGATAGCCTACTAGGTCATTGGATGGCTGGCAATGGATGTTTTGAACAATGATTGGAGAGGGGTTGTTTGACACAACTTTGATGTTATTGTCTTTTAAGACCTTGTTGAGGCTCTTGATGAGCTTGGGATGGTTTGTCCCTTGCCCACAATCATATCAGGGTTCATTTGATTGAGGGTGAGGGATGTGTCTGTCTTTGGACCAGCGCTCTGTTGTTGTTGAGCTTGGGGGCTCAAATGATTTTGTTTAGGTGGTTGTGGTCCGCCTGGCGCATGTTTCAAGGCAGCTAGAGCATAAGAGCTTTTTGCTTGGCCCTGGCGCGTCTGTTGTGGGGGTTGTTTTTTGTTGGGATTGGTCTGGTGCAACCACAGCGACTAACTTTGCCACTTGAGCTGCTAGCGTCTCAAAACGCTCTGACCATGCTTTGTTCCGGAACTCAAACTGAGCATTTGTCGCGAAGCACGAAGGGATTGGTGTAGGAGCAGTTTGCCAACTGGGGTCAAATACATCCCGTTGAGCCTCCATGACATTGACACTGGCCTGCTCTTGAATCAGACTAACCAGCACTAGGATATCTGCTGCTGATTCTACGTTGACAATGACCGACTTGGTCCGCTTTGTTTTGGGAACCAATATAGCTTTTGATATGTCGAGAAGGCGTTGGAACAGGACTCCGAGAGGTTTGGCTATGGCGCCAGAGCCTCCTGGGAAAAGTTGCGCGATGCGAACAGTTTGGGGCGTGCCAGTGATATCTTTGGCTTCCCTGAGGGGGCTTGGTGAAGGAGCCCGTTGTCGATGACGTTTTCTCAAACCTTCCAGCAGAGCCGGGGTCCTCAAGACAGGTCCTGTGAGGGCTTGGGGGGTGAGAGTCACCTTTTCAAGCGCGATCGAGCTTGGTTGTCGCGTTTTTGGTGTCGATTAAACCATTTGACCCGTCAGATCTGACGCGATTGACGCGTCCACTACGTCGTCGATCATCGACTGGTCGTCCCAAGCCGTGGAGTCGTCCTGATAATAGGGATCAGGGGGTCCTGCGTCCATTTGGACACGCGATGACACCGGAAAGATTGAGTCAAATGAGAGAGAAGAGTGAAAGATGGAATCGCATAGATTGAAAAGTTGTGAAGGAGAATGGGTTGGATGACCACTTGCGCAGTCACGGAGGTGGTCACGTGACAAATTACGAAAATTTGGTTCGAGCCAGTCCTTTTCATCTCATCTGATCAGGCTTCCAGCTTCACAAAATTCCATTGCTTAGACAACACCCCCTCGGACCGTAGGCTTCTGTGGTGGTGCTGCTTTTTCAACGATTTTCTTTCAAAGTTTGCCAACTTTCATCCAGGATTTGGTTATAAACCAAGTAAGATCCAGTCATACATTTTCTGATTCATTTCATGAAATGCATATAATCAAGAGCTCCAAGACCTTTACAAGTGAATTGCAAATGGCCGAGCCTGGTAGGATCTGCGAGGCTGAGGACCCCTCTAAAAAAATTTACCAACCTATCCCCTGTGATCATCCTGACAAATCCTCAGGATGAACACACTACCGTCTATCAAGCTTGAAAAGGGGTTCAAAAGTGTGCTCATTTTATCTAATAAGCTCTCCTATGAACTTACACATATATATCCCCTCATCACCAACATCATATCCCCGAGTAAGTTCTTTCTTTCTGGAGTGGAATCTAATCAATGTTATCTCAAAAGATCATTCTGACTGGTTTGGTTTTATGGTTCATCGGGTCGTTCAGATCTGAGTTCAAAGAGTATGAGCCTTCATCTTCTTGATCACTTCTTCACAAAACCAATGACTAACGAGTTTCAATATTACTTTTTTTGAAAGTGGTCTTCAACATATATGTTATCGAACTTCAGTGCCTCTAGTGAACTCCAAAGCTGAGTCAAAAGAGTTCAGATCACCTAATTATTTACAAGGATTACTAAATGGAGTTCCATACTACGATCCTTGTGGATCTCCTGATGGACCAATCCCTTCTTCAAAACCAAATGACGCACCTTTTGTCAGTACATAATCGTATCTTTAACTTCTTTTTTTGTATCACAGAATTTATGATTCATTGAAATATATTTTAGTCACAAGGAGAAAATTCATATCAACGTGCCATACATTGTCCACTTGGAATTCAAAACTTAACAACAGGTAAACTTCACTCTATTTTTCCATTCCAAGTTTGTAGATCAACTCACTGAACCGGGCGGGGAGGGTTCTTAGGAATCGTTTTGATGATTCCTTGTACAAGTAAGTGATCAATGTGTTTCTTTCAAATTATAATGACAGCCATGAACTTTAATATCTCTTTGGATTCCTTTTTTATTTAGGTTGTAATCCAGCAGAAGTCTTTCCAAAGGTAAAATGAACAAGATCCTTGAACTTAACTCACACATCTTCAAGCTCGAACGGTTCTATGGTTTTGTTTTGTTTTGTCAGACTTCATTTCTTACAGATTTACCAAAAGCAGGTTTCGACATCTGTTGGATAAACTTACCATGTACGTAGATTCGCTCACCTCTTAGTATAAGCTTCACATTTTTTTTCTCCTTCTAGCTGATCATCATTCGATATATGTAATTCAGTTCACGGTTTAGGAGACATGCAACTTTCAGGGGAGTTTGTGGCTTACGCTGTCAATCACCTTGCCAACTTGTCAGTCACTGCAAAAATCAATATCGTGACTTATAGTCAAGGTGGCTCAAATGTTTGTAGAGATTTTATCTTGTTTAAGTTTTCATCAAACTTATCATCAATCTTACTGACATTTGAAATCTTGTATAGGCTCAGTGGGCTATCAGTGAGTGATTCGCTACGAAACCTCTCTCTTATCGAATCCTAATCTTCCAAACTTGTTTGGTTTTAGCTTTCTGGCCATCTATCCGAACCCGAATCATCAATCTCATCACAATATCTGCACCACATAAAGGAACCTTCTTAACAGATTTATTTTGTAAACCTTTGAAATTGATGGGTGGATGTTTACCTTCTGTCTTACAGATGAGTCAAGTGAGTCTCTAAGACTATGATCTAAAGAAACCAAAACACACCACAAGATCCTCATTCATATAAATTAAATCATACTTGAATTTCGTCTACAGAGATCTAACTACATGAGTGCAGTGTATAAGAGATCTATTGAAGATGGTGAACCAGAAGCTTTAGTTCCTACGACTTCGATTTATACTTTTTATGATGAATTAGTCTTACCTCAAGTCTCGAATCCAAACGTAAGCTTCTATAATCTAGATGATCAAGATCTCAAACATCTATAAAGTAATCGAGATCTAAGATTTTTAATATCTATGAAATACCTATCTTAGGGAGTCTCTTATTTATCTGGAGCTTCTAATATCGCTATACAAGAAGTATGCGGTCAAACTCATATCATAAATCACTTGTAAGGTTTCTTAATAATTTATTGCAAACAACTCATTAAGGCTTCTTGTAATGATTGATTGATTTTTTCGAAACTTCAAGTGGTATAATTTCGGATATGGCTACTTATGGTTTAGTTTATGATGCTTTGATTCATGGTCGACCTACCAGTCTAGAAACCTTTGATCGTAAGAGAAAATGAGTTACCAACCCATATATCATCATCATCAATTGACTAACCAAGACTGTATTCATATTATCCTCCTCAAGGAAAGTACTGTGATGGACATTGTACGTTGAAGCTTTCTACATCTGTTGATCATCATATCGCGAATTTCTGAGGAAATATGATCCTTATGATGAAATTAGATAAGATCCTTTGGAAGTTAATCGTCGGGATCCCACTAAACCTTCAATTAACCTGGAGAACCTTGGTTGGTAACCCAATAGATCGTCTGAATAGAATGAAAAATTTAATAACCTTTTCAGTTAGTCAAGCCGTCTTAAAAAACCCCCACTCCCACCCCGATTTCAAAAAATAAATAAAATAATGTAAGAATTGCAAATTATAACTAACATTTGATTTTTAGAACTTACCTAATGAACCACTTTTGATGGTAAGTTTTTCTTGATCTATCTCTAGTACTTATCATCACTTCTACTTCATCTCTTTGATCAATTTCTTTATACCTTTTAGCCGTATGTATGTGAAAAAGGTCATGCACCTCAAACTCATTGTAGCACTACAGGGTTTTGTAAAAAAAATCAATTTCTTCAGTCTACTATAGAACATTCAGGAAACAAGATGAACAACACACCTATGACATACATAGACATTGCACAATGATCAAATGATTTTATTTTGTTCAATTGGATTGAAAAAGGTTCTCGAGTAGACTACAGGAGAATTTTGTACTACAAGAATGGTCAACTTTTGGATTTTTGTTTTGATTCACTTGAAAAATCTTCACCATGAAATTCATTGTAATATCAGAGTTAATGTGAATGAAAAATGTGTAAAAATTTAAAGGTTTGAAGAATAGCGCTCCCCATGTGTTTTTGAAATGGAAATGAACAATCCAGGCTGATCTCCAGCAAATATGTCTACAACAGTTATGTTCAGGCTGAATCAACAAAACCCAAACATTCAATGAATTCACAATCCTCAAGAACAAAACATCATAAGCTCAAACCAATTTCCAAGAGACACTTTTCCCAACACACAAACATTCTGACTCATAATGAATGAATCAAAACCAATTGATTTCAATTTGTTCGATTCTTTGAGTGTTTTTTCTCTCATCTCAACCATTTAATGAAGAACAATCAAATCAAATCAAATGTAAATCATTTTTGTTTATATATAAATATATATGTATGTAGATCAATCAAACCAGATACAAATCTCAATCATAAATCTATATAAAAACCTTTCTTTAATCATGTTTTTTTCTAAAAAGATTTCATTGTAAGAAAAAAACACAAAAAGATCTTCAAGGAATTTGTAGCAACAAAACCACCATCTCTACATAAGAATCTTCTTGAGGTTTCCAAATTTGATATCTTTCTTGAGACTTGTTCAAGTTTGTCTTCCTCTTTAACTTTAACCAGTCCTTTGAGCTTTTCGTTTTCCAATTTGAGCCGAAAATCCAGTTTTGATAGCCGAAACTGATCTTTTAGAACCACATGATTCACATGTAACGAAATACAATCGATTATCTTTCTCAAGTAAAGTATCCGGTGATTTGCAAGTTTTACAAGTCACATATTCAACTAAGAAACCCAAATCAGCCAAAAAGGGAAAACGAAAAGGAAAAAAGAAAAAAAAAACACGCCTGATCAACATTCCTTCCAAAAATCAAATCATAGATTCAAACACATACCAATATATCTTCTTAAAACAGCTTCGATTTGTTTTTGTTGAAATCTACCTTTGATCACTAAATTCCCACTACCATCAACTGATCCAGATGTACCTAATTCAGCAAACAAGAACTGAATCACATGTTCCGGTTGTCGATGCATCTTTTTACAGATCTCAGCTACATTGGCCCAAATCGATCGTTTGTTACCTTCTCGATGTACCGAAGGTGGTGCAAGTGTATATCGTTTCTTAACACCTCCTCCAGATAAAGATGGATGTGAAAGGTATAATGCTTGATAGAATCGACCGAGTAACTTTTGGAGTGTAGGGGAGTTTTACAATTTGATGAGCTCATGGTTTGGGATTTGTAAGAAGTGGCAGATTAGATTCCTAAAGACTTACTTCATCATAAGTATAATCACGATCAGGTTCTTTTAACCAAGCTTTCTTTTCAGCAGCAAGTTGAGTTTTAGTCTTGGTACCTAACCCTTGATCGTTTTCTTCAAATAATCCATCACCACCTTCTTCTCCTTCTAAATCTTCATCTCCTTCTCCTGTCATAGTCATCCCACTAGTTTTACCACTCAAAGGTGTCGCATTTTCTACTTCTGCTAATTCTCTTTCAAACGCTTCTAAATCAAAAGCTTTCTTTTTATTCTTCTTTTTCTTCTTCAAATCTAAACAAACCCCCCCCAAAAAAAAACAAAAAAAAGTGAAAAGATTCAATTGAAAAAGAAACGTGAGATGAGTCCAACAATGTAGAACCAATGATTAAAGAGTTAGAAGTCTTACCAGCAAATTCTTCAGCATTCAATTCATCTTCATTCGTATTCGATTGATCTTTTTCAGCTTCTCCTTCTCCACCACCACCACCAGCAGTTAATTCAACATCATCCAAATTGATCGTTTTCTTCTTCTTTTTACGTTTCAAATCACTAAAATCTAAATCTCCCGTACTACTAGGAGTAGGAGCAATAGATTCTTCAGTTGATTTAAGTATCGAAGTAGGAGTGATCAGATCTTGAGAAGTAGTAGGTTCAAATGGAACTCTTTCTACTGTTTCTTCAGTTTCACTGTATATTTCCAGATCAACATAGAAAAGTTAGTAAAAAAAACAATCAAGTTGGATTATTAGATGATCATCGGATGAAAAGAGAGATTACATTTCATCAAAAGCTACGGCTTTCTTTTTCTTCTTCTTTTTTAAACTTGAATCAAACAATGGTTCATCTTCAGTGGTAGGTTGAATACTTTGATTGATTTCTTCTGCCATGTTGGGTAGTTTGTTTTGGAAAGATATAGGTAAAGAGTGAATCGATCGATGGAATATAGAAAGAAGTATGTAAACTGTGAGTCTGGATGATGAATGACTTGATTAGTCAAAATGCCCCAGTGAGAGTCAAAAGAGTCAAGAGACTTTAACCCTAACAAAAGCTGTTATGTATCTTAATATCCCTAAGTAGACTTAAGCCATAAGTCACCCAACTGAACTCCACTCTGACTCAAACTCACTTCCGATTCTGAGCGATCGATCAACCCAACTCACCACTTCAATCCATTTGATCATTTCAACTTTTCAACATGGCATTACTCAACACCAGATCAGTCTTAATGGCTTCACGCCTACAATCTCAATCTATCAGATCATTCTCTTCTACTCCTCTTGCTCACGAAACCTTGAGAGAAATCGAATCTAGATTAAAATCAGTTCGTAACATTGGAAAAGTGAGTGAATCTCAATCCATTTTTTTCAAACCAACCAATCAAATCAGTTTTCTGGATCTGATCTACTTTCTTTGCTTTGCAGATTACTAAATCCATGAAAATGATTGCAACTACTAAACTTAATAAAGCTCAAAGAGCCATGAACGACGCAAAAGCTTATGGTGCAGCTAATGGAATCGTCTTTAAAGAATCTGAAGCTGGATCCGATTCAAGTAACCAGAACACTGAAGCCGGTAAAACTTTATACATCGTCGTTAGTAGTGATAAAGGTTTATGTGGTGGTATTCATTCTAGTGTAGCTAAGAAAGCTAGAAACGAACTAGGTGTAGGAAGTGAAGCTCAGGTAAGTTTTTTCCCACACTCTCTCTCATTCCACCATGCTTAATCTTTCTTTGTTTGTGGGGGACTTGGATTAGATTGTAGTAGTAGGTGATAAACCAAAGGCTCAATTAAGTAGAATGTTACCCAAGAATATCGCTTTATCATTCAATCAAATCGGTAAAGAAGTACCTACCTTTGCGGATGCATGCGTGATTGCTGATCTCATTGAAGAAAAGAAGTATGATTTTGAAAAGGTGAAATTGATTCATAATCGTTGGATCAGTGCCTTGAGTTATGAATCTACCATCTTAGAGGTTTATAATGCAGATGCATTAAAGCTGGCTCGTGAGTGTATTTCTCATCCTTCATATCTTTGCCCGTTTCATCGATTCTGAATCTTTGGGTTTATCTGATGTGGTCTTTTTTTTGGGTTTGGGTTGGACGGTTTTTTAGCAAAGTTTGCGGCATATGAAGTTGAAGATGATCAACTTGTAAAAGATTTAGCTTCATTTGCTTTAACTAACGCAATCTTTACTGCATTAGTGGAAGGTTATGCAACTGAGATTTCGGCCAGAAGAAATGCCATGGATAATGCGACAACTAATTCTCAAACGGTCATTGGTGGTTTACAAATGAAGTTTAACAGGATGAGACAATCTAAGATCACCAATGATCTGGTAGATGTAAGTCTTTTCTCTCCCTCTCTCCTATATCTCTTGATGGTTTATTGATTGGTTTCTTTTTTCGTAGATCATCACTGGTGCTAATGCACTTTAGAATCAAATCAAATATCGTAACAAAAAAGTATTAGGTTGAGAAATGTTTTTAGATCTATTTTGAATTTGTATCGAATGTTTTCTAAACGATCTATAAATCTGAATCTTTATTCAAATCTTGACTCAAGCTTAAATGCTCTTCTCGTTTTGATTAGAGATGATGAATTGAGTTTAAAAAAACTCAAAGCGAGGGGTGATATCGAGGTGTTTTTTTAATGAAAAAGTTATATATCATCTTATCCCTGATATATATATTCTCAATCATTTTACACTAGATCGAATTACAAAAGTTTCAAGATATCACGCTTATACATATCATCCCTTCCCATCTTTGGCTTCAACAAACCTAAACTTTTTTTTGAAGAATTGGATTCATTTATACCTATCATCTCTGAGGGGAAAGTTTACAAACCGAATTCATGAGTGATTCAAAATCTTTCTTTTTTCATCAATTTCTGTTTTGGAATGTGGGAACACATGTTGTGAGATGGAAATCTTACATGATCAATGGGTTTTAGTTGATCATACCAATTTCGGTATTGTTTCATGTGAGATAGAATGATTTATATAAAGTTGAATGAGCACTCATGAGTACATAGCGGTTTAAAGTATCTGTACTTTAAAGGATCGTATCCAAATAGGATAAAAGAGATGATGGGTATAAATACAAATCCAAGATGAAGTTGTGAAAGAATTGTAATTTGAAAAAATCTGAGTTTTCTTATCATCTGAATCCCCTGATGGTTGTGTTCCTAATACCAATAGGAGGGTTTGAAAATTTAAATCAACTTCAATAATTTCTTCAGTGGAAAGTGGATTCTTGATTCTGAGATTCTTCTTAAGTCCCATTGTAAATTCAAAACAGTCAATTATGAGTAAAGGTTAAAGACTACATACATTTCTAAATTTTCAAGGAAGTTAAACATATTTCTTAATCAGATCTTTATAATCCTCATGTTTTCTTGTCTCGACTGGCAAGTTATACCCGCTTTGATGTTGAACCTAGTAAGATTACTTCAATTGAATCATTACTTTGTTGGATTTTTTTAACTTGAATAGAACTTCATGTGAATTAACAAACTTGAGTATCAAAAGTGATTTTCTTTTTCACTGGAGAGGGAACTGAAAGAAAACATGATCAAGATGTAGACTCAGCTACATATTTCTACTGCGCGGGTGCGGCTGTAGGTTAAGAGACTTTGAAAAGTTGATAGACTCGGGATTCAAGATTTTAAAAGAGCTGTCATGAAAGTCGACATGAATACATCAGAACTTAATTATCCGATTAGAGAACATGAATGAAGTGGAACAAGATCCGGTTAAGCCTAAGGGAGTATGCAACTTCCACATTATCATATCAAATCAACTTTGTGTAATTTTTATTGAGAGATCAGAAATGGATCACATATACTTCACAAAGATTGGATCTTAGACTGCATGGAAGAAAAAGTGTGACAAGAGTTTTATAAGATCATCAAATGTAAGAGAGAGCCAAAAAAAAGGTAGCTCAACGCGTGCCAAACGGATAAAATGGAAAAAAATCATCCCGATTACAATAACTTGTTGGAGAGCTTGCAGATTGAAATCGATGATGATTTCAACTTAAGCACAACAAGATCCTTTACTCGAATTTTTACAATGACATTCACCGCAAGAACACGTACTACTACCACAAACACAAGTAGCAGCAAGATTTCTTAAAGAAGAAGCAAAAGAAAAAAGTCAAAATCAAAACCGTATTGAGTTACAGTATTATAAAGAATTTGATGAGGTTCATAAGGTAAAGAGAAGGAAAGAAAAGACTTACGAGGTACAACTACAACCAGTTTGTTTGTTACAACTACAACCATCCAAGTTTCCAACTTCACATGGCTAAAGAAGTCAAAAAAGTCAAAAAAAAGAGTGAAGATGTATTTGAGGAAGAAGAGAGAGAGAGAGAGAAACTAACAGTACAAGCACAAGCTCGGACAGCTCCGTTCTCGAGCTTCACATCTGGACAACCACCTTAAGAAAAAAGAATCATGAAATTGAATATCGAGCGGGTTTTGAAGTAAGGGGTAGAGGAACTGATGAAGTTAGATGAAGCTTACAAGCAGGCATGATGATGATTGAAAGGTTAAGAAGACGTTAAAGTGGTGTATAAAAAGTGGCAACAATGTTTACTGGAAGATATCGAAGTATAAGATGTTATGAATGATTTGAATGGATGAGGTTGGTTGATGAGGGATGAAGTTCTAGAGGGAAAGAAGTCAAGAAGTGATGGTGAATTTATAGTCTAGATTTTAAAGCGAGAAGGATTGAAGAGAGTGAGAAGAATTCGCCGGCTCAAATCCCTCACTCTACCGGGTCATGACCGCATGAGTCAATCTGCATCAAAGAAGGTGATCCCTTTGTGCCGTGAAAGGAAGGGATTGGGTGAGCTATTTGTGCTGGTTACTGATCATCATCTATGACGACATTTGACCATTTTCTCAAACTTAAAATGCTTTCGAAGTTTCCAGTTGGTTCCAGATTTCGGTCAACATCCAATCAACCTTGACCTGATGTTCCATTCCAAAGAACAGTCATCATCATCACTCAAGAAAAAGAAAACAAAAAAAACAAGAAGTCTAATGATACTTGTACAGTCAATAAACTCATTATTTCTTACCCAGATCTCATGATTGCTTCTTATGATTCACCAGTTTTTATTTCCATCAATCTGCCTCAATGCTCACACATTCTGTCGATCTATGAAACTATGATGCAAAAGAACTTTGAACTTTCTACCATACAATTGATCATTTTACTTCATGATGTTCATCTGGTGATTAATGGTCAACAAGGACAAACAACTTCTCTTGTGAGGTTGAAAAGGAAACTGTGTAGGCTTCTTGATAAACAAACAAATAACTTGATCATACCTCAAAATGATCAAAAAAGTCCAGAACTCGATTCGAAATCGGAATCAAGGTAAGAAAATGTATTATAGTTGTAAGACTGAATCTCTATGTACTTTCAAAAAGATCTTTAAAGGTGAAAAAAAGATAAATCATATTATACAATTTTCAAATCCCAGAAAAAAGATATAGGAAACAAAACAATGAATTGAATTTCGTTTCATGATCAAAGAAAACAAAAACATGTACATCAAGTCTATTTTAAAGTTTCATCAACTTTTTGTAAACCTAACTGATTTCTTTTTCTTGTTCTTCCTATCTTCTTCTTCTTCTTCTGAACTTGATTCTTCACTGGATTCTGAACTTTGTACTTCTAATAAATCTTCATCATCAAACAAATCAGAATACTCTGCATCTTCATCAATCTCACTCCCTTCTGATTCGTCTTCTTCGTCTTTTCCTTCTCCCTCAACTTCCTCTTCCTCCTCCTCCTCCTCATCTTCTTCTTCATCTTCATCTTCATCTGCTTCTCCAGCTTCCTTCTTCTCTTTCCTTTTATTAGCTTTCATTTCCTTTTTCGCTTCTAATGCTAATTTCTTCTTTTTCACATTAGCATCTTGTTCTGCTTTTCTACTTAATCTTAATTTCTCTTTCTCTTTGATAGTTTTCTTAATTTTAACATCTTCTTCTTTAGTTTTCTTAACTGTAATTCCAATCGAATCCCCCCCAAAAAAATTATCATCAATCATCAAATTTTTTACAAATAGATCAAAAAGATATGGGGAAAAAATACTGGTTACTCAACTGAATTCATGAAATAATACATCACCATTTCCTAAACCTTGTTCGATCTTCACCAAACCTAACTCAAGTCTAGGTCCTAACTCTTTAAGTTTAATAGACTTTTTCGAATTCTTCAAGTTTCCTTTACCTAAATAATGTTGAGGTAATTCGATTTTATTTTCATGAATCTCATTCTCACTTTCATCCTCTGCACCACTACTCATCCCATCCAAATCTGTATCTACATCATCCTTCATCGATGAAGTTTCAAGTTCAGATTGAGCCGATGTGAATCCTCCTGAACTAGTGATCGAAGCTGGACCCTTAGTTTTGTTAATCCTACTCTGTCCTAAAACATATTCAGCTAAATCTTCAACTCCACTTAAATCTAAGACTCTTTTTCGTTTCTTGTTGGATTGATTAGGTTCTGATTCTGATTTAGAATTGATGATAGAACCTTCGATTAACTTTCGTATGGATTTACTGACTCCAATCGGTTTGACTGTGATAAGATAATGTCTAAAATCAATCGTTTTCGTCATCGGATTGTATGATAATAGTACGATCCTTCGGGTTTGGATCAATTGGATTTCTTGGATCTTGATTTGGGGAAACAGATTTCGAAAAGTGGTGGTTAGTAAATTTAATTGATTGGCTTCATCTGGTGTTGTTGTAGGTGTTGGATTAAAATTATTCATAATTAACTAAAATCAAACCAACAAAAAAAATAAAGTCGAATCAATCTTCACTTCTTTTTGAAAATCATTCGATTCACTTGTCTCTCAGATCAAAGAAAGTGAAAAAGATAAAAACTAACCAAAGGTTCAGTTTTAAATTCTTGACCAGGACTACGAGGAGATTTATCAGCATTTAAGATATCAATCATTAAACTATACCTTAAAACTTTAAAACTTAGGGTAGGACCTCTAGGCACTTTATAAATCTTTAGATTGATAGATGACATGATTTCTTCTTCTTTAAGATGGTCTTGATGAATTGATTTAGATCTGGTTAATGATTGGGAAAAGACTATCATATGGGTTACTCCAAGTGGTCCTGCCATAGCTAAGAAATCTTTGAATCGATTCGATTTTCTTTCCTTAAAGTTTCATATCCGAAAAAGAAATCAAAGATCAGTTTGACTTGTTTTTTCGATTTTTCTTGTGATTAAAAGAGATAGAAAGAAAAAAGTTAAGGTACCTTTAGATTACTTGCAGTATTAGGTTCCATAACTTTTCTAAAATCTTTAACTAATAAGTTTAGACTAGTTGAATTATATGAATCTGATTTAATTCCATTCTTATTGGAAGATGTATGATGAGCAGGTGTTGATTTGATAATGAATGATTTAGGTGAAGGTTGTTGGTTTGATGGAGTTGTGTTGGATTTAAGTCGATGAGTTCTATTTTTCTTTCGTTTTGCCATTTGGTGTGTTTTTGATGGTTAAGTTTGGTTTCGGTTTGATGATGATTCTGGGGTTTGTTGCGATTGAATTTGTTGTTTTTTTGAAAAGTTGAGTTGGATTTGATTTTTTTGGTTTAAACTGTGGTTGAATTTAGATTTGAAACCTAACCATCCTGACTTGTAAACATACACATATGCACTCTTGAATCTCAACCATGTTCCTCAATCATTTTTTATCCATCACCTTCTCAGTCTTGAGATCTTGCTAATCAAATATATTATTTTCAAATATATTGCAAAGTTGAAGTGATCATACTGAGAAGGCATATGAACCTGGCTTCCTTTGATCAATTCTTTGACTTCCAACTCACTCAACTTTCAATTAATTGAAGTAAAACCACACAAAATTGAAATTTCTAAAATGTTGTATTGGAAACACCAAGCAAAATGTTCATAGCTCCATTCAACTTTCCTTTGAGATCTGCCACTTTGTAAGATACATCATACTATTACCAGTATGAAAGGGATAACAAACTATATCCAATCAAAGGGACTTACTTTTCCAATGCCCAAAACCACATGGTATATGATTTTTTCTGATTTTTCAACTGTATCAAATTTTAAGCTATGGCTCTTCCTTGGAAATGATCCTTGACATACAACAGATCTCTGCTAAAGAAAATCTTTGAATAAAAATAAAAAATTACATATAAGAGTCTAATATGTAATTAAACCCTTTAAAGCGTGTACAAATAGGGGGTTAAAGTTTGATTTTTTATAACAAAAAAAAACTAGGAAACAGCTAAGTTTTTATGTTTTAATGTAAAAAAACTTAGCCGTGGTCATATAACTACTGGTAAACCATGATCAAGGTTTTTTTACTTTTTTGCCTCAATCATCTAGCTGGTAAAAGGATGCAAGGTTCACCTTGCATCCACTGTCAAGTCCACTGTTTCCAAGAGGAAATCAGTCAAGGTGAGCTCTCTGATTTCATGTTGTAAACAAAAATTATTTACGTTTTACAAAAATGGGATAGATAAACTTCTCCTGTTTGCGTAAGATTTGCCTAAATTTATGCTACAGCAGGAGAAGTTTTTTTATGGTGAAAACCGTAAAAAAACTCAAACTTGACACCCCCTAATCTTTTATCAAATTCATATCACACTTGATTCTGACCTTACAAGAAAACTTTATAAAAAAGGTTATAAGAACCTAGATATCTTTATTAAACCTTTCAATAAACTTTCAAGCTCTACACAATTCCTTCACAATTCAAATTTTTTGCCTTCAAGAAAATCCAATGATAAGCATTGGTTTTGTTTGATCTGTTTTGATTTCCAAGAACAAGGTATGAAATAGGAAAGCTTCAAGAAGTTCATCCCAATTTTAATCTCCCCATTTTGAACTACTTTCTGTTGAAATAAGAAACATCAGGTTGAGATAATCAAAAATAATGTGAGTCAGAGGTGCTAAAGACCTATGATCACATACTATTACAACTGATACACCAAAAGGAAGTTCAGATCACCCTTTGACAGCCGCAAAAAGACACCACACATCCAGACTTGGTTGATGATGAAGGGCACCAGAGCCTGGCCAGCGGTGTGACTGTATGTTGACAGTCTCTGCTGGTGGCCATCAGCTAGTCAAATGATGGCCAAGGTTTGGTATTCAAATGTTAATAGGGGCCACTGACAATGTACAAAACACATTGAGCTCTCCACCTTGAGCCTTGTGAGTGAATGAAGTGATGGCTATGGTGAGTTGAGAGTCCTACCTAACAAAAGATTGGATTCTCAGAGCTCAACCTGTCCCAATGTCTTATTGATAAAAGTGTGGTAAAAACCACATCTAGTAAAGGGTTTGTGAAACTTAGAATCACTTTTCACATTTGACCAAGATCAAATCAGCTTTTTTCCTTAATCAAAACTGAACTTTTGGCAAAACATTTGCAACACATTTTGTGACTCATACTTTGGATCATGACAGACTGACATGTGGTATAAGATGAAGAAGGTACTTGTTAGATAAAGATGATAGATATCTGAATGAGAGCACAAGATTTCAAAAAAAATGTTTGTTTATAACCTTCAGCTATCTCTAGCCATAGGTCTAAAAACATGTTTTGTGAATATCAAATTAGATAACCACATAACTTGAATTAAGCTGACTAAGAAGTAATGTTGAGGAAGTTAAATGATGTCATCATGATGAACAGCTTGTATAGAAAGACTTGAAAGGATGATGAAGATCAAACCAAATGAAATACATACAAGCTGAATTGAATACATTCCAAAACACCCACTATGTGTCACAACATATATATCTCTCTTCATACTGACCTTGATCTTATATCACAGAGTTCCATAAATCAGTTAGGAAGTCAAGTGTTTACTAAATCATTTTGAATCTCCAATTCAAGTTTGTTCACCAAATCAAAACCTGTATATCAACACAATTCTGAAGTCCATGAGACCGAGTTCAACATCTTTATCTTTCTCTCATGGTAAGGATGTGTTTTCATAATCAAATTCTAATCAGATCCCACACTCTATAAATTAGACAAAAAATCTACCAAGGACCCAAAACCATTTCTTAGCCTTAAATACAAGATTTTCATGAATACTAAAGATGCTATACACTATAAAGTGTTTGCAAAAAAAATGACTCAAAAAAGACTCATTGATACAAAGATGAAGCAATTTTGAAAGATCTCATCATTAAATCTAAGACAGTACCAGTATAATCTTGCTCATAGAACCTTTTGTGATCAGTAAGAAACATAATTCAAAGGTTCTCTAGGTAATGTACAATAGATTGCTTTGTGAGCAGTAACTCCTCCAGACACATATAGTCAGTTCTATACAAGTGTATGTAACTAGACATGTTAACAGTTGCTCATAACATTGGTTTCATTCATCTTAAGGTTCATGGTATCAAGATATAAAGGTCATAGATATTTTCTGTGAGCAAAAGAATACTTTTGTCCCAGTTACTTCTTCTACACTTGGATTTGACCAATCATCTACATAGTAGGGTAAAAGAATCCTTTGGTACACAAGCTCATTTTGTGGGTACCAATACCAGAATCCTTGTTTTATTGTTTTTCAAATTGATTGTGTAAATGATTTCCTGACTTTATTCTTATTCAAAAACTCTTCATAAATTGTTCTCAAAAACCTATTGTGAGCTGCTTGTGTGATAACTAACTTGAACAAGCAGGTCTCATTCTTTTTATAATACTGAGCAGAAGATTTAATCATAACCTACTTAACTCAAAGGTTCTTTATGAATTCAGATAAGGTATATGATGAGGGGTATATACAAACTCCAATGGAAATTTGTCAAAACCTTGACAAACTTTGATCATATCAAAACAAGATGATAAATAAAATCATATTTCAAGAAAGGTGTACATACAGGATGTAGTACTGTACTTAACAAGAAAAAGAAATTGAAAAGAAAGAAAAAAAAATGATCCTATGTATGCAAAACAATTTAGAATTTTTCATTACAACCTCATCATTAGTATATCAAAGAAAAAGAAACCTAATGATAATGGAAATGAAAGAAGAATGCAAAATCAAGAAATCAGGTTAAAAATGTAGTGTAGACAATAAGGGAAAACGGTAAACAGCGTAAAAGATGAGACAAGGATGGAGAAAAAGAAAAGATAATATTGGAACATGATCACAAAACACATCAATAATAAGAAAAGACTACATTGAGAGAAGAAAAAGCAAAAGGATCAATCAAAAGATATCTCGTTGATATCTCTTGTAAATCTTCCTCTTCTTTTAGCAAAACACGATTGATACATTCAATAGGTGATGTATACTTTATTTGTATTCATGATTGAGCAAAAAAAGAAAGAAAGATTAGATTGTATGGAGCTAGATAAGAAAAAGCAACGATTGGTATGAGGAAAACTTTTGACAGGTAAGACAACGGAAGACTTGATCAAGAAAGAAAAAAAGCTAGATGAACAGGTACGGATGAGATTTGAGTCAAGAGATCATCACTGGACTACTGAGCTTTCGGTCTTCTTGATCGACTTGACGGTCTGTGAGGACTAAACCTTGAATCGGGTCAGCCAGTTTAGATGCCAAGAGGTCTAGGTTTGAATGCTGTGGAAGTGGATTATGGCATCTAGAGATGGGTGATGCTGAGAAGAAAAGCAAAGATGAGGATTAGATGGATAAAACCAAATGGGAAAGAGAGTGAATGACTAACCGATCAACCAATTGTAACGTTTGGATGGTTCGGATTCAATGTTCAGATGAGATCCAGCTAGTCTAGATCTAGGACGATGACCAGTTACAGATCGACGTTGGTATGGTTGAGGTGTCGATTTGATCAAGTTAGTAGGAGAACTAGTAGGAGTTATCGAATGAACAATATGAGGTGAAGAAGGAATAAAAAGTGAAAGAAACTCTGAAAGACTGTTGAGATGAATCAGAAGATTGATGAATCAGTTTTAGTTTGGAAGATCTGAAATCTTGTAATCACTTACACATCATCTTCTGGAGCTAATTTGGAATCGAGATCGAATGAAGAATTGAGTTGAAGACTGGCTGAGCGAGTGAAGATTGGAGGTGAATCGGATCTAGTCGATTTAAGATCTTCATTGGAATTCAGATTGGATTGATGATCTGATGGATTAGGTGATAAGTTATGAATCCTAGAAGAAGGACGTGAGGTATGAGGAGTAGAGATACGAGATCGAGATTGATGACGATGATGTGAAGGATGTTTGTTTGAATGATATTGTTGATGATAAGGTGATGGATATGGATAAGAATGAGTTCTACGAGGTAAAGGACAAATGATAGGAGGGTATTGTAAGATATCAGTTGGATGATCAGAACTCATCATGATGATTGGTTGGAATTCGAATTTGGTTGAGTTTGATAAAAAGTTAAATAAATCAGATCTTGCTTTGATGTGGATTGGAAAAGTAAAACGGTCGAACTACACTGCTTCTTAAATAAAAGTCAAATGGCTGAAGTGAAGATGATTTGAGAAATTGGGATGGATGAACGTTTAAATCGAACTGAACAAGATTTCGATTTGTTTAGTCAGTCTTGAGAATTAAATTACAACCAATTCAACTCGATAAAACTGTATTGTACCAAACTTGTCTCAAAGTTGTTATGATCTTGACTAGGTACAAAATTGGTTAATAAATTTGGATTTCAATTCAAATTTCTGTTTCAGACTCAAATACCAAAACAGTTTTAAGCAAAAGTTTATCCTGATTTGGCTGTTTTGTCTACTATGGTGTACGTACTTACCTTCAATACTGTGCGCCTTAGCCGGGTCCGACTTAACCAAACCATCTGCTCTCGATCATCGATGACGACAGCTCACAACTCAGTGCTCACCACAATTCCCAAACATGCACAACTTCAAGGTCATAGCTTGCAAAATAACCCTGTAGAAAACTTCCCTATGTCCATTCTTGATTAGAACCATCACAATTCCCACAATTTTTACTCAAAGAACATGTTGATATTTACAGCTGTTTCGAAAACAAAACTGGTTGTCGTTGTTTTTTTCTTTTTTTTTTCATATCCGCGGTCAATTTATTTGACCTGATTGGGCTAATTCTCCCAATCGGGAGCAAATATCCAAATTCTATTCGCATGCACCTTGTCCAAGCCCCCATCTTGCCAGATCCACCTCACCACATCTCACGAAACAAAAACAACAAGAATGCCTCGATACAGCGCCGACATCAAAGTGCAGGCGATTACTTTATTGTCCGAAGGTATGAGTCGAGCAGCCGTCAAACGCCATCTGCGATCTGCAGTACATGTGGACACCCTCACCCAATGGCAAAAACTATACGAATCAACTCTAGCCGTGGTTCGCAGTGCATCAGAATATGAGAAACGTGGTCGTCCCCTCGTATTCTCAGATCAAGAACGTGAATTCATGGCCGACTTGATCTCTGCTGACCCAACACTCTATCTTGACGAAGTCCGGGAATTGGTGTACAATGAAACCGGCATTCACGCCAACTTGTCAACCATTTCCGACGACCTTATTGATCGTCTCAATTTGACTCGGAAGAAGGTTGAAACCGTTCATCCAGCTCAATGCCCGGTCAAGAGGGCCGCTTACGTCTACTCAATTGCCAATCTGGATGCCGAAATGCTCGTATTTGCAGGTGAATTTGTTGATTTCATCCTCATCCAACTCTGTTTCACTGACGTGGTGTTACACATTAGACGAAAGTGCTGTTGCTTCACGGGAGGTATATAGACAATATGGCCGAGCGTTCCGAGGATATCGTACCACACCCCAAAAACGAACTCGTGCCGGAATCCGGTACTCTCTTTTGCCAGCAGTCTGCATGGATGGACTCTTAGCTGTCTCGTGTCAGGAAGGTAGTTACCTTCAAGATGATTTTGAAGACTTTCTTGAATTCAATCTGGTATGTCTATTGGAACATTTTTGAGTTATCATTTCAAAGATTTTGGAGCCATCATCACTTGCTGACTGGCATCTTTCTCAGTTACCAAAAATGAATCCATATCCATCTCCAAATTCAGTTCTAATCATCGATAATGCCCGTATTCATCACGGAGGGAGGATCGAGGAGCTGTGTGAAGACCGTGGGATCCGCTTGATCTACCTTCCACCTTACTCGCCAGATTTCAATCCTATCGAGAAAGCCTTCAGTGCTTTGAAGGCTTATTTTCGTCGCACTCAATACTTGCAAGGTTTAATCCCTGAAGAAATGATCGAGGCTATTGAGGAAGCTGTTCACTTCATATTTACTAGGGAGCTGATGGTTCCTCTGTACAATTCATCTTGGCTTCTGTAGAACTCTATTCATTTCATCAATCAGTTCGACTCAACTCCTCAAAACTGTCAAAAGAAATCGATCGATCAAATTTAAATCAAACAATTCTCAATCAACCACCTTCAACCACTTTTTTATTAATCTCAATTTCAAATTTATTCAATTCTCGGTCACTGACTTAGTTTGAAGTAATTCTTCGATTTATCTATGTATGTACTATGCCAATGTTTGGTTGTTTGGTTGCTCTCTTAGAATTGATTAAGCGATATCGATCATTTTTGGTTGCTCTCTTAGAATTGATTGTGATATCGATCGATCGATTAAGAGATATGGATGTTTGTAGAAGTGTACACATGATCTTTGAAAGAAAAAAAAGAAATTCTTATGTCTTGTTTTGATTGATTTACTTGGAATGCAAGAAGTTGAGTACGAGAATCTAAATTAGAATCGATTTCTAATTTCAAAGAAAAACAACTGAAAACAAATCAAAATCACAAAAACTAAACAATGAGACAAACGAGACAAGAAGTTCATCTGTTGAGATTGTATGGATACAGACAAGTGGAGACTGAGACAAAAAGTTATTGAGGAGAATGAAAAAGCATAGACACTATACTCTTCTATTGAGGTCAGATGGATACAAAAAACTAAAGAACGAGTAAAGTAGTTATACAAGTTGTAGATAGACCACAAACTATTCATCTTTGATCGCACCCAATCCCATCGTAAATCATTCAAAGTAAAATCCAAGAAAAACGAACAATTGCTTTCGCTTTCAAACACTTGAGCGGCCTTTATAAATTCTGTCTTATCTGGAAATACTCGTTGACCTTCGGACATGAATATCGGCATCGCTTTCTTGCGGCAGGGAAAGGCTTCTGGTACTGCAGCAGCGGTGGAAGTGTTTGCTGGAACAGGAAGTCGAGATATTCTAGCCTGAAGGATCTCGGCTTCTTGTTTTTTGAACTCACTGATCGAGATCCACTTCCAGCCTCTTCGAAGTGGTGGCTTCACGTTGCTCACACCTGGGACCCCGTTGACCTAAACCAGAGAAAATTAGTATTCATTTTAACCAAGATAAAATAAACACGCACGATGTCTTGAGCCCAGATCTTGATCATATTTGTATTCAACTTGATTAATTCTTCTTTGTTCTCTGGGTTAATAACTCGTATCGAGCTTTCACCATTAGCTTCACTTTTGGTGAAGCGTGTAGTGAGGTCTTCAATCACCTTCAAAAGACGAGCTTCATCATCATCATCATCATTGTTCTATGGGAGCAAAAGAGACATTCAGCTCAGCTACATTTGAGATTGAATTTTCCAATAACATACAGGTGTGGACTGCCTGTGATGAGCTCCTTGAGCTCGGTTTTGCTTGAGTCGAGCAAGATTTCGAGCTACTTTTTCAGCCTGAAAATTGATTCGTCAAACCCAATCACAATCACAAGAAAGACTGAACGAGCTCACGTTATTCTCCTTTGCCCTTTTGGTCTTTGGGTTTGTCTGTACAAAATCCAAATGCATAGATTGCATTGGGTCGTCGAGGCAAGCTGAAATGAAATCGTTAAAAGCAGTGTCGGTCATGATTTCAAATTGTTTATTCTTGAGGAAGCTCTTGTGGGCATGGATCCAACCGGTAACTTTGAGATCATTCTCTGAGAGTGCTGCGGTAAGGGCTTCGGAGATATTTGCCTCAAGTAGATCACATTGACTGAATATCAAAGAACGGAAAAGCTCAAGATCAGCATCATCATGTACTGATACCCGAATCTCCCAATCCTTCTTGAGGGGGGTGTAGGTGGCCACAGTTGGTCCTGAAGCTTTTGTTGACCTCTTGGAGCGTGATTGACTAGAATGAGCATCCTCATCGGGTTCATCAGGTATGAAAACCTCAACATGAACTTTGAAAGCCAGCTCAGTGGTTTTCAAAGATGAGCGATCTAAAAGCAGAGTCAAATTTGTTATCTACTGGGATAATGAACAACAAGACGTACCTTCACAATCAACTTCAATAAAATTCAAACCCAAGGCCGGTGATCTTCTATTCAAAGCAGGTGGAGGCGGCAAATCTGAAGATGAAGAGTTGAGATCAATATCTACAGGGAAAATAAAAAATAAGACATACCATCACAATCAACTTCAACAACATTCAAACCCGAAGCCTGAGATCTTCCATTCAAAGAAGGTGGATAGGAAGAAATAGAGGTTGATGGTTGTGATGTTGGAAATGTGATTGGGCCAGTTTGGCTGAAACGTTGATAAGGAAAATGCCCCGGTGCATGTAGGATTGGTGCTTCTTGAGTCAAATCTTGAGCCGGGTGGAAGAAGCTTGAGGATGTACCGCTATAAGAACCACGAGACTGTTGAGCTGTGTTGAAATTAGTGGTTCTTTGATATGGGAGTGATTGATTGAAACTTTGAAAAGGCCGTGAATTCCGATCAGCAGGCATGTTGAGGATGGCTCAATTGTGTTGTGGACAAACGTGGCGCTGGCTTCAAGCTTGCAATGTGATTCAACAGGGTCCAACAGGATTGAACCTCATGCCACGTAATCAGCTGTCATCAGCCTTTTGCGCGGTTTTTCTGCTAGATTCAAAACCGCGGATATGAAAAAAAAAAAAAAAAAAAACGACAACCAGTTTTGTTTTCGAAACAGCTGTAAGAGCTTGAGATCTTGGCAATATCAAAGACATTCCGATATATATGTCGTAAATCACAAACTTAACAAGTCCCTCTCAGACTCTACCTCGTGAGGGCAACGACTTGAGTTTGTCTAGGTCTCTCCTCCTTCGGTTCGGAGGAGGGAGTTTGTGAAGTTGGAATTCTGCCAGCGTTCAGACACATAGAGATCCTTCTATCCCGGTGGGATTTGTTGCCCATGATAATCCATTGACTTATCAAGAAACACAAGAGTAGCCCATAGCAAAGTATATTGATCAATCAAGCATCACCGTACACAATTTTATCTACACAGATCATACCAATCGAATTCAATCTAGGAATTTCGATATCTGAATGTCTTTCCCGTCAACTTATCGAGAATTTTCTCGTGAAGAAGCCAAATCTATCAATTCGTCTTTTTGTGCTTACTTCAAAGTTCAGATCTGAAGCTAGCTAATTTCCACAAACGTACAATCTTCACTACGCTGTATCACATCTTGGTACCAAGTGCACATTCTTTCGGTAAATGATCATCTCGAGAGGCACCCGTTAGAAGCGCATTGACGTAGGTTGTGTTGAGAATAATCACTATGTAGTCCATCGTCATCATCATTGCCTGGGTACGTGTGGCCATCTGCGGCATGTATGATTGCTGGGATGTGAGGGAATCGTACCACCGACTTGGTCAGACGAAAGCGTGAATTGAGGGCTTTGAGCCAAGATTGAACCTGTTTCCTATGTTTTGAAACTCTGAGTCTTATTACGAGGAAGCTACCCAAGGAGACCCAAAGTTGAACAAACAAAATAACAAACCTTGGTCAAGATTTCGATCTGGTATCCTGGTCCGTCTTTTAGCCCTTCGAATCCTTGACTTTGTATTGTAAATTGACCTGTCTCTTTTTTAACGCACTTCTCAATTATTCGATTAAATCCAGTAGGATAAGTCCTATATACATACATCGAAAGATTCTTCAGTTTAACAGTAACGCAAAGATCTCAAAAAGAAAACTAACCCTACATCCATGTTCACAAGCAAAAGGGTGATGGTAGGTGGATCTGTAACTACAGACGTCCAGCCAATCAATTCCTCATGACCGAAGCTAAGTAATCAAAACATTTGTTGTAGGTCGATCGGGATTTCAATTACGGGATACAAACTAGAAACCCGGAACAAATCCGGGTTTCCCAATTCGGACTTTTTGGCTGTGTTTGCGCAAACTGGGAAACTGGGAGAACGTGGGAAAGTTCCAAACACAGCCAAAAACGAAAACTGGGAAACTGGGAAAAAAATCCCACTTTTAACTTTGTATCCCGTAAATGCGGACCTCTTTGAACCAAAATAAATCCGACCTGAGTTTCCCCCTCGACAAAGCGTCTGCTTTGTTATCTCTGGATGCCACACGTTTCTGCTTGATGTTACAAGCTAAATCCGTAAGTAAACATTGTATTACCTTCCATTCCTCATTAACATCTTTGTCTCTCGATTTCCTCTTCCGGATCGCACTTTCAGTAGTAGTATTATCTGTACACACCCAAAATCGACGGCCCCTGACATTTGTTACTTTTGTCAAGACCAGCAGACCCAGCCGTATGGCTACCGTCTCCGCCCATGCGATCCGGCGTTTCTGATCCTTCTTGCCTTTGTCTTCCCATTCTTTCACGAATTTGAAGCAAGCCCAAAAGTCCCCTACGAGAACTCCGATTCTACAACGCCCGAACGCACATCGTATCACCAGTGAGGCATTCAAACATCAGTTTCATTCTAAGCTTCACCAATATACTGACTCACCCAAAAGAAGACGCTGCGTCCCCAACCCATCCTACATTTTCAGCCCTGGGATTAGGAACTATTGGGCAGGTGTCGAATTTCTCTAAACAGATATCCCACTCTTCTAAATCATCTGCTACATCTAACGGGATTTCCCTCGTCGCATGTTCATTCTTCCACGACTTTTTCCAACGATAAAACGAGTTCAAGTACGCTGCCATGTGGGGCACTATGTGAACCGTGTGACATAGTCGGCCGACAAATTTCTCGACTTGTGAGTAACTCCACTTCACACCTACCACTCTGAACTCTTTTACCTGTTTGTGTCTCTCTTCAAGTTTTTCCACCGGTAATCTAACCGTGTGGTTCTTCCCGTTCCAGATGAAGCCGAGGAACCGTTGTTCTTCACCGAACTCGTGGTTCTTCTTAGGGTTAGTCCTGACTCCCATCGAGTCGCTCAACTGAGTTACTTCCTTCAAGGAGGCTCCTGTCTTTGGTCTTTGTAGTAGGAGATTATCATCTACCCACCGGAAGATAGCCGGGAACTTCAGTTCATTAATCATTATTTTCTTCCATGTTTCAGCTGGCGCCCCGAAGACTCCACAGCTCGCAACACCTCCAAATCCGACCGCAAGATCCACCCACAGCCTGCCTTCAAAATCCTTAATAATGAGATATTTCCTTTGGCTGTGATGAACTGGGAGTTGTTGATAGGCTTTGGCCCAGTCAAACACCGCTAGTTCCCACTCTCCCGGGTTGTCCTTAAAGAATTTTGCGACCTGTTTAAAGTCATCCCACGAGGTCTCATAATTCATTTTGTCTACAAAGGAGTTAACCGACGGGATATCGTCGCCTTTCTTTGGGAAAGACAAATCATCAATCAATCGAACCGTGCCATTGCCATTCGTAGCACTCCCCATTGGGTTTGACCTGAAAAACCCGAATCTCTCATACAATTCGTCGTGAGTGTAAGGGCCAACCACTCTACCTTCTCTTTGCTCCTTTGCTAACGTCCTTTCTATTTCACTCTTCACCTCCAGTGCTGTGCTATGATTATCCGGAGTATACCACCTCCTCTTTCCCACGTAATGCTGAGGAATCCCAAGACAAAAACCTTCCATGAAGCCCTCTAAGATGTACGGTACGTCCTCGTTCAAACCTGCTTCCTCCATCAACTCTTTCCACTTTCCTAACACCATGTCGCACTTGACTGGCACTGGCCATTTGGTTATCTCTTTGACTTTGAACAGTTTCCTCTTTCCCAAAGGCAAGATGTCTTCTTCGTCTTGGTTTGAAGATGTTTCTTCTGACGGGCTTGAGCTGGTTTCTGCTTCTTCATTATCTCTATCCGGTAATTCTGATGGTTGCGCTATTAGGTTACCATCTGTCGAATTTGGAGCTACCTCCGAGTCTGTTGCCCTCTCTTCCGGCCAAGTCTCGTCAGGGGCTATATTCTCTCTCAGGACCAGCCTATCTTGTTCCAGCACCCATTGGCGTGGACCACTCGGGCTAAGAGCTGGTAATTGTGGCAAATAAAACACTCATTCAGATTCATGTTTCTCATTACATCTAACCCACAAAAGCGCCCCATCAAAACAACAGAGCAAAGGAACGTCTTCGTACCATAGCGGATTGAATCAATCGGCAACACAAATAACAACAGATTGTAACACAATACAAGACGAGAAAGAAACAAGAACGAGGCGAGTGCAACCAGCCAAGGACACAATTTCCCGGTGATCCGCGAATACCCAATCGGGCAGCCAGTGAGGAGAGAACAGGACCTTAAAAGTCAGTGTCGTTTCCCTGCACCCGTCTTATAAAGAAGACTCCTCACCAATTATTGTTCTCGTTCGCCTTTCCCTTCCCTTTTTGGCCTCCAGCTTGCTTGTTAGCGTGCTGGTGCCCATGAGCTACCCAATCTTGACCTCCGTTGGCATAAGCGTTGTTATGGGGGTAGAATTGCTGATAAGCTTGGAAACCCGGTGCGTAACCTCCATTCCTGAATGGACCATGGGCTTGGTTCCCATAGGCTTGCTTTTGCTGGTAATACGGTTTTTGCTGATAAAAGTTTCCTCCTCTATTACCTCTCCCTCTATTACCTCCTCGTTTCTTTTTAAATTGTTTCTCGCCTCCTCCCGACTCTAATTCAGTCGAATGATAATCAGCCTGAGACTTCGAGGAGCTTTGTGCCGGTTGGGTTTTTGCACCAGGTTGACCAGTGAAAAAAACATAACCGTATTTCGCCTGACCTGGGGCGTACGGGTTTTCTTCGTACTTCAGGTCTCCAGCCGTTTCGGCATCCCATCTAGCGCGACGGACCGCTTCTGCTTGAACACCTTCTGGCAATACCACCTTCTCTATCTTCCGCCCTCTTTTCCCGTTCTTCTTCTTTCGATACATAATCCTAGACCTTTTCCGGAAGATGAGCGCTCGAATTGCCAGGTGATATCTAAGACCAATCATCCAGCACTTGTGTTGGACCATCAAGTTATTCACCACCTCTTTGTGTTTCTTAATGTAAGTGGCGTAAGCATCGTGTCCATATAATTCTGACGCATAACGAGCTTCTAGGTCACATGCCAAAATAAATTCCCCATAGGACATTTGGCGCTCTAGGTCTCTTTCCGATGAGAACAGGTGAAAGCCTTTCTTCCTCTTCTTGGAGCCGTCATCGACCATAGCATCGTACGTGTCAATGTAAGAGCGTTTAAATACTGACAATGGGACGTATCTTTTCAATTTCTTGAAGCTTTTATCCCAGTACTCAGGTAAGTCTGGTAGGTCTAAACCCCTAATGGCCGCCATCTCAAATTCGACATTCGCTTTAGATAGAAGGTCCGCTGCCCCGTCTTGGTCTGACGAGGAGTCTGATGAATCCGAAGAGTCAGATCCTGAAGACAATGATGAGTCCGAGGAATCTGTTTCCAAGGACGAAGACGACGCAGAATCATCGGAGCTACTAGACGACGTGGATTCATCGGAGCTGGAAGAGGTATGTCTCTTTTTCTTCCTTTTCTTCTTATCCTTTTTTGGGTTCTTAGTCCGCGCTGACCTTCCCTTCTTTTTCTTTCTATTCTTCTCTTTCACCTTCTTCTTCTCCGTCTCCAAATTTTTGACCTCTACTTTTAATGCCTTCAATTCCTCTTCTTGCACCATCTCTCTTCTCAAGATCTGAATCAACTCCATATCTGCTGAGTCAATGGCGTCTGCGAGTCGGTCTATCAGCGGGCGATTATCCTTCTTGTTCGGACTGGTGTTGTCCTCTCTTTCGGCACCTTTCGACTGATCTAGCGGGATTACCGGACTCTGCGCGAACGACATGGGCTGATATCCAATCTTGCCTGGTGTCTCTACTAATCAAAGTAACCATCATGAAGTCAGTTCGTGGTTCCCTTCTGTCTCTCCCTCTCAGGGCTATCTCAATCTAAATCTTCTCGCTTCAACAAATTTAATCGGAGCTGGATTCTTTTCTTAGGACGCTTCATCCTTCTGGACTCTTCCCATTCTCTGCATCTACCCTAATAATTGGGGAGCCGGGGGTCTCGCCTTAGCGGTTGTCAAGGACTGGCTCTCCCTGTGCATTGACGGGAGCTGTAATGGCTTCTACCGCTGCTATGATCGTTGGGGCCTACGTGCGGGAGCCCATAGGCTACTACCGCTTTGCTCAGGAGCCTTTAAGGCTACTACTGAATTATGTATAAGGAAGGATAGAGTTGCAAATGACAGAGTTGCAGAGGTGGAAAGTTATGGTATGAAAGATTAAATCTTGCTTACTATGATCATCTTCGATCAGCCCAGCGTAGGTCACCTTCTTCCGTCTCGAGGATGTATCATCTTCATCTGATTTCTCAGAGTCTAGGCTAACCCCTCTTTTCTTCCTGGCCTTCGCTTTCCCCTTCTTCTTCGTCGCTTTCCCCTTCTTCTCCTTCGGTTCGTCTCCTCCTAATGACACCTCAATCTCACTCCCCTCTTCTTCGCTCTCAATCCCCTCTAAATCTCCTTTAGTTTCTTCTCTCACTTCCTCGCCACTTAAACTTCGGGCGTTCGGGGCTTGTGACTCCGTTGGAGTAGGGTCGACCTCTTGATTAGATTTCGCTAAGGACGACGATGGTTCGGTGAGGGTGGATGTCACTCCCGGGTCCCTGGAACCCGCTCGTCTTTCACGTTCTTCCGCTTGTTCTTTCAGCTTCAATGCATGCACCTTCTTCTTCTCTTCTTCGAGTTTTGCTGCTTCTATCATCTTTGCTGATTGAAATGAATTTGTCGACTTCTTTGGTTTGAGTGTTCTCCACATCCACAACGTCTTTGTTTAGATCTATTTGTGTTTATATAATAAAGAAATCCCTTTTGACAGTTTTCTTGAACTTTTGAATTTTGAAAGAGAGAGAAGTAGGTTATCCTTGCAGGAGATGCAGGGTTCAGCGGGGAGAAATTTGGAGGAGAGAGGGAAGGAAATTTTTCCCTTCTCCTAATTCTTCCAAATTCGAGAGGTTGGAGTTGACATCTCTCAACCACCCGTGATATCCCTTGCTGTACCTGTCACCCCTTCTCCTCTCGAGAATGGAATTCAGAGTACCTGCTCAGGCTTGGAACACTACCAATTTATCTTTGAGGGGGTTTTTCGGCCCGTTGAATCCCTCGGATTGATCTCTCGAGCTCTCTTTTGGTACCTCGAGGCCGTCATCCCAAGACTCGTCGGAGAAAGTCTTTCTAACTCTTCGGACGCTGGTTTACATACATCAAAGTAATAGAAACTGGCATAGGAAACTTATCCAAAGGACCATGTGAAGTCGTTCGCATGAGGCGAGAGCTAAGATCCATCAGCTGCGATGGTTTCCATCGGGGTCAACTTTACTCAGCGTCGAACGATCGGAGAACTTTGAACTGAAATCCTCTACTGCGTCCAGAAAGACTTGATTATAGTCGGAGCGTCTCGAAAGGAAATGGGCAGCCGGTTCGACTTCTATACTATCAACTATCGAATAGGCTCTATGTACAATAGTCTGTCGTCGTGATGATTACGCATCGATTCAATATGCCTTGTGCTCTTCGTTGTGGGATCAGTTGATCGAGCACTGTCTATAGTAGCGAACCCGGGAAAAAGGTCACTCGGTCACCTCGGTAGCTCCACGGGAAAATGTGAGCCTTTGATCCGCTCGCCACCCAACGCGATGACCATGAGAAGCAGAGCTGCGAATTGAAGATTCGCAACTCACAGGTGAAGATGATCGCAGTCCAAAATCAATCGGTAGGCGCTGTGGAAGGGACATATATGAACGTTCAAGATTCTCGTTTACCCCGCTACGCGAATGGATCATTTACCAAAACCATTACTTCGTCCATTGTCATTAATTTGATATCTATATATTTTATTGACGCTGGTCGTTTTGATTATTACTCCCCAGCATTTCTTTCTTTGTAAGATTTCGACATTCATTTTGAAGACCGATGAGACTTTTTCGGGGAAATGGTTCATCATGGTTGCTTTTCTTGGCTACCGCAGGGTCAGTAGCTTGCTCGGCACAAGAATATGATGCTGAAGATGATGTGGAGATGTCTTCGCAACGTTTCATAGTCACTCTGGATCCTCAAATCACAGTTCGTCACTTTTCTTTCTCGTTTTGACTCGGATCTCGTCTGACACGGAAACCTATAAACAAATTCGACAATCGATTGCGTTTTCTTATGAAGCCATCTTTGGCAGATTTTAAAAAACATTTGGAAGAACAGGGGATCGATTACAAAATTTTCCAGGACTATACTACCATTGCTCCAGATGTATATTACGGAGCATCTGTGATCCTTGGGCATTCAGAAGATGTAGCCAAGATGGGGAGATCAAATCATGTTCAGGTAATGAATCAAGCTGATAATTTACAAGAATTCGTCTCTGATGATCTTACGTGTTTTGTCTTTAATCTTGGAATAAATCGAAGAAAATGAGCCCAGTTACAAAAGTTCGTTCAATGGCACCCGTCACGGAAAGGATTTTGACTTCTCCAGCAGGTCTCAAATCCAACAATTATCCACCTCACTTGAAAACAAATATCACAGAACTACACAAGATGGGTTTCTACGGACAGGGAATCAAAATAGCAATAATAGACTCGGGCGTCGATTGTGCACATGAAGCCCTTGGTGGTGGATTTGGTGAAGGATACAAGATCAGCTTTGGGCGTGACTTAGTTGGTGATGACTATGATGGAAACAACGAAATAGAACCTAACGATACTCCTTGTACCCCTTGTGGAGTATGTTCCCATGTCTCTTTGAGCATACGGATGGTCAGGCTGATTTTAACTTACGGCGCAGTATCACGGAACCCACGTGAGTGGTATTATTGGGGCGCAAGATGTTGGTTATGGCTTCACTGGTGTGGCACCAAACGCAACACTTGGAATGTATCGTGAGTATTTGGAAACTTTCGGAGCTTCACGCCAGATCCAGATTGGATACTGATTATCGAATGATCAAAACTTTAGGTAGTAAGTTTCAAGACAATCAAATCCTTATGCAAAAGCACTGACTCATCTTCACTCGAAAGTATTTTCATGCAAGGCGGAATTGGGCACTAATAATGATCTTGTGATGTCTGCCCTTTTACATGCACATAAAGATGGAGGTGAGTTTGTCAACATTGAGTGACTCGTCTTCAGAAAGACTAATGACCGAAATACGTCTCACATCAAAGCGGATATCATTTCTGCAAGCATAGGTGGTTCAGGGGGTTGGGGGTATGGAGAGGCAGTGTTGGATGTTGTGAACAATTTGGTGACAAAGAAGAACGCTACAATCTTTCTTGCTGCTGGAAATGAGGGAGAAGTAAGTGATCACAGTGAAATCTTGGAGATTCCAGTACGATTTTTCTCATGCCTGGAATTCCCTTGAAACAGGAAGGACTTTTTTCAGGCTCATCTCCAGCCGGAGCTGCTAATTCAATTGCAGTTGGATCTGTGGATTCTGAGCTCACTGCTTCTCAGTTGATAACTTCAACTGGTCGGGAGATCAACTACTTTACTGCCCAACCCTACAATGACACTCTCGTCTTCCCGGTATATCGAACTGCCAACTCAAGTGAAGCAAAAGACGATGCATGCGAGCAGTTGCCGGATTCGACGCCTGATCTTGGCAAATACATAGTTCTCATAAGGAGAGGGTCAGTCACCTGCCCTCTTTCACATATAATTGAACATTGATGAACTTATCCTCATTAAACCTTCCACCCCGGCAGCACGTGTTTCTTCGTAGATAAGGTCAAGAATGCCAAGGCAAAGGGTGCCAAGCAGATCATGTTTTACATGGTTGGTAAACCTACCTTATATCTAGACCTTTCAAAGTTAACTGGAAACTAAAGAAGATTGTTTTTTTACCAGAATTCGACATCAAACATCCAATTGGAAGACCGGGTCACTGGTGTTCGCATATTCACTGTGAATCATACCGATGGAGATTACATCTACAAAGAGTCTGAAAAAGACTCAGAAGAATTCAGAATCAAATTTCCACCGGTTGGATTATTTTATCGTGAGTTGACGATTTGATACTTACCTGTTGAAGAAAATATACCTGAGATCTCAACAAAATGAATTACATAGTCCCAACACCGGATACAGGTTTCATGAGCAATTTTTCACAATAGTACGTCAAGAGATGTGATATTTCAAGTCGCAAAAGGAAGTATTCTGATGATCTGAGATGCAACCGCAGTGGACCTAATTTTGACTCATTGAGTCCTGAGCCAGCTGTTTCGGGAGTTGGCGGGAATGTGTTTTGTGAGTCATCAATGATTAAATTACAAGATATATTTACCAATGATCATGATATCTCTATACCTGTAGCCACTTTCCCTGTGCGAAACGGATCTTATGTGAGTCCACCAAATTGCTATTTATCGATCAGGGATCTGAGTCCTACTCTTGGTTCACAGGCAGTACTCAGTGGAACTTCTATGGCCACACCGCAGGTATGGATCTGATTCGGGTTTCAGCTGTTTGAAACAATACTGACTTCTGTTATCGTACTCACTAGATGGCTGGTATAGCTGCCTTAATCATGCAAGTGAATGGAAAAGGATTTCGAGGTAACCTTTTGAGAAATAGATTAGCGTCTACTGCAAGAGTACTTTTGCAAAATCACAATAGTAGTATTGTTGAAAGTAAGCACTTCTTTATCCCATCCAAATAAAGATCTCACGAAAAAGTTTTGAGATCTTAACCTGTTGATTTTGAATTTTTTAGCTGTTGTTCATCAAGGAGGTGGTTTGGTGAACGCTTACTGTGCTGTCTTTGCTAAGGCGATATTATCTACTTCAGCTCTTGCTCTCAACGATTCCAGACATTTTAATGGCTCCCAGAAATTTGAGGTCACCAACACGGGTAATGAATCGATACAGTACACGCTTGAACATCTTGCTGCTGGCTCTGCATACACTTTTACGGAAGAATCGCCTTACGGTCCACTAAATCATCCGATGCCCTTAAAATTAAATAAAGAAGTAGCTACCGTTCAAATTTCTCCATCAACCCTTACGGTAGGCCCGGGAGAGACCGCTACGGTGTCAGTTGAATTTAAAGCCCCTGAATCCGAGAGTAGCCGTCTGAATATCTACTCCGGATATATAACTCTGGTAATATCTTTGAGACTATGGTATGTGAGTCAGGGTACCGATAGGCTGATGAGAGAATATATTGCAGAAAAACGACCGACCTTGTGAGACTTATCAAGTACCCTACTTTGGATTTGTAGGATCTTTGAGGGACCAGATCAGTATGTGGAGTTTTTCTCCTTACGTGAGGTGGTACAGAAGGTTGATTCTGACATTTGGAAGTACGATTAGTTATTTATCAAGGTTTTGCACCGAATGATCCTAAAACCAACGAAACATATAGATTACCACAAATCGGCTACAAATTTCTCAATCAGACTTTGAATAGTACAAATGAGAAAGGTGAATTTCTGTGGGATCGATCCGATAAAAATACAAGTCTCATTCGTTACAGGACTAATTGTTGAGTGATATCATTGAACTGTTTAAACTTTTCATCTTCATTGAAAAAAGGAGTACTGATGGTCCTGCTGTACCTTTAGTTGGCACGCCACATCTACGGATGCTTCTTGTAGCAGCTGAAGAAAATGATGTTCAAAATGTCACCAAAATGACTTTCAATGAAGGGGCTTCACCACAATTGAATATCTCCGAGGTAGATGAAGGTGATTCCCCGACTGCCACTGAAGAGGGCTCAACAACGGAAACCAAAAATTCGACATCAGGCATCTCAAGATTCCCAAGAAGGACGTCTGACGGATTACTCCTATTGGGCGAGATCCCAGATAGCGAGTCTTTATATTCACCACGTTCAGGGTCAGTCTTTTGTACTCCGAGACCACTGATCTTCAGGCCTTCGAATGATCTTTGCTTACAAATTGTTCTTGATGTTCATAGTTCGAAATTGGTTTGGATGCAAAAGTGGAATGGAACCCTTTCAACTGTCACAAACTCGACCCTTGAAGAAGTACCTGATGGAAGGTACAAAGTATTGATACAGTACGTAAACTCACTACCACATAAATATGACTCTGGTTCCACAAATTTTGATTCTTTTTTGTATTTTCCATTGAATGATTCAAGAGCTTTGAGGGTGTTTGGTAATCGTGATGATCCATTGGACTGTGAAAATTGGCTCTCTCCTGTAATTGTTATTAAGTCTTGAATTATAATTTTTTGCTTTCTCATCTCAGGTCTCTGGTGTGCTTAAGGACTTTCAAGGCAACTTGTTTGATTATTATGAAGTTGTAAATTAACACTATGTACTTGTAGAAAAGGTCGTGTAGTAACATATATATTTTTGGGATTATGGTAATAGGGCCGCCACACAATTTTGAAGTTCACAAAGTGATAAAAGAGATGTAAAAGATTCTTCTTGTTGCAGGAGGACTTTGACACATTAGGAAGATTCTGGGTGTGAGAGTTATCAGAATCAAGTGACCGATCTGATCCAAGGGGTTTGGTTCTTCCAGAACTCCAGAAGAAGCACTTTATTCCACTTGTCCTTTCTAAACTTGAGAGCTCTCTTGTGCATATGTGAAATATTGATATGCCCAATGAGAATGTGCGATAAGATGCGTGTTCCGGTGAATATTTTCATTTCACCGATATAAAAATTTGAACAAGACCTTCCACCTACTGCTGCTGAACTGGCTTCAATGCTAGGTATGCACGGATAAGCGTTCATAAGCTTTGAAGGGGAGGTTGTTGAGCTGTTACTGAGCTGAGGCTTTGACATGAAATGCTGAGGCTGAGTCTTATCAGTTACAATTTCAACTTCAACTCATCATGCCCATCCAGAATACACTCACTCGGTTTTGCATTCATTCTTATTTTTGCCCAGCATTATCATTTCGTGCTGATCCATCAAGCTTGTCTCCAAAAACATACTTTTGTGCTACATATTCCATCATTTAAAATGCCTGAATCAAACCCATACTCTGATAGAATTCTCGGACAGCAAATGTTGGTACGTATCCGAGACTTTCACTGAATCTCATCATTATCCATTTCGATCTGATTTTGACTTACAATCCTGCTATGATCTAATTGAAGCTCGAGTACCAAAAGCTAAAGTCGCTGTGCGAAGGCTTAGAAGCCCAAATTGAAGATAATACTAACCAGGTTCGTCCACCTTAACTTGATGATTTCAAATAAGTTCAGTAGTTTTCATTTGTTTTGGGGTAAACATTCGCTTTTGACGATTTGCCATAGTCTCAGAACAATTCTTTGGTGATCCGAAAATACGATGAACAAACGATAAATCATTTAAAAAATGATGAACATTTTCTCGCTTCAGAAGTGAAGGTCATGGTCGGATTATCAAAGAGTCTTCATTCATCTAAATAAATACATAGGAAATGCATTTATCACAATCTTGATGATAAAAAACCAGATGCCTTATTCACATTCAAGCCCAACGTACCTTTGATATGATATGTAGAGGTAAGCCTAACTGTGGTTCACGTCGAAAATGCCGTACAATTGCAATCGCAAATGCTAACAAGAGGCCTGTAGACAGCTGAGAGTGAAATTGGTAGACTAGATATCTTGCTCGAGGAGCTATGTGGCGTATGAAATGTGAGCTCGCAAACAAAAACGCATGCTCCACAAAATTACGACAAGTAGTTGCGTGGTCTTATATACCTGATACATTCTATGCGTGTTATAAAAGTATGGGCAAGTGGGGCATCTATCACAATCTGGCAACTCGCACAATTTTTCAAGCATATAAGTGATAATCAAGTGAGGTATATATATAGATAGGTGTGATACCAGATCATTCCCACTGAACCTATCGGCAAAATGCGTACTTCTTGGTCCTTGAAAACCCTGATGTTTGAGAGAGATCCCAGAAGTATTTTTCTGTCTTCATGAACAAGTGGTGGAAAAAGTTGACCTCCTCACGAGCCATATTTCCTCGATTAAAGCTCAATCTTTGAGGGCTGTGTTGTGAGTATGAGATTGAATAACAATGGATTCACTCATGATATCGATCAAAATCAATGAGATAGATATTTCCGTCCTTTTGCTTTTCGAGTCCAAAGAATCTTTCGACCAGTCTTGGTTTTTAACCTTGCTAAAAAGCCGTGCCTTCTTTTCCGCTTGATCTGAGAAGGTTGATAAGTATGGCCACGTGATATGCAACGAGTTGATCCTATCTGCCATGGATTTATGAATGGAAGTGCGAGAGTAGCGATCTGAGGTCTTAGGTGTCGAAAATGGTCAGGTGTGAGAAGGTTGTATGGCTTGGTTGAAGCAGATCTAGAATTCGAGTTCAATGAGGAGACCGGTGATGATTTTTGGTAACTTGTGAAAGCTGAAGGTAGCTTGGGTCCAATGTCTGATGGCAATCGGTGGAATTTATCAGTCGATTGTTTTCCGATATCTCGAATTGAGGAACCAATCAGCGTACTAATCAAACAACTCACCTGGATGACGTAATTCAGATAGAGAGAGCTTAGAGACTGAGATCGGGGTCGGTTTTAAAGCTGTTGGACGAACGAGGAGGGTTCGAAGGAAGCGAGACATATTGAGGTTCGATTATTTGAGGATGAGGTTCGATTGTTTGAGGAAGGAAATGTTGAGAGTGCTCCAAGAAATTTATTTGACTGCAGGCTTTGACACCCCGATTGAAAGATACTCGTGAATGACTCGGGTACATACTTTTGCCATTCAGATTATCGGTCTTCCCCGACGTCACCAGAGCTTTTACCGGGTCAGAGCAGGCTCATCTCAAATCTTCTTCAGCTCACACTCAACTTTTCTCAACAAGACGCGCTCAGTCAAGATGTTAGCATCCCGATTGCGGTTGGCTGTCAAGATATCTAACGAAGTCATCGCATCAACTTCCACCATCGAACCTTGTTTAGGTAGTTCACCCGTGTTGATAGGTCCTAAGCCTGCTCGTACCTGGAAACTCGTCTGGGATTCACCAGAAAAATTGGAGAGTGGAAGCAAGAGATCAGATGTCAAGAGAGTCAAGCCAAGATCATCTACGAAAAAAGTAACCATCAAGATCAAACCTGTTGCTACTGGTTCTGCTGCTCAATTCGATGCTTATTCTTTGGATGGCGATGACAAGAAGAGTCGCGCGAAACGTCGAACACAGAAGGCACTTGAGGGTGAGAATTATCATGAATATCATCTAGGCAGGACACACAATGCCAATAAGCCTGACAAGAGTTTCAAAATATGAATGAGGAGACAGAGGCGAAGGTCGATCTTACACCATTGGATCAATTCGTGACCATTGGGATTCCACCCTCACGCAACCCTTCACTTTACGATCGCAAGGTCGCCAAGTTTGTGTTAGACTCTAGGGCCAGATTTCCAGATGCCATCCTACTTACTTGCGTTGGATCATTTTATGAAGTGAAGCGAAGAGAACTCGATTTTGTCAAACAATGTATCGCATTTTGTTCTGACGGGCTGGTTTGTTTAGACATATTTCGATCAAGCCATCGAGCTTTCACAGCTACTGAACATCAAGCAGGCCAAATATAAATTTGCCGGACACGATTATCCATTTTCAGGATTTCCAATCGCATCTCTTGGAAGACATCTCAAGACACTTGTACAAGAACATCAACGTGTTGTAGTCATTGCTGAACAAATTCAAGTGACCCCTGATCAAGTTGAACGAAAGATTGTACGGGTCATCACGCCTGGCACGATTTTGGATGAAGACCTTATTGAAACAGATTCGCACAATTTTTTGCTAGCCATTGCGGATGATGACTTGGCCTGGATAGATGTCTCAACAGGTACTTACCTACATACCCTCTTTCGAGGGGATGAGGACGAATTGATGGATTATATTCTTCGGATCGCTCCAAAGGAAATCATTGTCTCGGAGCAAAGCTCCTTCCAGATACCGACAGAAGGGCGAGTGGCCAAACTGGCCATCTTGGTGTCTAGGATCAAGGTCAATAAAGATCTAATTCTGATCGATCATCTTCTTGGACATTCCCATGCGCACATTCAGTCCTTGACCTAACTTATCCTTGCGTGTCTGGTTTTTTAGCAAAATAATTCTGATTTGAAATTCTCGAATGCTTGCGATTTGATCAACGCCTATATTACACAAAACCTTTTACCCACCGTTTCTTCATCACAACCCACTCTTGTGCGGTTCAAAAGATACATGCATCTAGATGCTGAAGCTTTGGATGGTCTCGAGATCCTTGTCAGTCAAAATGGCAAGTCGAAATCTGGAAGTTTGCTTTCGACCGTATCAAAAGCCATTACCAAACCTGGGAAGCGACTGGTAAGAGATCGGCTGAGTTGAGTCTCTAGCCTGCCCAGATCTCCAAAAGGCTACCCTCTGTGGTTTTTCGCCAAAACAGCAAGTCGTTCTCTTGCTGATGTTCACATCTTTTACCCTACCTATTTCTTGACTTCACCCACTCGATGCCTATGCTTACAGCCATGCCCAGCTGCGTTCTTTCGGAGATAGAATCTAGACTAGACCTCGTGCAAGACCTGATAGAAGATCGCTTCCTCTCAGATGATTTGCAAGACAGGCTATCGACCTTAAGTGAAATAGATTATGAACGTCTATTGCAAAGAATAAATATGGGACAAGCATCTGTTGGTGACTTATCGGCCTTGCTTAAGGTGCTCGAGGTCATTGCTTCAATTAGTTCAAGACTGGGATCTACTCGTTTGGGCAAAAACTTGACGGCTGCCCCACGTCTAGCTAAGAATATCGCGAATGTGTTAGATCCTTCGAGACAGCTCTACGAGTCAAAAGAATTTGAAGATCAGGGTGGATTAGAGGAAGACGAGGAGAGGGATGCGTTCTCGATGCCCAAATGGAATGTTCAGCCGGAGTGAGCAGTGATTCACGCCTGATATAGTTGAACAATGCTCAATCATGCAAATTGCACTATATATAGCTACTCGAAACCCCTGAGATCTTTGCACAATGAGCTGATGTCTTCCTTACAGTCTGCAAGGGCACTTCAAGAAAGGTATCAGCAACAATTATGTGGGTGTTCGCCCATTGAACTATGTGTATGCCCCGGTTCACGCATCTCCTTTGGACCACTGTTTCCCGTTCCGACCGTCACGACGATTGAAATCTTTCTTTTTCTTCCATACGTATTTGTATAGCCGATAAGGATATATCACTGCGGACCACTAATAAATTAGGCGCCATATTGCAACTGAGGAAGAGACGGGGTCGAAATTCCAATTGGAAAGCGATTCTGGGCAAAGATGGCTACAAGTTGAGCGAAACCGCCTCCAAAGTCACCATTATCACACCCGTACGCTGTATCAATCAGATGGAAGATATGCACAAACTCATTCAAAATCTGACCGTTTTCCTTTTTTGCTTTAGGAATGGACAACCTTACATGCTTCAATCGAAGAGCTCAAATCCCAAATACGTCAAACGGAAGAGCGAATTACTGAAAAGCTTTGCAAACAGGTCAGCACCTAGACCCATGGATCTGTCACATCGAAAACTGGATTCTAACATGTTTTCAACTCTTCGTTAGATCGTTTCAAAGAATTCAACTCTCAAAACTTCTTTTCAGAGGTTGTCAGAACTAGATGTATTTGCTAGTTTTGCCACTTATGCTGTTCAACACGGATGCGTTCGACCGATGCTCCATACAAAGTGCAGATCTCTAATCCATTTCATCAGTTCCTGATCGTTTTCTTTTACTGACATTATGTGATGGAATAGCAAGAAAACGGTCTTGATTGATGCTCGTCATCCGGTGGCTGAACGAGCCTTGTTGAAGACGGGTGAAAGCTTTCAGCCTAACTCAATCACTATGAAGGATGATGATGGTCTCTGTCAGATAATCACTGGACCTAATAATGGTGGCAAGGTATGTGATGAGGGCGTGTTCTTATCGAAATATTGGTTCAAGACCGAGCGTTACATGATCCTGATGTTATGTGGTTACATTCCATCAGTCGACATATTTGAGACAGGTGGCTATTGCTCATGTACTTGCTCAAGCCGGTAGTTTTGTACCAGCCTCAGAAGCAAGATTAGGGATTGTGCATAGAATCTTTACCCGATTTGGTTCATATGATAATATGGTACTTGGTAAAGGTACGTTTTTGGTCGAGATGGAAGAGATGGCCAAGATTTTGAATCGAGCTGAAGGTTCATCTTTGGTAAGCGTTCACCTTCAGAACTCACTCGATCATGATTACCAGATTCTCACATGCACAATTTGGCTAGGTTGTGATGGATGAAGTGGGGCGTGGGACTGGAAATGAAGATGGATTATCGATTGCTTTCGGGATAGTCAAGTATCTAGTAGAAAAAATCGGGTGTCGAGTCCTATTTGCTACACACTTGCATCGCTTAGCGCCTTTGTTGTGTGAGACAAAAGATTATGTCAATGCAGGGAAGATTGGATTTTTCTGTATCAAATCTTCAAATTCGAGAGTGAGTGCTATGACTTAAATCAAGAGAACCCGATGTTGATGTTACTGATTTTGTTCGCACAGGATGAACAGGGAAAGACTGTCATATATTTTCCTCATCAGATCGTGAGAGGGGTGAATGATGATTCAAGGGGCATTGATGTAGCTCGGATTGCTGGACTGCCTCCCCAAGTGATACATTCAGCAGAGCAGATCAAGTTGGAATTGTAATCTATGCTCACGTCTAAAATTACTGTATACACTGCGTCCACCACCTCCCTTCTCGACGTCGAGAAGGGTAGAATGGTCAGAGTTTGGTGCGAGAAAGGTCTTTTCAAAAAAATCGTTTCTTCCACTCATTCAAAACCTCAGCAACCCTAAGCAGCCCTAAGCAGCCTAAAGCTATTTGAAAACCTAGACAGCTCAGACCTGCACATCACCGTACCGCCTGATTTTATTCAACTGAACGATTCCCCCTTGCCCATTCAATCAATATTCCTCCAAAGGATGCATTCCAAACGAAATGATCAATAACCATCCTAGTAATATCCTTTCAACCGATAATCACAACAACAATCCTAGCTCAAGTACTCTACCTACCTTAACTTCTATCGATAGCAACGATTATAATGTTTTGTTAGGGCTGGATGATTTGTTTGTATTGATCTCAGTGGTAGATGTGCATTTGGTTTGCCCAGAGGTCACACTCGGCTGAAACCCAAAGAACCAGCTTGCGAGCTAGCTTAACACAAGCCCCCACTGCAGAGACGTCCCCCGGAGCCTGCGGAGGGGGCTTGCGACTTATCGGTGATTTTTGGTCTGATGCCGGATTTTGTTTGGCAGGGGCTATCTTCAGATTCATTTTACCCGTCTTCTGTCTGAGAAACCGCCCAAAAGCCTTCTATGAAAGTTGTAGAGCAGATTTTTCTGCATCTTTTGGCCTCTTCAGAATATTCTGAAGTGGCCACACATTGATTGAACTGAAGCATTTCAAAAAAAGAAAAATCAAATTTTAATAGGCAATACTGCTGCGACTACATGTGGATTTACATGCACGTAGATAAAACAGTTAAAGTCATCTCTCTCATTACCAAAACCATCAACGTGACCAAGACGTCTTCAAGTGGTGACTTTTTTGTAAGTTTCAGGTTTGCTTTCCCAAGGATATATTATCATAATTGACTTGTCTTCTTTGAACTTTTGCTTGCTCCATCTTCTCAGTCTTGTCTTCTCTCCCGGCGGCCCATCATGGACAGTGATTCTGACTTAGACACAACAGAGTTCAGCCTGGATCCCGGACTCGAAAATTCACAAGTAATCACACCTGAAGAACCTCAACTTGTAGAAAGAATCTGTCAATACTTGAAGACACAGAACACCGACACCAAGACATTCCTTCTATCTTATCTGTGCTCAGTAAATTCCAGCATTATCAAGCAACGTAAACAGTGGGGATCAGTAAAACAAGGATGGAAAACTACTGAGCAAGTGCTAGATGAAATAGAAAATGTGGTTAATCAGAAAGCTGACTGTCGAGCCAAATGGAACGAGTGGGTTTTAAAAAA